ATGGGTGTATCCATTATGCCGTTCAATTACTACGGAAATGACCGTTCGATGGGTGTGTATCACTCATTATCCGGTTGATCAACTCGCGTTAATTCATGAATTAGACAATATACCGGAAGTACACATGAATATATATAAAAGTTCTTTGGAATTTGCTAGTGAGATGGATTCTACCAAAATGGCACGTGTTGCTAACATATTGGATAGCGGACTACGTTTGCGTTGCATCAGTTTATCTTACTTACAATTCTCTGAATCTAGTTTTGAAATATTGAAAGAAGCAGCGAGTCGAGCTTCTATTATGGTTGTGTCTTGTGGCCGTTATGTAGGTAGCAAACAGTCGCATAATGAAATATTACAAATTAAAAACGAACTAAAATTGTCTTGTGATGTAATTGCTTCGAACCATCGAATTAAGGAAGTAGACATTTCGATTAACGATGCATATACAGAAGAATTTGATGGAATCGTCGATGTATTACGATCGAATCGAAATATATCTTCTCTAACATATAGATGGCCCACTACTAGCAAAAGTATTGCTCAGATGATATCGGTTTTAACGAACAGTCAGAACTTTACTGAACTGAATTTAAGCGATCTTTCACTTTCCTTAGAGAATATACAATTAATATCTACAATGGTCCAATCGAATCGTACGTTACGTAATCTTACGCTATCGAGGGTCAATATCAATGACAAAGGAATGCGAATGCTCACTAACGCTATCTGTATCAATCCCATCATGAAGAAGTTGAATGTCTCAGGCAATGGTTTGTCCGACATAAGTGCTACATGCATCGTGCGTTTATTGAGAAGTTGTACGAGCTTAACAAAATTAGTTTTATCCAATAATGAGATTACTATTGTTGGTGGTAAGCTGATATTTGACGAACTACAAACGAATCGAACGCTTCTACATCTCGATATCAGTTCTAATAAGCTTTCGATCGAGGAAACAAAAGATACAAGCAAATACGAACAAAATATCATCAATATCAATGAACTGATTGCTGGAGTTTTACTGAAAAATACTACTCTCTGTTCTCTGGAGTTATTTGGAATTGAACTACCACAAGATCGTTCAAATTCACTCACTGAAGCTCTAATAAAAAATCGAAGTTTAGCTCATCTTCGATTACATAAGAATGGATTTTCTCGCATCTCGATGCAACCGATTACAGATGTTTTACATTGGAATGGTTCTTTGATTAGTATCAATCTCTCCTTAACCAATTTGAATATATCGGATTCCCGGAAGCTCAGTGAAATACTCCGAAGAAATAATAAACTACGGTCTTTGAATCTTTCCCATTGTGGAATAACCGATCACGGAATTTCTATACTCGCTGAAGGTTTGAAATATAATCACACTCTGACGCATCTCAATTTACGGTACTGTGATTTGACAAAAGTAAGTGCCGACATATTGGCCAATATACTTCAAATCAATTCAAATCTCACTTATTTGGATATAAGCTCCAACAAAATTGAGGATGATGGTCTTAGAACTATCGTTCGAGCTCTATCTGACGATTTCTCATTGATAGATTTTCGCATCGGTAGCAATAACATTACTGATGTTGGTGGTAAATGTTTAGTCAATGCGCTTGAAATGAACAATACATTGCTTTTCCTTGACATCGAATTTGGAAATAATTTATCTCTCAATGTTTTGAAACTCTTTCGAACTATGCGTCGTAATTTAAATGTCACTTAAATCTTCAATAACTCGAAGAATACGAATAAACTCAACTTTTTAATAAAAATGATGTTCTGTTTTCGTTTTATTCACAAATAAAATTTTATCTAGATTATGAACAATGTCATCGTCATACGCTTGACATCGATCATTGTTTTAATTGATCATTTTCGATAGAATATTGCGTTTTGCCCGAGAGTCCTTGAATTTTAATCCACGATTTGTATAATTCTTTTTCCAATGTTGTCGTAAATGGAATTTTTGTGTCCGTATAATAATAGCTGATGGGTTTTTTCGATTCAAACCTGCCAATCTCTCTCACAATATAACTAATGATTTTCGATTTACTCTTCGCATCTATCTGCTCGTTTAAAGCAAGTTCCGTGAAGATTTTCAGAATCTCATAAGCTTTCACAGCACTTTCATTTTTCAGAAACTCCAATAGATCGTTGATAAATTCGTTCGGCGACATATGTATGAGAGGTAGAGCAATAACTGAGTATTCTTTCACTAGATTTTCATCAAACAATGTATTCATCGAATTTGTTATCACCATATGATCTGAATGATCGATAGCCGCAAGTAAAATAAACGCATTCCCACGCGACGGAAAATATGGATGATCATGAACCATTTTTTTCTAGAAGTTTTATCAGTTGGATCTTATTAAAATGCGGCGAATTTGTTAACTTTCGGTATAAATAATCATCTTTCTGAACACAAGCCGAAAGTAAAGTCAACAGCCATTCAATNGGGTGTATCCATTATGCCGTTCAATTACTACGGAAATGACCGTTCGATGGGTGTGTATCACTCATTATCCGGTTGATCAACTCGCGTTAATTCATGAATTAGACAATATACCGGAAGTACAGATGAATATATTTAAAAGTTTTTTGGAATTCGTTGGTGAGATGGATTCTACCAAAATGGCACGTGTTGCTAACATATTGGATAGCGGACTACGTTTGCGTTGCATCGCCTTATCTTACTTAAAATTCTCTGAATCTAGTTTTGAAATATTGAAAAAAGCAGCGAGTCGAGCTTCTATTAGGGTTGTGTCTTGTGGTCGTTATATATGTAGCAAACCGTCGCATAATGAAATATTACAAATTAAAAACGAACTAAAATTGTCTTGTGATGTAATTGCTTCAAACCATCGAATTAAGGAAGTAGACATTTCAATTAACGATGTATATACAGAAGAATTTGATGGAATCGTCGATTTATTACGATCGAATCGAAATATATCTTCTCTAGCATATAGATGGTCCACTACTAGCAAAAGTATTACCCAGATGATATCTGCTTTAATAAACAGTCAGAACTTCACTGAACTGAATTTAAGCGATCTTTCACTTTCCTTGGAGCATATACAATTAATATCTACGATGGTTCAGTCGAATCGTACGTTACGTAATCTCACGCTATCGAGGACCAATATCAATGATGAAGGAATGCAAATGCTCACTAACGCTATCTGTATCAATCCTATCATGAAGAAGTTGAACGTCTCAGGCAATGGTTTGTCCGACATAAGTGCTACATGCATCGTGCGTTTATTGGGAAGTTGCGCGAGTTTAACAAATTTAGTTTTATATAATAATAAGATTACTATTGTTGGTGGTAAGCTGATATTTGACGAACTACAAACGAATCGAACGCTTCTACATCTCGATATCAGTTCTAATGAGCTTTCGATCGAGGAAACAAAAGATATGGGCAAATATAAACAAAATGTCATCAATATCAATAAACTGATTGCTGGAGTTTTACTGAAAAATACTACTCTCTGTTCGCTGGATTTATTTGGAATCGAACTACCACAAGACCATGTAAATTCACTCAATGAAGCTCTAATAAAAAATCGAGGTTTAGCTCATTTTCGATTGTATAAGAACAGATTTTCTCGCGTCTCGATACAGCCGATTACAGATGTTTTACATTGGAATGGTTCTTTGATTAGTATCAATCTATCCTCAAGCACTTTGAATGTATCGGATTATCGGAAGCTTAGTGAAATACTCCGAAGAAATACTAAACTACGATCTTTGAATCTTTCTTATTGCGCGATAACAGATCACGGAATTTCTTTAATCGCTGAAGGTTTGAAATATAATCACACTCTGACACATCTCAATTTAAGTTACTGTGATTTGACAAAAGTAAGTGCCGACATACTGGGCAATGTACTTCGAATCAATTCAAATTTCACTTATTTGGATATGAGTTCCAACAAAATTGGGGATGATGGTCTTGAAGCTATCACTCGAGCTCTATCTGATGATTGCTCATTGACATTTTTCAGCATCAGTAATAATAACATTACTGATGTTGGTGGTAAATGTTTAGTCAATGCGCTTGAAATGAACAATACATTGCTTTTTCTTGACATCAAATTTGGAAATGATTTATCTCTCAATGTTCTGAAACTCCTTCGAACTATCCGTCGTAATTTAAATGTCACTTAAACCTTCAATAACTCGGAGAATATGGATGAACTCAACTTTTTAATAAAAATTATGTTCTGTTTTCGCTTTATTCACAAATAAAACTTTATCTAGATTATAAACAATGTCATCGTCATACGCTTGACATCGATCATTGTTTTAATTGACCACTTTCAATAGAATATTGCGTTTTGCCCGAGAGTCCTTGAATTTTAATCCACGATTTGTATAATTCTTTTTCCAATGTTGTCGTAAATGGAATTTTTGTGTCCGTATAATAATAGCTGATGGGTTTTTTCGATTCAAACCTGCCAATCTCTTTCACGATATAACTAATGATTTTCGATTTACTCTTCGCATCTATCTGCTCGTTTAAAGCAAGTTCCGTGAAGATTTTCAGGATCTCATAAGCTTTCACAGCACTTTCATTTTTGAGAAACTCCAATAGATCGTTGATAAATTCGTTCGGCGACATATGCATGAGAGGTAGAGCAATAACTGAATATTCTTTCACTAGATTTTCATCAAACAATGTATTCATTGAATTCGTTATCACCATATGATCTGAATGATCGATAGCCGCAAGTAAAATAAACGCATTCCCACGCGACGGAAAATATGGATGATCATGAACCATTTTTTCTAGAAGTTTTATCAGTTGGATCTTATTAAAATGCGGCGAATTTGTTAACTTTCGGTATAAATAATCATCTTTCTGAACACAAGCCGAAAGTAAAGTCAACAGCCATTCAATGATCATTAAGAAAAGAGATGTGTTACCAACGTCTTTGAAACTTGCCATCTTCGGTATTAACCATTTGACTAGATTTTCCATCATAACACTGGTGATTTGAATGTTACTCAACATATTGAGTACTGTGGGAATTAGATCATTTGTAACATAGAAGTTACATCGAGCGATGCGCCGTATTTGTTCGTAATTGTAATGAAGAAGTTCGTCGACTCTGACGCATACATCAGCAAGTAGTTTGGCTTCGAGAATTTCGAAATACTCTTCGTCGTGAACACGTGTCAATGCACATATTTCATCCAGAATCAAACTACTGATCTCCACATCTGTGTGTGTGACGTAGAATTGTTCTCGAAATTGAGTTGTATCCTGAGCGGATATTATCGGAACGAAATCATTCCAGTTGTTCTCTGTAATTTGATTCGAATTGGCTAATGTCATAGTTGACTGGAAGATTTCTTCGAAATAGCATGGATAAAATGTGGATTGTAGCGAATTCATCACTGCATTCCATGTGTAACCATTGATGAATTTCATTTTATTCAGATAGAATATTGGTCGAAGGTTGTTCGAGTTGATTTCTTGAGTTCTCGTGATGGATTTCAGTAGATTTAAGTATACAACTGGATCGTCCCAGAGTAAATCATAGAAGAAAGTTCGAAGGTACACACTCACTCTCGGCATATATGTCTTTTCTGAGAGATGTGTAAGAATTTGCATTAACGTTCGTGCTCCGATGACAGATATACGTTTATTTGGTTCCTTTGGATCGCGTTCCGGATGTTGAAAAATTCGTTGTGCTCGATAGCGGATTTGATCATTATCATTCTCTAATAATTTCACGATCGTATCAATTGCCGATTCAAATACATGTCTCGCTTCGACGAGTAAGATAGCAGCAAAGTTTCTCACTGCTTGATTCGTAGACGAGTGGAACCATCGATGAACGATAGGTAAAACTTCGTTTGACGGTTTGATAAGATAAGGAAATAGAATTGAAATCGTTTTCTCTTTTCCTTGTTCTAATAATTCGTCGATGACGATTGCAGCTAACGGCGTGAGAAATAGTTCTTTGTCTAGAGCGATTTTTAAGAGCTTTTCGATGTTCGCTTCATTATTCACATCGATAGAGAGATTGATCCATAGTTGAGTTAGACTTTCATCGTTTCCGATGAGCAATTTCGCGTCGTTTAGTTGTGCGAATAGTCGAAAAAGACTTTGAACATAAGAGCTACTCTGGTCGATTGATAAGATTCGACCGTAGTGAGAATTTATCAGATGAAAATATGTTTTATTCTGAAGTCCATTAACCATTCCATCGAAATCAGTTCGCAGATCGTCATAGATACCAATGAGTGGTTTTAATTTCATCATCAATTTCAATTTCTTATCATTTTCATTCGTTTTCTTAAGTAATTCTATAGCCATTCTCAAATATGTTCTTCGAAATTCACTCGTACCATAGAACGATAAGCGTATCGTTGCAATGATTCGATCGTAAACATCGTCGATCTTATGATATACAAGAGTCAATTCATCAGAGACTTTCTGAATGAGCATTGTCTGTGTTATCGCTTTGTAATGTAACACATTGAAGATTTTCTCCAGAACTTGAAATTGTAAAACTGCTTCCGGAATGTACCTGGCGACTGCAAATGATTCGTTCAATAGTTCCTCGCATTTCTCTTCGTAGAACTCTGCTAATTGATACAGTGCTCGTGACTTATAGTACATATTAGACATTGAATGGATTTTCTCAAGCAAAAACTCCTTCACGTTTGCTTTTTCGATCAGTTCAGGCAATAGAGTTTGATAGATGATGTGTCTGTTCAATTGGTTGGACATAATTCCAAAGTGAAGCAAGACCATGGGTAGAATAAGTTCGCGATTTCGATGAAACAATCCTTCGTTAAAAAAGTTCATTGAAACTCCATCAACTAGGTACGGTACATTGATGTGAAAATTTTCTAAACAGTTGAAAAATCCGATGGGTATATCATTTTTACTAGAAGATTCGAAAGGAAATATATCCGTTGCCCAGGGAAGCGCCCGAATCGGTTGACAGCGTTGAACTGCATCGTTTATTCTAAGGAATGTTTTTATAATCTGTTCGGACTTTCCGAATCTTGTCAATGTATCAGTTAGTACAGCTATGTGATACCGAAAATCACCAGAAAAGCCAGTAAATCGATACGCTAAGTACTCAGCATTGAGATTTGACTTATCCTCCATACTATTCACAGTTTTAGCCAGCTCGTGGGTATCAACAGGTAAACCACCGCTTTTGGCGATCAGAGACAAATATACTTTACAATAACTGGAAAAGTTCAAATTCCATTTTAACTGTTTGTCTTGAAGTTTTTCGTAAATGACTGAGAGATATTCGTTCATGTGCGATGAACAGCGTGCAATCGGATCTTTCAAGATGAATATCAACTGTTCAATTCGATTGGCCAATGCTCTGGTAAATGCTGTTTCTTTTTCTCTTAATATCGTACTGATGAAATCGAATTCTCCCAAGACGATTGCGGCGACAAGTGCATCGATCTGTTCGGATGTGTTTAACTTGTCCATTTTCAGTTCTTTTCGTAATCTCTTCATTAAATCTTTTGGAGATTTCTTTTCGAGTAACAATTCAAGAATTCGTGGTGTCAGAAATGAATCTTTATAAATCTTCCTCTCGTCAAATGTTGGTTGAACATGCCAATATTGTTTCGCAGGACAACTTTCCAAATACCTAGCCATGTTATATTTTGTCTGATCTTTTCCCCAAATATCTTGATAGTAGAAGAGAAATGGCATCATTTCGTTATCACTCAATTCGAGAAACTGCTCTATTTCGTGATATTCCGCAATCGTTTTTCCACTCTGGTGATTGTCGTTGCCACCGTAAAGTGCACTGATCAAACTTATCCAGTTATGATCATCCCTGATCTGCTGCGTTAGTGCTGCGTTTTTCAATAATGTCGTGCGGAATTTAAGCTGCAATTCAATCGCATCATTTTTTATCTCTGTTGAATAGAATCGTAGACAGGAATCGACCGGCCAATTCCAAGTAGCGGAGTCATTGTATAAGTTGATCAAAAATCTCTGGTGGAACTTCGAATTGAACCAGTTCAGGTGATAGATGATATTCGCACAAGGTGCGATGTTTTCATCACGTTCGAGTTGCTCGAGAAACCATTCGAGAGTTGTTTGGTAGGATGTTCGTTTTAGTTTTAAAAAAATACGAATGGATCAACTTTTGGTGTTCATCTAGCCGGGAGAAACCCGAGAGATTTGTGTAATCGGATAGTAAAAGATCAGCCAATCGACGAATTAAGTTACATTCCGCGCTTTCCGACAGAAAAAACATATCGTTTAAAGAATCGATAATCACGAACGGAACGATACGAGTCGGAGATGTTTGACTAGGTAATAATCGTTCGATAATATTATGAAATAGCTGATTGTTTTGATCTTGTTTACTTAAGATTCCGAATGTCATGCTGAGAGGTACTCGCCAGTTGGGAATATCGATCTTTCGTNATACGTTTATTTGGTTCTTTTGGATCGCGTTCCGGATGTTGAAAAATTCGTTGTGCTCGATAGCGGATTTGATCATTATCATTCTCTAATAATTTCACGATCGTATCAATTGCCGATTCAAATACATGTCTCGCTTCGACGAGTAAGATAGCAGCAAAGTTTCTCACTGCTTGATTAGTAGACGAACGGAACCATCGATGAACGATAGGTAAAACTTCATTCGACGGTTTGATAAGATAAGGAAATAGAATTGAAATCGCTTCCTCTTTTCCTTGTTCCAATAATTCGTCGATGACAATTGCAGCTAACGGCGTGAGAAATAGCTCTTTGTCTAGAGCGATTTTTAAGAGTTTTTCGATGTTCGTTTCATTATTCACATCGATTGAGAGATTGATCCATAGTTGAGTTAGACATTCATCGTTTTCGATGAGTAATTTCGCGTCGTTTAATTGCGCGAATAGTCGAAAAAGACTTTGGACATAAGAGCTACTCTGGTCGATCGATAAGATTCGACCGTAGTGAGAATTTATCAGATGAAAATATGTTTTATTCTGAAGTCGATTAACCATTCCATCGAAATCAGTTCGCAGATCATCGTAGATACCAATGAGTGGTTTTAATTTCATCATCAATTTCAATTTCTTATCATTTTCATTCGTTTTCTTAAGTAATTCTATAGCCATTCTGAAATATGTTCTTCGAAATTCACTCGTACCATAGAACGCTAAGCGTATCGTTGCAATGATTCGATCGTAAACATCGTCGATCTTATGATATACAAGAGTCAATTCATCAGAGACTTTCTGAATGAGCATTGCCTGTGTTATTGCTTTGTAATGTAACACATTAAAGATTTTCTCCAGAACTTGAAATTGTAAAACTGCTTCCGGAATGTACTTGGCGACTGCAAATGATTCGTTCAATAGTTCCTCGCATTTCTCTTCGTAGAACTCTGCTAATTGATACAGTGCTCGTGACTTATAGTACACATTAGACATTGAATGGATTTTCTCAAGCAAAAACTCCTTCATGTTTGCTTTTTCGATCAGTTCAGGCAATAGAGTTTGATAGATGATGTGTCTGTTCAATTGGTTGGACATAATTCCAAAGTGAAGCAAGACCATGGGTAGAATAAGTTCGCGATTTCGATGAAACAATCCTTCGTTAAAAAAGTTCATTGAAACTCCATCAACTAGGTACGGTACATTGATGTGAAAATTTTCTAAACAGTTGAAAAATCCGATGGGTATATNCAAAACATTTCCATGTAAGAGCGAATTACTGAGCAATGCCGATAAATCTTTCCTTTCGTCGTCGGTGAAGACACTCGCATCGAATGTGGCATGTTCGTACAAAAATTCGAGTAAACTTTGTTTCTGTCCGTTGAAATTCTCTTTCAATTGATCGACATATTTCCAAATCGGGATTAAAATCGGGATTTTTTCCTGTGGTGTGTCTTCTTCATTGAACAACATATTCTGCATGCCTAAACATTGCCGAGCCATGTTTGTGACTAACCATTTCGATATGGTTGTTTTGCCTGAGCCGGGATGGCCAAGAATAACAAAATGTTTGAACTTGTTAAACGCTTGCCGAATTCGGTATTGTCGAACTTCTTTCAGGTTGTTTCGGAAGAGGATATTTCGTTTTAAATTTGAAATTTTCTCTTTGATGGCATACCTCTCGGTCAAAGAAAAGATTTTGTCATCTGCGAGAAGAACGTTTAACCATTGATCGATCATCAAATCTCGATAGATCGTTTGTGGATTATACGCATGGTGTTGAAAAATCGCTCGAAGAATTTTTCGTTTTTCATTGTCGGTAAAGAATTCCTTTGATGACACGCGACGTTTGAATTCTTCGGTCATGTCTACCGTTTTCATTGCTTTTATCGACGGATGCGTTGGATCAAATTTTAACTCAACATAAACGCTTTCTAGTGGTAAATGAAGATCCTGATTCAAACATCCGAAGATTGAAACATGACCGTATTCTTGCAGGAGATAATTGAGATATTTCTGACGAACCTGTTCTCTTCGAATGGATAATGCGTGATTTTCAAGGCGGAATGTTGATAATGAGGAAAGATTTTTGAGAAAGGATAATATATCTTCGAAAGTATTTCCGCAAGGGATTTCTACGAAGTTTTCGAGAATTGAACATTGAGCAGTTGAGCGAATAAGTTTGTAAATAGCCGGTCGATTTATAACAGAAAGATTGAATATCCATTTTAAAATATTTGAGAAATCTGGATCGAATTGCTGAGTACCGTAACCAATGAAAAGTAACGTTTTACCTTGAACAAGCTTTAAGAATTTCATTCGTGTGATTTTATCTTGAAAAAGCTGATCACTGTTCAGTACGATACTGCTCGCATATTGATAGTGTCCGTGCAGGTGCAAAATATGATGGACGTCTAGGCTCTGCAACGATGGATCAGTTCGATATTGCTCCCAAGTTAACGATTTTCTGTGCAGTGCATTTTCAAGAAGTGAATCGTAATTTGTCGTCACAATTGGACAACGAAAATCAGCCAAGGCTTGTATCAATTCTGGTTTGTGTGGAAATAATTTTCCGATTGTGTCATTTAACCAACATTGGTAAGCATCGGTGTGTTCTTGCAAATAAGGATTTGCTCGGTTAATAATTCGGTTGTATTCGTCTATGTCAGTAGTAGAATCATTCAACTTTTGAATATCTTCGTTGAAATCTTCATCTGAAATCTTTGATAATTCGTAAAGTGCATGTTGAACTAGTATTTTCCAACATGCAACTTGCTTGTCGTCATTTGCTGTATAAGCAGATACATCCGAACCAACGAATATGACTAATTTATTCGCAATAAGATCCTTCTTAATGTTTTCAATATTGTCGACCATCCTGATAGTCTGAAAATGAAATGTGACTGTGTTTCTTCCTTGGAAGAACGGAAAGACTCTTTTTTTCTTTTCTTTATTTGCACAAGAAAGAACATGTTTTTTTCCAACATTCAAAGGAAGGAACTCATCTCACGACATTTCTTAATTATGGAAGGAAAAAAAACGTTGCAATATTCTGCTGTAGATCGATATTTTGTTTGTAAATACTATTGAATAAAATACTAATCTGCTGCAATAAATAGAAGAAAAAGCCGATGTCTCTGAAAGTGAGAACATCATTTCTAGAATTCACTCATAAAATACTGGTTAGTCAACGCCTGTAAATGGACTAGATAACCAAGATGATAAGTTTATCATTCGTTTTTTTATACAAACAAATATTATAAACATCAATAAAAACTGGACTATGGATCCACAAAAATACGAGAAATGCTAATATGAAACCTGCATACTCGTCGACGACGTCAATGTGCAGCGAATACTGGTGGGTCAGCATTTCCAACTACGGCCGAACCAAAACTAAACCATTCTGTCTACAACCTTGTGCAATATCCCGGCTTTAACAATGAAATCATATATTCCACTCGATACAGGTCTCATGCCAGTTACGTATATGATACTGATACATAAAATTGATGAGATTTGTCAGTACGAGCGAGTGGAAAGGCATATGCCGTATGACTTGAATAATAACCGTTAACAGTAAGAAATGAAGTTATTTCACCATCGAACATGCCGTGTTTATAGTAATACAATTGCATATTGAACAAGAAGATGATGAGCTTCACTGTTGACATTGATCATTAGAAGCACTAAATGATTTTCCAAATGGAATCTCGATCGATAAGTTGTGGCGAGATATTGTAGAGCATATGTTGAGTGGATGGAGATATAAGAAATAGAGGTATTGGCAAAAGTATTGAATCGCTTTTACACATATATTTTCTATTCGAATGAAATGCAGATTTCATATCTTGTTTTACAACGTCGATATTTTTCTTCTCTTTGTCAATTTACGTCACTCTTATTCATTCGTATGTTTGAAACAACACACAATCACCGATAAGAAAAAACTAAGAACCAAATGACTCGTTAGATGTGTCTCCACAGCACTGTAGATAATATTCGGATATTGATGAGTTCAATTACGTATTTGAATGATTTTAAAGTTTCGAATTAAATGAAAATATGTGGTATGTTAGTGATTAATTTAGTGTCACCATTTTAAAAAGAACATTAGCAGAGAGAACTTGTGTTCTACATTTCCTAGCAACAGCATGAGTCGACTGATAGTCTTTATCGGATACAAACAATAAACAAACGCATTATCTGCGCGATATAAAAGAGCAACCAGAGGGCATCTGCTCTATTCACACTGATTTAACTCTATAACAATGAAATTCACAATGATTCTTATGTTTATGGCTATTCTTTTGAATATTTCTCTGGTACTGGGTGACTTTTCCTGCAATTGTGTATGCTGCAAAGGGCGTCCTCCGACAACTTGTCTTTCCTTGAATTCTCCAATGAATCCGTGTAAAAATGGCACTTGTCTCAGTTCTTGTCGACAAAAATATCCAACACTTTGTCCAGCAGATATTGCATTAGGTACATCCTATGGAACATGTCGTGTTACTGCCTTAGCGTCACATTATAAAGCAAGTAGCCTAATAACCATTTTATTTGTGGCAGTTATGGCCTTTTTTAAACAAATAACTTTTTAATACCTTCATCGTTCTCTGCTCGAGCATTGCACGTGATCTTCTTTGAGAAGAATACATAGAAACAACAAAAATATGTAAACTTGAACACACATTATCTTTTGATCGTTGTAAAGGATGTCTGAAGGTCGATTAATAATAGTCGTTGGAGCTGCGGGAGCTCAAGAGAGTGTTGTTGTACGAGCATTAGTTGAAATATGTAAATATAAAGTAATGAATCGCTCTTCTTTCTCATGAAGAAATGTGTGTTTATCTGGAAAAGTTCGCGCTCTAAAACGGGATGTATCAAGAGCATAAGCTCAAGCAACAACATCGAACTGCTTACATATAATATCACCAGAAATGACTATGTGAAACGTACATTCAATGATTCAGGGGCGAATGTGAATCAACTTGAAGTAGAAAACAACAAGATTGTATCATGAACGGCAAGTTCTCTATTACATTCTTAGCACTACTGGTGATATCAAAGAAAGGTATGTCTATTGGAAAGCAATCTTTGCTGCGCCTGGTATGTTCATGTAAAACTGGCAAATGCTGGAAAACCTCCTAAACCAGATAACAGAACAATGATATTCGCCGCTCCTATCGATCGAAAAGCCAAACCAAATTTATCAGATACTGCTAATATCGGTCCTATCGTTTGTAAGATCTTACTAAACCCTGAGCGATACATTGTCAGCGATAGGAAACCCACTAACTGAAGAAGAATTTCGCCAGGCAGCTCAGCATCTTCCTAAAACTTTACAGAATAACGTTTTCACGATGTATATATGGATTGAAGAGTATTGTTACTATGGACCGAGTAAAGATTGAATAGATTAACATAACTACATACGTTTGAACACTGGTTGCAGAAAACTAAGTGGAGAGGTAATAGAAAAGAAAGCCATCTTTGCCTAGTTTTGACTCCAACACTATACAAACTATTTTATTTAGCATGAGAGAAACAGAGTTTTGTTCGATAGTGTTTCAGTGATCAATAGCCGAATAGTTGCCGCCATAATTTCATGGAATTGATAAATTCTTTCTTGTATAATGGAGATGGCAGAACATAGATGACGAAGATTAGTGTCGAAGGGATAAACGACATGTAGTAGCTAAAAATGTACAGCAACGAACTTTGAGAGGCTTTCACACAGCGAAATAGTAATGAAATGATGACGAGAGGAAATGTTAGGACAATTAACATTATCGGACTGATAATCAAATGTTTCTGCTGGCAAAGTTGCTCTTTAAAATGTTGATAACGAGTTTTATGCGTGCGAGTTGTTGCCCTTTGACGTGCAATCGTGTAAATAACGTAGAGCGCCGTCACAATATTGATAAAGAATGGTACCATCAAATGAATAAATAGAACTATCGTTGTATATATGTACAACGATGATGAATAAAGAGTAAAACACCAAAATCGATCTTCTTCGACATCATGAAATAAGTCGCGAGAAACGCTTTCATACATATTCGAACTCATAACTACTAAAGGTAAGAAAATAACTATTCGTCGAGCAGCGTAGATGCTAGCAGATTTACTGAAATATATTCCTTTCCAAACAGTCACAGCGCGTTCAATCGATATAGTAGCATTCAGCCAATTGTTCATCCAAGAGAAAATTCTAAGCAAAGGTTCGATTAATAAGCATCCGTAACGAAGGACGGTATAGTTTGTTGCTACGTTCATTTGTGTAAGTAAGACAAACCAAAATTTCAGCATCAGTATTGCAACAGTAAGTAGAGAAGTAATCGACAATGTTAGAATATAGATACCGCATCCCACTGCACGAGTATCACAGCGCAAAAATGTGGCCAGCGACAGCATACTATTAACTAAACCTGTGAGAAATAAAACCAGTGTTAAGAATATACTGAATTTAACTATTTGTGACTGACTACTCATATGCATGTCCGATCGAATTTCGTAGCGAAAAAGATCATCGAGCGTCAGACCGATTCCTCTCGCATAGAACTGACATCGATCGCCAAAATAACAGTCATTGCATTCACATATAGTCGTTGCAGGGCATTGTGGGTGGTCTTGTAAACATTGTCCACCATTGAGACAATGAACATTTTCTTGACATTCAAACTTAGGCTTATGATCGAATGGAAAACAATTGGCATGATGATCCGTCGTGCATAGACACATGTAAGATTCGTCGAAGAAACATTTCAGATCGGGATGATGTTGACATAGTGTATGATAATGTTTGACTCGTTGGATTCTGGGTAATTTAGTTTGTTCGGAAGAAAGTAGTTGATGAACAAGTGGGCAACGACGGGTTGAATCAACTGTAGCTGAAATGTTGAACATACCTGACTGTTGTGAAACGACCAAGTAATAGTTATGATTGCTTAGGATGAATACTATTTGAACTACATGTTGCGAATACAGTATAATACTGTTTTGCATCTTTGTCAACTTTTTTAGTAACGTCTGTTGTGGTAATGGTGGTTCTGAATTAACAAATGAGTAGATGTACGCTATTAAATATGATGAAATATCCCTATTATTGAAAACTATATGTAATCTTGCTTTGCGATGCTCACACCTTTTTCCTCGAAATGCATCAGCACATAGACATTCATAACTACCATCGTTCACTTGTTCGTCTGTAACGACACATTGACCATTGTTTTCGCAGTAATTTGCTGGACATGAATGTTTCAGTAGACAGCGAATGCCGAATTTTCCGAGAGGACAAATACAGATTGATTGATTATGCACTTGACCAACACATAGCGAAGCCGGCGAGCAATCAGTGCATTTGACAGGTATGTGGCATCGAGCTCCACTCCAACCTCTATCGCATTGACAAAATGTTGTTTCTACATTGATATACTTCACACAGATGCCATGTTCACATCCCAGAGAGCAGAAACCGGTGTCGAAAGTTCGATTGGAATCCAACGTGAGCAGAGCAGCCATTCGATTGACCGGTAGGAAATTGAATAAAACTCTAAAATACCAGCTTGCAATGTACTCTAGTGACATGCTATCATAAGCATCGATACGAATACTATAGTTTTTCGAAGGATCCTTCGGTGTTGTTGAATACAAGAGATATTTGTCAAACGGTTGACCGCACGTTGCTTTTGAAACGTAAATGATTTGTTCATAAGAGTGTACTTGCTGCCGATCATCGTCGTCATCAACTAGTTTAATAAAAATAGTATATATACCGTATGTACTAACAGATGATAACGTTACGGTCAAACTGACACGCTGATTTTGATACTGGCATAGGTTCCCATAGTAATTCGGAGGACACATGCAAATCGTAGTGTAATTCTTATCCCCTAACCAGAGACGAATGAGCAAGCCACGAATGCATCGTGACAGTGAGTTGTGAGTCTTAAGCAGTTTTGTTTTTGCAACACCGATCGTGTTGAACATTGTATCTTCCGCCAGTGGATAAATTGGACTTTCTTCTAATGTAAATTGAGCATGATTTAATCTACCAAAATGACAAAGAACGTTTCGTATCTTTGTAAGATTATAACCAATCCATTCGGTACATAGCTCTTCCTCATTAATTAATTCGCCATCCGAGTCACATAATACGTAAGGTTCAATACACGTTCGCCCATCCAAACAACTAAATCGGTACAATCTTTCGCTTTCTGCATTCGTACCTTGACATAATTGTGGTTCATCTAATCCTCCAACACAATCAACCGTCCCATCTCGAACCTTATCACCTGCTAAACATATCCTCGTATAATCGAATAGCGACATACATTCAAACAAACCACGAGAGCAGTTCGATGCTTGACACGCTTCTTCATCTTCACCATTACGACAATTCCAGAATCCATCACACCGACTATACACATTACTACATGGCCAATACTCACAGTCAGTCTCGTCCGTGTGACCATGACCGTCGACTACTTCAGCTGAAACATCCACAAACCCATCACATATCTGATTGAACAAGATGCTGTCGATCGTTTTCGTCTCATTTTCAACCAGTGGACAGCCCAATCGTTGAAGAATGGGCGATCGACATCGACTTTCATTCGCACACTTGAAACGATGTGGGTGATCAATGAAACAACTGAGTTCGTGATCTTCCTCATCATCATTCAGATAGCAGTCAGTGATGTTATCAGCTATTCGATGTTTCGAGATGTATTTCGAAGAGTTTCGGCACTGATACAGTGATGGATGTCTTTCATCTGTATGTCGAGTAGTACAACCAACAAAGTATGGTTTGATGACACGGATCATGCGTTTCCAACTATGATACTTTGTGTTTTGTGATAGTCCCATGTGATGAGCATGACGACATGTATGAGATCTGTGGCGAAATGTTGGCGAAAGATAAGTGCACAACTGTTCATCATAGCAAATATAGTCGGGCAATAGCATGGAGTCATTGGTCACTTCGAATACTTGTTTAGGTTGGTAGAGAAAGTGAACATGACCGAACAAGACAGGGCTGATGGGAAACTGAATGAGATGGTCACATGCATGCAGATGAGAAGGATGAATAGATGTGCCGTTGCAGAATGTTGGATCGATATGATGCATTAGTCGAGTGAGACAAACCATGGCCAACCAACAATCATCAGGTAAGGATCCTTGCACAGTCAATGATTCGAACAGCATGAGATGTCGTCCGTTAGTACATTCATCGAAATCATCGACACATTGTCCATCGCCACATGAGAACTTCTTCTGACCAGGTGGACATACGACTTCTTCACATTGGAATATACTTGCTGGTGAATGAGAATTCGGGCAAAGTGAATCAGTCCATGCATCGGATTGATCCAGACATTCTGCCGTGATTTGTTCAAGTGTCTGATGATAGTGTGGAATACATTGTCCGTTGTGGCAGCGATATTCATTCGGTTCACACTCGTTCATTTCCAGATCGAAACATGAAGCTTCGTCAACACCATTGTTCAGACAGTCGATTCTGCCGTCGCATACTTCTCGCCAGTCGAGACAAAGAGCTGCTCCACCTCGATCACAGTCTAATAGAACATAACACGTGTGTCCAGTAGCGAGAGCAGTGGGCTCGATTTCGTCGGATTCCAAAGAATACTGACATCGAGATCCGAACCATGGTGGTGTACAGTTATAGAATAGTTGATTGGCTTGAAGAGATGTGTTGTGATGATCGAGATAGTCTTGATACTGTTCGGCGACATCGATGGAGGCCGACCAATGGAAAATGTCATGGGCAGTGACATTGATTTGAAATAGTTGGTGAAATGTATAGTTTTGATCGCGAGTATTGATGAAATCTTCTATCGGCATGAGATCAACATCAGTCGTCGATCGAAAACAATATTTAGTTTTCGTAATAAATCCTGTACGTGTTGTATAGTAATATAAACAATCATATTGTGATCGAGAACTGACATAGAAATCGAAATTGCATTCAACTGTAAAACACAGTACAAGTGTCAACCATGTCTGACTCACCATTTCTTTTTTAGAAAATGATCCGTCTTCTTAGGAAGCTCGAAGCATAGCTTTATAGTAATTAAGCACAATGAACACGTAGAGTCAATTTTAACAGCCTTGACTCTGGTTCTCTTTCTCAGTCTTCATATTAAATCATCTAAATAGCATCAATCTTCCACAAGGACATCAGATTGTAAAGAATACTCTTTTGAATTTATAAGTTGGTAAACTAACGACAGTTTCTCTCTAAGTGGTGAAAGATTGAAGCAATAAGAAATTTTGTAAATAATATTTTTGTTCTTTACCGCAACAAAATGACGCATAATGTCTCCTTTTTTCTCATCGGAAGTTACAGAAATCAATAAAACACAAGTCTTCGAAATTTCCATCACTAAAGAAATTCATTCCTTGGAAATTTCTGTCGTCTGTGACATACTTTCTACTTTATTCAATAATTTCAGATTCCTAGTGGGGGAATCTCATTACTGGCCCATATTTTCCAAATGGTCACGTTCGACTGAATGGAAATACCCCAAGTCTCAATGATCAAATACATGACGTAAGTGTATATTATTTCACACATTAAACAAAATGAACTTGACACTGTCATTGAACAGTTTATTATAGTAAAATATAGCGCTTCTTTGAGTCCTTTCTTAGAAATCGAGCTTTTATGTCATTTTCACGAGATAAGTAATTAGTACAAAAAATATTCTGAGATTAATAACGAATATTCGTAGTTAGAAAATATCTGTGCCTAAGCAAAACATATTTAAAAACGCATTCTGTTCTTTCAATCACTGACAACGACGAACGGGGCCGCTGCAATGAATGCCATTCACAAAACCACGTTGACGATTTCGTAAAATAAGTTTATACCAGCGCGGACTGCTCTTCGGCACGTTTTTACTGGGGTTTCTTAACACGTAACATTCACCTGAGTAGTCATGGTCCCCATAGACAACACTCAACGGAGTGCAATAGTATGACGGACAATCGTAAACACGAGCCCAACGCTGGCACGAAATGATAGCAGATGTATTCTATAGAACAGAAAAGAGATATTGAACGTTCGGGTCCGATAGAGATCCTTACATGACCACAAGTGTACATAACGAATAGTAAAACCAGCAATGACAGTACAACGAATTTCTTGATCATTTGCTTGTCCAACTTTGACTTTTCTTTGTTTAGTAACGACCAGTTTCAGAGAGGCGAATTTATACAGGCTAGAATCCACGTAACCTACAGGAATTCGCCAATGCTTCAAACTCCGTTTTGAAAGCACAAACTTATTAAATAAACTCTTCCGCAGTGGTATAAAAAAGTGAAAGGATTTTTCTAATACTCGCCGCACTTAGCGAAAGAAAAGAAGACAAAATTATATCTTTACGCAAGAACAGACGCTGTTTTCGAGATACTAATGGGTCGCTTCTGTCAACTTCCAATCACTACAACACTATATATTGCCATCTGATCGAGGGTGAAAAAACGCAGTAAAGTTTACATAGTTATACTCATACTTTTCTTTCCTTTAGAAAAAAACCAACAACAGTAAATCGTGAAATTTCGAAACAGAAACTTCATGCGTACTCCTCAATCGATAAGAAAATATTCTCATTCGAAACTATCGCTAAACTGCTAACATATGTATTCTCATTAACTCTAAACGAGTTTTCAATTTTGGCACGAGTTGAACTAAGCTGACTACCTTTGCTAGATCATCTGATGATTGAATAGAATTCTTTGTTTCGTTCTTTTTCTTCGTACTAAAGTGAAAATTTTCATCGTGCTTCCATCTCGATCAATTGAAAACATCAATCAAAGTGCACTTTAAAACAAGTGAGAATCTTCCCTGGTTCTATGCGTTCAGTTTCCTGTCCGTACCCTGATAAATCACCTCCAATCTTTAACACACCACATACTCCACTCATCTCTACCCATCAGGTGGACATGCACCCAAAGATCTGGCTAAATACACCATATTTCTTGTTCATTTTCGTTAGTCACCAAATTTTGATTATTGTGGGTCGATTCACATCACCATTATGTCTCATTCTGAGAATTGTTTTTTCCATCGGCCTGCACATAACATCGATTCGTATGCTGTCATCAAAACAGTTAGAAATGAATGAAGCGGTTGTTGGAAGGTGACACAATAGATTGATCGAGAGATTTGATCATCATAGCCAGCGTGAGTTTATGAGTTACATATTGTTAACAACCCTTTTCCCTTCTAATTTGAAGCGTGTTGTCTAGATTTTGTGTTCTGGCACATTTCAGATAGGCTTGCTAAAAAAACAGACAACAAGAGCCATGAGAATTTTTCCATGTATCTCGGCTCGACGTATTTCTTTCTTGACGGAGATTTCATACTTTGATTGGTTCGAACTCCTCATTGTGTATACCGCTTGAATATTTTTGCTTTGTACTATAACCAACATCGGTAAGATATCACAATTCAAATGACGCATATCATACTATAGAAAAAAAATCCAACAATCCTTTTATAAGATTTTTAGGATGTATACAACATTGTCGTCTACACAATAGTCTTCGATCAGTGATTCACCGACTGAACATTTTGTAGTTTGAATCGCTTTACTAATACAAGAGATGTACACTGATTAGTATATGTTTGTCAAATCTTGTATTCATCCTATGTCGCTAGAAATATTAGAGACGAGTAGTATATGTCAAATACAGTTAGTCCGATCCGGTGGTGCCGGAAACAAGAATAGTGACTTCAAGATTAGCTGATGGATAACATAAAAATGTTGTCACCATGATCAGAATTGATTCGACTCTCTAAAACAACTTAAAACGAACCACCATCCCTTTTTGTTGTCATCCTCTCACAGTTTCGACGGCGATGAGAACTATGTACACCACGACATTACTAACGCAAAACACCTAGGAGATGTTGATGATGTCTATCTATCACTCGAATCTCCTCATCTTATAAGCATATATATATTTATTAACAAAAAGCTTTCCTAACTCATTCAAATCTAATCACAAACAGCAAATGTTCATTGTTTTTCTAGACGCGTTGCTTTCTCTTACGCTTTTCACGCCAATTCTTGATCTGTTTATGAAAATATTCCATGTATACAGACGACGGCATAATGTGGATGACGAACGTTAACGTTGTTGGAACAAACGAAATGTAATAACTCGTTACATTTAACCATGCATTTCGAGATTCTTTCACACATCGAAGTAATGATGAGATTGCAAGAAAAGGAACAGTTAAAGTTACAAGCAGCAGTGCACTTGTAAATAAAACCTTGTGCTGGTACAACTGATCCACAAGATGTTGACCTTCGGATTTATACTTTCGAGCTTTTGCTCTTTCACGAGCCATCACGATAACGATGTAAATAGCTGCGAAAATGTTAATGCAAAACGGTGCTCCTATGTGAATAAATGCAACGGTCATTGAATAGTAGTATAAAGTTGGTGAATAAAGAGTAAAACACCAAAATCGATTTTCCTCAGCATCATAATGTAAGTCACGAGATATACTTTCATATATACTCACGCTTGCAACTACCAACGGTAGTAAACGGACAAATCTTCGGGCGCGTTTTAGGCTCGAATGTTTGTTGAAGTTTGATGAATTTCTTGCAGCCATTGTACGTTCAATCGATATAGCAGCATGCAACCAATAATTCATCGAGGAAAGTAGTCTAAGGATGGGTTCGATCAATAAGCACCCGTAACGAAGAACATTATATTGTGTTATTAAACTCATTTGGGTGATTATAACGAACCAAAGTTTTGTCATCAACATTGCAAAAGTAAAGAATGATGTGACCGATAATGTCAAAAGATAGACACTACATCCAATTGTACGATGTTTTGGCCGGTAAAAGACGGCAAACGAAAGAGCACTATTGACCAAACCAACAGTAAATATGGCAAAGGTGAAAAATATGCTTGCTTTGATTATTGGCGACTGTCCATTCATTCCAATATTCGGTCGAATTTCGTAGCGAAAAAGATCATCGAGCGTCAGACCGATTCCTCTCGCATAGAACTGACATCGATCGCCAAAGTAACAGTCATTGCATTCACATATGGTTGTAACAGGGCAATATGGATGGTTTTGTAAGCATTGTCCACCATTGAGACAATGAACATTTTCTTGACATTCAAACTTAGGCTTATGATCGAATGGAAAACAATTGGCATGACGATCCGTCGTGCATAGACACATGTAAGATTCGTCAAAGAAACATTTCAGATTGGGATGATGTTGACATAGTGTATGATAATGTTTGACTCGTTGGATTCTGGGTAATTTAGTTTGTTCGAAGGAGAGTAGTTGATGAACAGGTGGGCAACGACGGGTTGAATCAACTGTAGCTGAAATGTTAAATACTTGTGATTGTTGAATAACAGCCAAATAATAGTTACGGTTGATAAGAACATAAACCATTTGAAAAGGATATGCTATATACACTGTTAGACTCTTATCACTTATACTTAGTTTTTTCAATATGATATCTCGCGGACGTCTTGAATAAAAATTAAGAGAGCGATAAATGTAAATTATTAAATAAGCTGACACGTCTAAACTGTGGAAGGAAATTCTCAATATTGATTTGGGATATTCACATCGGGCGCCTTGAAACTGTTCGGAGCACAAGCATTGATAATTTTCATCGATCATATGCTCACCTGTAACTATACATTGACCATTATTTCCACAATAATTTGCTGGACATGAATGTTTCAGCAGACAACGATTGCCGAATTTTTCGAGAGGACAAATACAGATCGATCGATTATGCACTTGACCAACACAAACCGAGTCTGACGAACAGTCACTACAGGTGGTTTGAATATGGCATCGAGCACCGGACCACCCTGGATTACATCGACAGAAGTACTTTTGTTCGTTGGCATATTTCATGCAGATACCATGACTGCATTTCAAAGAGCAAGAGCTAGGACTCATTCTTCTCTGGCTATCCAGCGTTAGCAAAATATTTAGTCGATTCACCGGAAGAAACAGAAATGGAACTCTGTACAACCAACTAGCAAGATATTGCGTAGAGTTCTTGTCATACGCATCAATATGAATGCTGTAGGTTTTGGAAATATTTTTTGGTTTGGATGAATATAATAAATACTTATCGAATGGATTTTTGCAGCTACTTTGAGAGACATACAGGAATTGGCCATATGAGTGTATGTCTTGTAAGTCGTCATCAACTAGTTTCGCGAAAATAACGTATGTGCGGTTCATGTTCACAGATGATAGTGTTAGTGTCAAACTTACACGTTGGCTTTGATATTCGCAACGATCTCCATAATAATTCGGCGGACACATACATCTCGCAGTTTGAGTATCGTTTCCTAGCCAAAGATGAACGGGCAAACCACGTACACAATGCAAAGATGAGGAGTAAACGCTTGTCGGTCGTCGTGCCGGTTCAACATTAGGAATGATGACTTTCTTTTCAACTGCTGGATACACTTCAGACGTTTCTGAAGGAAATGGAGCACGTTCTAATCTAATAGCATGGCAAATATTATCTTGGATTTTACTGAGATCATGGTCCATCCATTCAACGCATACGTCTGGGTCGTATAGTTTGCTCGTTGAGTCACAAAGTGTAAACGGATTGACACATGTTCTCCCATCCAAACAACTAAATCTGTATAATGATCCGCTTTCTGCATTCGTACCTTGACATAATTGTGGTTCATCTAATCCTCCAACACAATCAACCGTCCCATCCCGAACCTTATCACCTGCTAAACATATCATCGTATAATTGAGTGGTGACATACATTCAAACAAACCACGAGAGCAGTTCGATGCTCGACACGCTTCTTCATCTTCACCATTACGACAATTCCAGAATCCATGACACCGACTATACACATTACTACATGGCCAATGCTCACAGTCAGTCTCGTCCGTGTGACCATGACCGTCGACCACTTTAGCTGAAACATCCACAAACCCANATCAGAGACAAATATACTTTACAATAACTGGAAAAGTTCAAATTCCATTTTAACTGTTTGTCTTGAAGTTTTTGGTAAATGACTGAGAGATATTCGTTCATATGCGATGAACAGCGTGCAATCGGATCTTTCAAGGTGAATATCAACTGTTCAATTCGATTGGCCAATGCTTTGGTAAGTGCTGTTTCTTTTTCTTTTAATATCGTACTGATAAAATCGAATTCTCCCAAGGCAATTGAGGCAACAAGTGCATCGATCTGTTCGGTTGTGTTTAACTTGTCCATTTTCAGTTCTTTTCGTAACCTCTTCATTAAATCTTTTGGAGATTTCTTTTCGAGTAGCAATTCAAGAATTCGTGGTGTCAGAAATGAATCTTTATAAATTTTCCTCTCATCAAAGATTGGTTGAACATGCCAATATTGTTTCGCAGGATAATTTTCCAAATACCTTGCCATGTTATACTTTGTCTGATCTTTTCCCCAAATATCTTGATAGTAGAAGAGAAATGGCATCATTTCGTTATCACTCAATTCGAGAAACTGTTCAATTTCATGATATTCCACAATCGCTTTTCCACTCTGGTGATTGTCGTCGCCACCGTAAAGTGCACTGATCAAACTTATCCAGTTATGATCATACCTGATCTGCTGCGTTAGTGCTGCGTTTTTCAATAATGTCGTGCGGAATTTCAGCTGCAATTCAATCGCATCGTTTTTTATCTCTGTCGAATAGAATCGTAGACAGGAATCGACCGGCCAATTCCAAGTAGCTGAGTCATTATATAAGTTGATCAAAAATCTCTGGTGGAATTTCGAATTGAACCAGTTCAGGTGATAGATGATATTCGCACAAGGTGCAATGTTTTCATCGCATTCGAGTTGCTCGAGAAACCATTCGAGAGTTGTCTGGTAGGATGTTCGTTTTAGTTTTAAAAAATACGAATGGATCAACTTTTGGTGTTCATCTAGCCGAGAGAAACCCGAGAGATTTGTGTAATCGGATAGTAAAAGATCGGCCAATCGACGAATTAAGTCGCATTCCGCGCTTTCCGATAGAAAAAACATATCGTTTAAAGAATCGATAATCACGAACGGAACGATACGAGTCGGAGATGTTTGACTAGGTAATAGTCGTTCGATAATATTATGAAATAGCTGATTGTTTTGATCTTGTTTACTTAAGATTCCGAATGTCATGCTGAGAGGTACTCGCCAGTTGGGAATATCGATCTTTCGTTGAATATTGTCGTAGATAACCTCTTCGGAGCGTTGTATTCCATTGCAATAAATCAGACTTTTCGCAGCAAGATATTCCTGAAACGTTCGATGAATGAAACGAAAACTATCATGGCCAAATTCGTTCAATAAGCCAACTTTATACTTGAAGATTTCTACTAGTTGAGAGATGAAATCAGTTGCATCCGTTGCTGCCATCGATTTCTGAATTAGTTCTTTCAGAACTTTCTCCGACAGGCCTTCGACTTTTTCATGAAGATATTCGGCGATTTGTTGTAAAATCGACCACAGCATTACTGAACTCAGTTGCAATTGCTCATGAACGGATGATTGAACTAGATGTTCGATCATTTTGCCAATCGCTTGCTCATATAAGTCGATTCTTTTCTCGGGTAATTTTTCGTTCGATTGATGGTAAACAGCGGCGATGACGCTAGCAAGTTGTGGATTGATAGCTAATTGAAAAATATCCTGATTTTTGGTGATGTCATCGTACAATTGATCGATTTTATATTCTCTTTGTTCGGACGAAACCTTTCGAATGTATTTCGTGTAAGAATTGCAGAATAATTTCAAAGATTCATTCGACATGTCTTCGATTGTTAGTCTTGGAATATAGAAATTGATATCTTCGAAGTAGTTTCCTTCAATGCGACTTGTGATGATAAACCGATTGCCGAAAGTCGGATGTTTCGTATTGCAGATTTCTTTTTGTTCATAAGACGAAAAGGCTAATTTATTCGTTTTGAAATCGTATATGATATTCCGTTCTAATAAGGTATTGATATCTTTCATAAGATCAGCTCGATCAACATGAACAGGAACTTCGTCTAATCCTTCGAAGACAACCAAAACATCTCCATGTAGGAGCGAATCACTGAGCAATGCTGATAAATCTTTCCTTTCGTCGTCGGTGAAGACACTCGCATTGAATGTAGCATGTTCGTGCAAAAATTCGAGTAAACTTTGTTTCTGTCCGTTGAAATTCTCTTTCAATTGATCAACATATTTCCAAATCGGGATTAAAATCGGGATTTTTTCTTGTGACGTGTCTTCTTCATCGAACAACATATTCTGCATGCCTAAACATTGCCGAGCCATGTTTGTGACTAACCATTTCGATATGGTTGTTTTGCCTGAGCCGGGATGGCCAAGAATAATAAAATGTTTGAACTCGTTAAACGCTTGCCGAATTCGGTATTGTCGAACTTCTTTCAGGTTGTTTCGGAAGAGGATATTTCGTTTTAAATTTGAAATTTTATCTTTGATGACATACCTCTCAGTCAAAGAAAAGATTTTGTCATCGGCGAGAAGAACGTTTAACCATTGATCGATCATCAAATCTCGATAGATCGTTTGTGGATTATACGCATGGTGTTGAAAAATCGCTCGAAGAATTTTTCGTTTTTCATTGTCAGTAAAGAATTCCTTTGATGACACGCGACGTTGGAATTCTTCGGTCATGTCTACCGTTTTCATTGCTTTTATCGACGGATGTGTCGGATCAAATTTCAACTCAACATAAACGCTTTCTAGTGGTAAATGAAGATCATGATTTAAACATCCGAAGATTGAAACATGACCGTATTCTTCCAGGAGATAATTGAGATATTTCTGACGAACGTGTTCTCTTCGAATGGATAATGAGTGATTTTCAAGGCGGAATGTTGATAAAGGGGAAAGATTTTTGAGAAAGGATAGTATATCTTCGAAAGTATTTCCGCAAGGGATTTCTACGAAATTTTCGAGAATTGAACATTGAACAGTTGAGCGAATAAGTTTGTAAATTGCCGGTCGATTTATAACAGAAAGATAGAAGATCCACTTTAAAATATTTGAGAAATCTGGATCGAATTGCTGAGTGCCGTAACCAATGAAAAGTAACGTTTTACCTTGAACAAGCTTTAAGAACTTCATTCGTATGATTTTATCCTGAAAAAGCTGATCACTGTTCAGTACGATACTGCTCGCATATTGATACTGCCCGTGCAGATGCAAAATATGATGGACGTCTAGGCTCTGCAACGACGGATCAGTCCGATATTGCTCCCAAGTTAACGATTTTTTGTGTAGTACATCTTCAAGAAGTGAATCGTAATTTGTCGTCACAATTGGACATCGGAAATCAGCCAAGGCTTGTATCAATTCTGGTTTGTGTGGTAATAATTTTCCGATTGTGTCATTTAACCAACATTGGTAAGCATCGGTGTGTTCTTGCATATAGGGATTTGCTCGGTTAATGATTCGGTTGTATTCGTCTATGTCAGTAGTAGGATCATTCAACTTTTGAATGTCTTCATTGAAATCTTCATCTGAAATCTTTGATAATTCGTGAAGTGCATGTTGGACTAGTACTTTCGAATATGCAACTTGCATGTCGTCATTTGCTGTATAAGCAGATACATCCGAACCAACAAATATGACTAATTTATTCGCAATAAGATCCTTCTTGATGTTTTCAATATTGTCGAACATCTTGATAGTCTGAAAATGAAATGTGACTGTGTTTCTTCCTTGGAAGAACGGAAAGACTCTTTCTTTCTTTTCATTATTTGCACAAGAAAGAACATATTTTTTCCAACATTCAAAAGAAGAAACGCATGTCATGACGTTTATTGTTTATTGGAAGAAAAAAAAACGTTGCAATATTCTACTGTAGATCGATATTTTGTTTGTAAATACTATTGAATAAAATACTAATCTGCTACAATAAATAGAAGAAAAAGTCCATGTCGCTGAAAGTGAGAACATCATTTCTAGAATTCACTCATGAAATACTGGTTAGTCAACGCCTGTAAGTGGACTAGATAACCAAAATGATACGTTTATCATTCCTTTTTTTTATACAAACAAATATCTACACGTCAATAAAAACTGAACTATGGATTAACAAAAATACAGGAAACACTGATATGAAACCTGCATACTCGCCGACGACCTCAAGATGTGTATCAGCAACGTTCAGCGAATACTGGTGGGCCAGCATTTCTAACTATATGGCCGAACCAAAACAAAATCATTCTGTCTACAACCTTGTGCAATATCCCGGCTTTAAGAATGACATCATATATTCCACTCGATACAAGTCTCATGTCAGTTACGTATATGATAATGATACATAAAATTGATGAGATTTGTCACTACGAGGAAGTGGAAAGTCATATGTCAGATGACTTGAATAATAACCGTTAACATTAAGAAATGAAGTTATTTCATCATCGAACATGCAGCGTTTATAGTAATACAATTGCATATTCAACAAGAAGATGATGAGCTTCACTGTTAACATTGATCATTAGAAGCACTAAATGATTTTCTAAATGGCGTCTCGATCGATAAATTGTGGCTAGATATTGTAGAGCATATGTTGAGTGGATGAAGATAAGAAATAGAGGTATTGGCAAAAGTATTGAATCGCTTTTAAGCACATATTTTCTGTTCGAATGAAATGCAGATTTCATATCTTGTTTTGCAACGTCAATATTTTCTTCTCTTCGTCAATTTACGTCACTCTTATTCATTCACATGTTTGAAACAACACACAATCACCCATAAGAAAAAAACTAAGAACCAAATGACTCGTTCGATGTGTCTCCACAGCACTGTAGATAATATTCGGATATTGATGAGTTGAATTACGTATTTGAATGATTTTCAAATTTCGAATGAAATGAAAATATGTAGTATGTTAGTGGTTAATTTAGTGTCACCATTTTAAACAGAACATTAGCAGAGAGAACTTGTGTTCTACATTTCCTAGCAACAGCATGAGTCGACTGATAGTCTTTATCAGATACAAACAATAAACAAATGCATTATCTGCGCGATATAAAAGAGCAACCATAAGGCATCTGCTCTATTCATACTGATTTAACTCTATAACAATGAAATTCACAATGACTCTTATGTTTATGGTTATTCTTTTGAATATTTCTCTGGTACTGGGTGATTTTTCCTGCAATTGTGTATGCTGCAAAGGGCGTCTTCTGACAACTTGTCTTTCCTTGAATTCTCAAATGAATCCATGTCAAAATGACACTTGTCTCAATTATTGTCGACAAAAATATCCAACACTTTGTCCAGCAGATATTGCATTAGGTACATCCTACGGAACTTGTCGTGTTACTGCCTTAGCGTCACATTATAAAGCAAGTGGTCTAATAACCATTTTATTTATGACAGTTATAGCCTTTTTTAAACAAATAACTTTTTAATATCTTCATCGTTTTCTATCGTTCTCTACTCGTGCATTGCACGTGATCTTTTTTGAGAAGAATACATAGAAACAACAAGAATATGTAAACTTGAATACATATCATCTTTTGATCGTTGTAAAGTATGTCTGAAGGTCGATTAATAACAGTCGTTGGAGCTGCGGGAGCTCAAGAGAGTGCTGTTGTACGAGCATTAGTTGAAATAGGTAAATGTAAAGTAATGAATCGCTCTTCTTTCTCACGAGGAAATGTGTGTTTATCTGGAAAAGTTCGCGTTCTAAAACGGGATGTATCAAGTGCATAAGCTCAAGCAACAGCATCGAACTGCTTACATATGATATCACCAGAAATGACTATGTGAAACGTACATTCAATGATTCAGGGGCGAATGTAAATCAATTTGAAGTAGAAAACAACAAAGTTGTATCATGAACGGCAAGTTCTCTATTATATTTTTAGCACTAGTGATGATATCAAAGAAAGATATTTCCATTGGAGAGCGATCTTTGCTGCGCCTGGTATGTTCATGTAAAACTGACAAATGGTGGAAAACCTCCTAAACCAGATAACAGAACAGTGATGTTCACTGCTCCTATCGATCAAAAAGCCAAACTAAATTTATCAGATACTGATAATATCGGTCCTATCGTTTGTGAGAAATTCTGAGCGATACATTGATGAGCACCTTCGTGAATGTGCCAATGAAATTAGTTTGGAAATTATGGCTGAAACTTTTACGAAAGTGATCGGAATTTCAGCGATAGGAAACCCACTAACTGAAGAAGAATTTCGCCAGGCAACTCAGTAACTTCCTAAAACTTTACAGAATAACGTTTTCACGATGCATATATGGATTGAAGAGTATTGTTACTATGAACAGAGTGAAGATTGACATAGATTAACATAACTACATACTTGTGAACACTGGTTGCAGAAAACTAACTTGAGAGATAATAGAAAGGAAAGCCATCTTTGGCTAGTTTTGACTCCAACACTATACAAACTATATTATTTAGTATGAGAGAAACAGAGTTTTGTTCGATAGTCTTTCAGTGCTCAATAGCCGAATAGTTGCCGCCATAATTTCATGGAATTGATAAATTCTTTCTTGTATAATGGAGATGGCAGAACATAGATGACGAAGATTAATGTCGAAGGGATAAACGACATGTAGTAGCTGAAAATGTACAGCAACGAACTTTGAGAGGCTTTCACACAGCGAAATAATAATGAAATGATGACGAGAGGAAATGTTAAAACAATTAACATTATCGGACTGATAATCAAGTGTTTCTGCTGACAAAGTTGCTCTTTAAAATGTTGATAACGAGTTTTATGCGTGCGAGCTGTTGCTTTTTGACGTGCAATCGTGTAAATAACGTAGAGCGCCGTCACAATATTGATAAAGAATGGTGCCATCAAATGAATAAATAGAACTATCGTTGTATATATGTACAACGATGATGAATAAAGAGTAAAACACCAAAATCGATCCTCTTCGACATCATGAAATAAGTCGCGAGAAACGCTTTCATACATATTCGAACTCATAACTACCAAAGGTAAGAAAATAACTACCCATCGAGCAGCGTAGATGCTAGCAGATTTACTGAAATATATTCCTTTCCAAACAGTCACAGCACGTTCAATCGATATAGCAGCATTCAGCCAATTGTTCATCCAAGAGAAAATTTTAAGCAAAGGTTCGACTAATAAGCAACCGTAACGAAGGACGGTATAGTTTGTTGCTACGTTCATTTGTGTAAGTAAGACAAACCAAAATTTCAGCATCAGTATTGCAATCGTAAGTAGAGAAGTGATCGACAATGTTAGAAGATAGATACCACATCCCACTGTACGGGTATCACAGCGCAAAAATGTGGCCAGCGAAAGCATACTATTAACTGAACCTGTGAGAAATAAAACCAGCGTTAAAAATATACTGAATTTAACTATTTGTGACTGACTACTCATATGCATATCTGATCGAATTTCGTAGCGAAAAAGATCATCGAGCGTCAGACCGATCCCTTTCGCATAGAACTGACATCGATCTCCAAAGTAACAGTCATTGCATTCACATATAGTCGTTGCAGGGCATTGTGGGTGGTCTTGTAAGCATTGTCCACCATTGAGACAATGAACATTTTCTTGACATTCAAAGTTAGGCTTATGATCGAATGGAAAACAATTGGCATGACGATCCGTTGTGCATAGACACATATACAATTCGTCAAAGAAACAATTCAGACTGGGATGTTGTTGACATAGTGTATGATAATGTTTGACTTGTTGGATTCTGGGTAATTTAGTTTGTTCGGAAGAGAGTAGTTGATGAACAGGTGGGCAACGACGGGTTGAATCAACTGTAGCTGAAATGTTGAACATACTTGACTGCTGTGAAACGACCAAGTAATAGTTATGATTGCTTAAGATAAAGACTATTTGAAATACATGATGCGAATACAATGTAACATTGTTTTGCATCTTTGTCAACTTTTTTAGCAACGTCTGTTGTGGTAATGGTGGTTCTGAATTAACAAATGAGTAGATGTACGCTATTAAATATGATGAAATATCCCTATTATTGAAAACTATATGTAATCTTGCTTTACGATGCTCACACCTTTTCCCTCGAAATGCATCAGCGCACAGACATTCATAACTACCATCGTTCATTTGTTCGTCTGTAACGACACATTGACCATTGTTTTCGCAGTAATTTGCTGGACATGAATGTTTCAGTAGACAGCGACTGCCGAATTTTCCGAGAGGACAAATACAGATCGATCGATTATGCACTTGACCAACACATAGCGAAGCCGGCGAACAATCAGTGCATTTGATAGGTATGTGACATCGAGCTCCACTCCAACCGCTATCGCATTGACAAAATGTCGTTTCTACATTGATATACTTCATACAGATGCCATGTACACATTCCGGAGAGCAGAAACCGGTGTTGAATGTTCGATTGGAATCCAACGTGAGCAGAGCAGCCATTCGATTGACCGGTAGGAAATTGAATAAAACTCTAAAATACCAGCTTGCAATGTACTCTAGTGACATGCTATCATAAGCATCGATATGAATACTATAGTTTTTCGAAGGATCTTTCGGTGTTGTTGAATACAAGAGATATTTGTCAAACGGTTGACCGCACGTTGCTTTTGAAACGTAAATGATTTGTTCATAAGAGTGTACTTGCTGCCGATCATGATCGTCATCAATCAGTTTAATAAAAATAGTATATATACCGTATGTGCTAACAGATGATAATGTTAAGGTCAAACTGACGCGCTGATTTTGATACTGACAAAGGTTCCCATAGTAATTCGGAGGACACATGCAGATCGTAGTGAAATTCTTATCCCCTAACCAGAGACGAATGAGCAAGCCACGAATGCATCGTGACAGTGAGTTGTAAGTCTTAAGCAGTTTTTCTTTTGCAACATCGATCGTGTTGAACATTGTATCTTCCACCAGTGGATAAATTGGACTTTCTTCTAATGTAAATTGAACATGTTTTAATCTACCAAAATGACAAAGAAAGTTTCGTATCTTTGTAAGATTATAACCAATCCATTCCGTGCATAGCTCTTCCTCATTAACTAATTCGCCATCCGAGTCACATAATACGTAAGGTTCAATACACGTTCGCCCATCCAAACAACTAAATCGGTACAATCTTTCGCTTTGTGCATTCGTACTTTGACATAATTGTGGTTCATCTAATCCTCCAACACAATCAACTGTCCCATCTCGAACTTTATCAGCTGCTAAACATATCATCGTATAGTTGAGTGGTGACATACATTCAAATAAACCACGAGAGCAGTTCGATGCTCGACACGCTTCTTCATCTTCACCATTACGACAATTCCAGAAACCATCGCATCGGCTATACACATTGCTACATGGCCAATGCTCACAATCAGTCTCATCCGTATGACCATGACGATCGAACACTTCAACTGAAACATCGACAGCGCCATCACATATCTGGTTGAACAAGATACTGTCGATCGTTTTCGTCTCATTTTCACCCAAAGGACAACCCAATCGTTGAAGTATGGGCGATCGACATCGACTTTCGTTCGCACACTTGAACCGATGTGGCTGATCAAGGAAACAACTGAGTTCGTGATCTTCCTCATCATCGTTCAGATAGCAGTCAGTGATGTTATCAGCTATTCGATGTTTCGAGATGTATTTCGAAGAGTTTCGGCACTGATACAGTGATGAATGTTTTTCATCTGTGTACCGAGTAGCACAACCAACAAAGTATGGTTTGATGACACGGATCATGTGTTTCCAACCATGATACTTTGTGTTTTGTGATAGTCCCATGTGATGAGCATGACGACATGTATGAGATCTGTGGCGAAATGTTGGCGAAAGATAAGTGCACAACTGTTCGTCATAGCAAATATAGTCGGGTAATAGGATGGAGTCATTGGTCATTTCAAATATTTGTTTAGGTTGGTAGAGAAAGTGAACATGACCGAACAAGACAGGACTGATGGGGAACTGAATGAGATGATCACATGCACGAAGATGAGAAAGATGAATGGTTGTGCCGTTACAGAATGTTGGATTGATAGGATGCATTAGTCGAGTGAGACAAACCATCGCCAACCAACAATCATCAGGTAAGGATCCTTGTACAGTCAATGATTCGAACAGCAAGAGATGTCGTCCGTTGATACATTCATCGAAATCATCGACACATTGTCCATCGCCACATGAGAATTTCTTCTGACCAGGTGGACATGCGACTTCTTCACATTGGAATATACCTGCTGGTGAATGAGAACTCGGGCAAAGCGAATCAGTCCATGTATCGGATTGATCTAGACATTCTGCCGTGATTTGTTCAAGTGTCTGATGATAGTGTGGAATACATTGTCCGTTGTGGCAGCGATATTCATTCGGCTCACACTCGTTGATTTCCAGATCGAAACATGCAGCTTCGTCAACACCATTGTTCAGACAGTCGATTCGGCCGTCGCATACTTCTCGCCAGTCGAGACAAAGAGCTGCTCCACCTCGATCACAGTCCAATAGAACATAACACGTGTGTCCAGTAGCGAGAGCAGTGGACTCGATTTCGTCGGATTCCAAAGAATACTGACATCGAGATCCAAACCATGGTGGTGTACAGTTATAGAATAGTTGATTAGCTTGAAGAGATGTGTTGTGATGATCGAGATAGTCTTGATACTGTTCGGCGAGATCGATGGAGGTCGACCAATGGAAAATGTCATAGGCAGTGACATTGATTTGAAATAGTTGGTGAAATGTATAATTTTGATCGCGGGTATTGATGAAATCTGCTATCGGCATGAGATCAACACCAGTCGTCGATCGAAAATAATATTCAGTTTTTGTAATAAATCCTGTACGTGTTATATAGTAATATAAACAGTCATACTGTGATCGAGAACTGACATAGAAATCGAAATTGCATTCAACTGTAAAACACAGTACAATTGTCAACCATGTCTGACTCACCATTTCTTTTTTAGAAAATAATCCGTCTTCTTTGCAAGCTCGAAGCATAGCCTTATAATAATTAAGCACAATGAACACGTAGAGTCAATTTTAATAGCCTTGACACCGGTTCTCTTTCTCTGTCGTCATATTAATTCATCTGAATAGCATCAATCTTGCACAAGGACGTCAATTTGTAAAGAATATTCTTCTGAATTTATAAGTGGGTAAACTAACGACACTTTTCCTTTAAGTGGTGAAAGATCGAAGCAATAAGAAATTTTGTACATAATATTTTTGTTCTTTACCGCAACAAAATGACGCATAATGTCTCCTTTTTTTCTCATCGAAAGTAACAGAAATCAATAAAACACAAATCTTAGAAAGTTGCGTCACTAAAGAAATTCATTCTTTGGGAATTTCTGTCGTCTGTGAAATACTTTCTACTTTATTCAATAATTTCAGATTCCCAGTGAGTGAATCTCATTATTGACCCATCTTTCCCAAATGGTCACGTTTCACTGAATGGAAACACTCCAAATCTCAATAGTCAAACACATTACGTAAGTGTATATTATTTCATACATTAAACAAAATGAACTTGATACTGTCATTGAACAGTTTATTATAATAAAATATAGCGCATTTGAGTTCTTTCTTAGAAATCGAGCTTTTATGTCATTTTCACGAGATAAGTAATTAGTACAAAAAATACTATGAGATTAATAACAGTTATTCGTAATTAAAAAATATCTGTATCTAACCAAAACATATTTAAAAACACATTCTGTTCTTTCAATTACTGACAACGACGAACGGGGCCGCTGCAATGAATGCCATTCACAAAACCACGTTGACGATTTCGTAAAATAAGTTTATACCAGCGAGGACTGCTCTTCGGCACGTTTTCACTGGGCTTTCTCAACACGTAACATTCACCTGAATAGTCGTGATCTCCGTAAACAACACTCAACGGAGCGCAATAGTATGACGGACAATCGTAAACACGAGCCCAACGCTGACACGAAATGATGGCTGATGTATTCTACAGAACAGAAAAGAGATATTGAACGTTCGGGTCCAATAGAGATCCTTACATGACCCCAAGTGTGCATAACGAATAGTAAAACAAGCGATGACAGTACAACGAATTTCTTGATCATTTGCTTGTCCAACGCTGACTTTTGTTTATTTAGTAACGACCAGTTTCAGTGAGGCGAATTTATACAGGCTGAAATCCACGTCATCTATAGGAATCCGCCAATGCTTCAAACTCCGTTTTGAAAGTACAAACTTGTTAAATAAACTCTCCCACAGTGGGTTAAAAAAATGGAAGGATTTTTCTAACACTCGCCGCGCTTAGCGAAAGAAAGAAGACAAATGATATTTTTACGCAAGAATAAACACTGTTTGCAAAGCACTAATGGGTCACTTCTATCAATTTTCAATCACTACAACACTATCTATTACCATCTGATCGACTGTGAAAATACATGAAAATACACAGTAAAGTTTACATAGTTATACTCGTACTTTTCTTTTCTTTCGAAAAAAACAACAGTAAATCGTGTAATTTCGAAACAGAAACTTCATGCGTACTTTTCAATCGATCAGAAAATATTGTCATTCGAAACTCTCTCGAAACTGCTAACATATGTATTCTCATTAACTCTAAATGAGTTTTCAATTTCGTACGAGTTGAACTAAGCTGACTACCTTTGCTAGATCATCTGATAATTGAATAGAATTCTTTGTTTCGTTCTTTTTCTTCGTACTCAAGTAAAAATTTTCATTGTGCTTCCATCTCGATCAATTGAAAACATCAATCAAAGTGCACTTTAAAACAAGTGAGAATCTTCCCTGGTTCTATGCGTTCAGGTTCCTGTTTGTACCCTGATAAATCACCTCCAATCGTTAACACACCACATACTCCACTCATCTCTACTCGTCAGTTGGTCATGCACCCAAAAATCTGGCTAAATACATCATATTTCTTGTTCATTTTCGTTAATCACCAAATTTTGATTATTGGACGATTGTGGGTCGATTCACATCATCATTATGTCTCATTCTGAGAGTTGTTTTCTTCATCGGCCTGCACACAACATCGATTCGTATGCTGTCATCAAAACAGTTAGAAATGAATGAAGCGGTTGTTGAGAGGTAACAATGGATTGATCGAGAGATTTGACCATCATGACTAGCTTGAGTTTATGAGTTATATATTGTCAACAACCCTTTTCCTTTCTCATTTGAAGCGTCTTGTCTAGATTTTGTGTTTTGGCACATTTCAGATAGGCTTGCTAAAAAAAACAGACAACGAGAGTCATGAGAATTTTTCCATGTATCTCGGCTGGACGTATTTCTTTTGACAGAGATTTCATACTTTGATTGGTTCGACCTCCTCATTGTGTGTACCGCTTGAATATCTTTGCTTTGTACTATAACCAACATCGGTAAGATATCACAATTCAAATACGCATACCATACTATAGAAAAAAAAATCTAACAATCCTTCTATAAGATTTTTGGGAGGCATAGAACATTGTCTTCTGCACAATAGCCTTCAATCAGTGATTCACCGACTGAACATTTTGTAGCTTGAATCGCTTTAGTAACACAAGAAATGTACACTGATTAGTATATGTTTGTCAAATCTTGTATTCATCCGATGTCGCTAGAAATATTAGAGACGGGTAGTATATGTTGAATAGAGTTAGTCTGATCCGGTGGTGCCAGGAACAAGTATAGTGACTTCAAGATTAGCTGACGGATAACATAAGAATGTTGTCACCATGATCAGAATTGATTCGACTCTCTAAAACAACTTAAAACGAACCACCATCCCTTTTGTTGTCATCATCTCACAGTTTCAACGGCAATGAACTATGTACACCACGATATTACTATCGCAAAAACGCCTAGGAGATGTTGAGGATGTCTATCTATCACTCGAATCTCCCCATCTTATAATGCACATATATTTATTAACGAAAAGCTTTTCTAACTTATTAAGATCTAATCACAAACAGCAAATGTTCATTGTTTTTCTAGACGTATTGATTTCTCTTACACTTTCCACGCCATTTTTTGATCTGTTTATGAAAATATTCCATGTACACAGACGACGGCATAATATGGATGACGAACGTTAACGTTGTTGGAACAAACGAAATGTAATAACTTGTTACATTTAACCATGCATTTCGAGATTCTTTCACACATCGAAGTAATGATGAGATTGCAAGAAAAGGAACAGTTAAAACTACAAGCATCAGTGCACTTGTAAATAAAACCTTGTGATGGTACAATTGATCTACAAAATGTTGACCTTCAGATTTATACTTTCGAGCTTTTGCTCTTTCACGAGCCATTACGATAACGATGTAAATAGCCGCGAAAAAGTTAATGCAAAACGGTGCCCCTATGTGAATAAATGCAACAGTCATTGTATAGTAGTATAAAATTGATGAATAAAGAGTAAAACACCAAAAACGATTTTCCTCAGCATCATAATGTAAGTCACGAGATATACTTTCATATATACTCACGCCTGCAACTACCAACGGTAGTGAAAACACAAATCTTTGGGCGCGTTTAAGACTCGAATGTTTGTTGAAGCTTGATGAATTTCTTGCAGCCATTGTACGTTCAATCGATATAGCAGCATGCAACCAATAATTCATCGAGGAAAATAATCTAAGTATAGGTTCGATCAATAAGCACCCGTAACGAAGAACACTATATTGTGTTATTAAATTCATTTGGGTGATTATAACAAACCAAAGTTTTGCCATTAATATTGCAAAAGTAAAGAATGATGTGACCGATAATGTCAAAAGATAGACACTACATCCAATTGTACGATGTTTTCGCCGGTAAAAGACAGCAAACGAAAGAACACTATTGACCAGACCAACAGTAAATATGGCAAAGGTGAAAAATATGCTTGCTTTGATTATTGGCGACTGTCCACTCATTTCAATATTCGGTCGAATTTCGTAGCGAAAAAGATCATCAAGCGTCAGACCGATCCCTTTCGCATAGAACTGACATCGATCTCCAAAGTAACAGTCATTGCATTCACATACGGTTGTAACAGGACAATATGGATGGTTTTGTAAGCATTGTCCACCATTGAGACAATGAACATTTTCTTGACATTCAAAGTTAGGCTTATGATTGAATGGAAAACAATGGGCATGACGATCCGTCGTGCATAGACACATGTACGATTCGTCAAAGAAACAATTCAGACTGGGATGTTGTTGACATAGTGTATGATAATGTTTGACTCGTTGGATTCTGGGTAATCTAGTTTGTCCGGAAGAGAGTAGTTGATGAACAGGTGGGCAACGACGGGTTGAATCAACTGTAGCTGAAATGTTAAATACTTGTGATTGTTGAATGACAGCCAAATAATAGTTACGGTTGATAAGGACATAAACCATTTGAAAAGGAGATGCTATATGTACTGTTAGATTCTTATCACTTATACTTAGTCTTTTCAGTATGATAGCATGTGGGTGTCTTGGATATAAATAAAGAGACTGATAAATGTAAATTATCAAATAAGTTGACAGGTCTAAACTGTGGAAGGAAATCCTCAATATTGATTTGGGATATTCACATCGGGCGCCTTGAAATTGTTCAGAACATAAGCATTGATAATTTTCATTGATCATATGCTCACCTGTAACTATACATTGACCATTATTTTCACAATAATTTGCTGGACATGAATGTTTCAGTAGACAACGATTACCGAATTTTCCGAGAGGACAAATACAGATCGATCGATTATGGATTTGACCAACACAAAGCGAGTCTGACGAACAGTCACTACAGTTGATTTGAATATGGCATCGAGCACCGGACCACCCTGGATTACATCGGCAGAAGTATTTTTCTTCGTTGTTATATTTCATGCAGATACCATGATTGCATTTCAAAGAGCAAGAGCTAGGACTCATTGCTCTTCGGCTGTCCAGCGTTAGCAAAATATTTAGTCGATTAATCGGAAGGAACAGAAATGGAACTCTGTAAAACCAACTAGCAAGGTATTGCGTAGAGTTCTTGTCATACGCATCAATATGAATGCTGTAGGTTTTTGAAATATTTTTTGGTCTGGAAGAATATAATAGATACCTATCGAACGGATCTTTGCAACTACTTTGAGAGACATACAGGAATTGGTCATATGATTGTATGTCCTGCAAGTCGTCATCAACTAGTTTCGTGAAAATAATGTATGTGTGGTACATGTTCACAGATGATGGTGTTAGCACCAAACTTACGCGTTGACTTTGATATTCGCAACGATCTCCATAATAATTCGGCGGGCACATACACCTCGCAGTTTGAGTATCGTTTCCTAGCCAAACATGAATGGGCAAGCCACGTACACAATGCAGAGATAAGGAGTACACGCTTATCGGCCTTCGGGCCGGTTCAATATTAGGAATGATGACTTTCTTTTCAGGTGCTGGATACACTTCAGACGTTTCTAGAGGAAATGGAGCGCGTTCTAATCCAATAGCATGGCAAATATTATCTTGGATTATACTGAGATCATAGTCGATCCATTCCGTGCATAGCTCTTCCTCATTAACTAATTCGCCATCCGAGTCACATAATACGTAAGGTTCAATACACGTTCGCCCATCCAAACAACTAAATCGGTACAATCTTTCGCTTTGTGCATTCGTACTTTGACATAATTGTGGTTCATCTAATCCTCCAACACAATCAACTGTCCCATCTCGAACTTTATCAGCTGCTAAACATATCATCGTATAGTTGAGTGGTGACATACATTCAAATAAACCACGAGAGCAGTTCGATGCTCGACACGCTTCTTCATCTTCACCATTACGACAATTCCAGAAACCATCGCATCGGCTATACACATTGCTACATGGCCAATGCTCACAATCAGTCTCATCCGTATGACCATGACGATCGAACACTTCAACTGAAACATCGACAGCGCCATCACATATCTGGTTGAACAAGATACTGTCGATCGTTTTCGTCTCATTTTCACCCAAAGGACAACCCAATCGTTGAAGTATGGGCGATCGACATCGACTTTCGTTCGCACACTTGAACCGATGTGGCTGATCAAGGAAACAACTGAGTTCGTGATCTTCCTCATCATCGTTCAGATAGCAGTCAGTGATGTTATCAGCTATTCGATGTTTCGAGATGTATTTCGAAGAGTTTCGGCACTGATACAGTGATGAATGTTTTTCATCTGTGTACCGAGTAGCACAACCAACAAAGTATGGTTTGATGACACGGATCATGTGTTTCCAACCATGATACTTTGTGTTTTGTGATAGTCCCATGTGATGAGCATGACGACATGTATGAGATCTGTGGCGAAATGTTGGCGAAAGATAAGTGCACAACTGTTCGTCATAGCAAATATAGTCGGGTAATAGGATGGAGTCATTGGTCATTTCAAATATTTGTTTAGGTTGGTAGAGAAAGTGAACATGACCGAACAAGACAGGACTGATGGGGAACTGAATGAGATGATCACATGCACGAAGATGAGAAAGATGAATGGTTGTGCCGTTACAGAATGTTGGATTGATAGGATGCATTAGTCGAGTGAGACAAACCATCGCCAACCAACAATCATCAGGTAAGGATCCTTGTACAGTCAATGATTCGAACAGCAAGAGATGTCGTCCGTTGATACATTCATCGAAATCATCGACACATTGTCCATCGCCACATGAGAATTTCTTCTGACCAGGTGGACATGCGACTTCTTCACATTGGAATATACCTGCTGGTGAATGAGAACTCGGGCAAAGCGAATCAGTCCATGTATCGGATTGATCTAGACATTCTGCCGTGATTTGTTCAAGTGTCTGATGATAGTGTGGAATACATTGTCCGTTGTGGCAGCGATATTCATTCGGCTCACACTCGTTGATTTCCAGATCGAAACATGCAGCTTCGTCAACACCATTGTTCAGACAGTCGATTCGGCCGTCGCATACTTCTCGCCAGTCGAGACAAAGAGCTGCTCCACCTCGATCACAGTCCAATAGAACATAACACGTGTGTCCAGTAGCGAGAGCAGTGGACTCGATTTCGTCGGATTCCAAAGAATACTGACATCGAGATCCAAACCATGGTGGTGTACAGTTATAGAATAGTTGATTAGCTTGAAGAGATGTGTTGTGATGATCGAGATAGTCTTGATACTGTTCGGCGAGATCGATGGAGGTCGACCAATGGAAAATGTCATAGGCAGTGACATTGATTTGAAATAGTTGGTGAAATGTATAATTTTGATCGCGAGTATTGATGAAATCTGATATCGGCATGAGATCAACATCAGTCGTCGATCGAGAACAATATTCTATTTTCACTGGTAGTAAAAACTCCGTTGAATAAGAATAGTATATACAGTCGTACTGAAGATAACTATTCGTGTAAAAGTTAGAATTAGACTCGGTTCTTGTCGACAAAAGAAATAAGTAGTAGAAAGCAGTCAACATTGCTGAAGTATGAAATGAATGGTATTCTCAACACTTATTCTAATATAATAATAATAAAATCTAACACAAAAAAAATTATATTTACTGAACGTTGACTCAAGATTTAAATGTAGTCACCGGCTGATTTGGTAAATATCCAAAGTAATTGATGACTTTTTTTATATTTGGAATATATCGGTTTATTTGATGTTTGCAAGCTAGGCCACTATACGATTATTGTCTAAAGAATACTTGCCGACGATATAAATTATTTTCTGCTTGGTTAACTGTATGCCAATATTTTATAGTTTCACTATTGCCGGAAAAGTTTGTCAATAAATACTTGCAGAATATTATTGCAGGCAATTAATCATAGTGTTGCTTTTGAGTTTCTTGCTTCTTTGGGTCTTATAAAACGTGTAGATGAACGCAGAGAACTGCATTATTTTTATACATTATGAAAATTAAATTCTGTTTTTAGATAATAAACACGGAAGTATATTATCCGATGTCAACGACGATATCTTCATGGATGAAACCATCACGAACACTGTCGTGTTCGTTTCTTTGTTTTTGAAGTGTAATACTTCTGTTAATGGATGACTTTCTTCCAGAAATTCATGTTGTTATATGGATGCATGATTATGCCAGTTTTTTTTAGCTGAGCTTATAAAGTTATGCTAGTTTACCCTCATAACCATTTTCTCAGGCTATGAAACCATCGATCATTGCTTTCAACACAATAAAACCTGGTGAAGATCTTTTATTCTTTATGATATATAGTATGCAAATGAAAGAAATTTTTTGACATATTGACAATGTGAGCAGCTATGTCGATGTTAGAGAAATTCTTTGTCGATGTATTGCTGCTAGCAAAACTACATATCGACAGAAGTCTCTGTCAATCGATAATACAGAAATCTCTACGTGTAGATCTGTGTATATACTTTAACACTGCACATACTGTTTTATCATAGTTGAAATGAGAATGAGATCGGCATAAACAAAGCCAAGCTCGAACGTGTTTGTCTTTGTGACTAAGATACATTCACTGCACATCAATGTTAATATGATTTATATCGTTTTAATAACGGACTTCAGAAGATGTATTACGCCGTTGCCAAAAAGTGGGAGCATACACTTATACCAAACGGGAATTTGTAAGTGTAATGCTCGAAGCGAAAGAAAGAAAAGTGACGAGTGAGTGAACGGAAGTGACGATTTATTGAAAAAAGATCATTGGCACAAATACTAAATAGAACAAAGACGCAGAGATGATGAAACATCGCAAAGAGCAAAGATGATGACGTAGAAATGAACAAGGAAAAAGGTGATGAAACGCGGTGAGCGGAGAAAAGATGACGACAGATGTCAGCCTCTCACACATTCTTGATTACATTTGATTTCGAGATTAATTTGGGTAAAAAAGTAAAACTGTTGAAAAGTAAGAGTTTAGTTAGGATCCTGGTTACGTTTGCAACGAGGGACACTGCCTATGCAGAAGAATCCATTGACATAACCAGTTTCATTTGACGTCACGTTCAGTCGGAACCATTGTTGACTTTCACCGGGAATGTCTGGATTTGGTATTCGAATGACATAACACTGGGAAGGGTAAGTGAAGCCTTTTCGAGCTACTCCAATTCGTGCACATGTGTTTTTAGGACAGCTGAAAATAGGACCACGGTGCTCACAGAATATGGTAGTGCCATTCTATATAAATAATATAGAAAAATATTGTACCACTAAAATCTACTTACTTGAGCATGGACGATGAATAGCATTGTCAGTGCGAATATAAGTAAAACCAACATATTGTTCGCCATTATCTTGTATTTGAATTTTGTACGCTGCTGATGCTTGGACGATTACTGATGATCCGCTTCATTTGCGATCGACTTTTATAGTCGATTTGACTGGCTTGTAGCATTGAATTATTTTGGAAATTGTCAATCGCCGAAATCGGAAGTTCATGAATAATATTCCCTCTAAATGTACACAAAAACAAATCTGATCTGTATTTGTCCGTTGGCAACACTCTGTTAAAAACAATCGTCACGTAGTATCGGCGAAAACAGCTGATATTATTCATGCAACTTCCCCACAGTTTTGTTGGAAATATCTTTTTAAACAAATTGTCAAGTGTTCCCTTTTTACTTCTGCGTTCGACGAATTGATGAATAGATGACGTAAATAGAAATGGCGCGTACGAATTTCATAATGCGACTCAAATTTTTTCCAGTATGGTGATCCCATCATGGGTCATCGTCATCACTGTGAACCGAAATTTGCTGTTGTTTTTTCACGACTACTACCGAGAAGGAGAAAACCGTTTTGTAGCAAATTTTTGAATTACATAGACAAAATCGAAGAGTTATCAATTCCTTCCAAATTTCTTGGAAATATATTGAAAACGATTGCTAACTCTGATTTGACGCTTTTCGCTTCCCGATAATTAATGGGTTCTCTCGTGTTAGAAAGGCAATGATTTTTCTTAGAAGCTTTTGTTTTCAACTTTGTTTCGTTTGAATGCAATCAATACTTTCATTCTGTCAGCTTAAGAAACTTGGTGAATCATCCCTTGGAAGAATAAACAAATCCACTGTTGTTTTTCCTTTTTTTGTATGTGACAATCGCAGAATGGGAAAAAATTTCATTTTCACAGACTGATTTACTCATCATCGGAAGATTCGTTAGTAATATTCAATAAATCCGTGAAATCAACTTTCGATCGGCGAAGAAATTTTGTGCGGCCTATTCCTTCGAGTCATCTGTGGTATTGTAATTTTCTTATACGACATTTTCAACTGATTCTAAACATAAGTCGGTCGATAATATTTCTTCGGCATTCTTAATCAACAGCAATGAGTGAAACGTCGGAAAATTTATGTCAATCGATTTGAATATGAACAAACAATGTTCCATGAATAAAATTTCCGTTCTTTGCTTTTAGTTTGATATGCCGATAGCCACGTTGGAGTGCGTTGAACGGGATGCAAGCTTGTCCGAGAAACGTTGAACGATTCAATCGATCTTTATCTCGTACTTCGAACATAATCAAACACAATTCCGGGCAATAGATATCTAAATTGATTCGATAATCCCATATGGGGTTAAGTCCATTGTTACGCACGGATGGTGTTCGATGTTTTGTATTATCGCATTGGATACCATAAGTGAAAACTTCAACGTATGGATCAACGATGTCGTGATGTTCGATAGAATCATTTTCTTTCGGCAAGTGTTGAGCACTGATAATGTGTATTTGTAAATATTTCATATTGTCATGAAGTTTTTCTTTCGGATTGAAGAATACGGCATCGGAGAGCAAAAACGATGGCTTGAGGAGGTAGCCACATCCTCCATTGTCGCTGAAAAATCCATCTTGCAGCCACATCGGTCGGTCATTGGCTTGATAATTAAGTGCAACCATTTGAACGCCTAAAGAGTGGAGACTAAGGTGGATTTTTTCCAATGTTTAGTTCTTTTATACCATAAGACCAATAGTTGATGGGATTTATATTACTAGAGTTTTGTCGTTTGGTGCCTGGATAAACCCGCACTAAATGACGTTTAGATAATTTGATCAAATCGAGATGCTCAGGTGTGTCGACATCAATTAAATGATTGATCTTCGATTCTTTGAATGAAATCGAATGAAAGCATTTCTCTATAAAGAGCAACAACTAATCAAAATATGAAGGGAGTATGAAAACCAACGTGTCGATATCGTGTGTTCGATACTCTTCAACGAAACGATTTCAGAATAAATGATTAACTTTGAGAAATCCGGATGATAATCCTAGAAATGGAAATATATTTGATAATAGCAGTAGAAAGATAAAAACGAAGAAAACACCTTTGAATTTGATTCCATTTCATCATTACGTTCACCATCTTCTGGATCAGTTACAACTTGTCCTTTTGAAAATCGACGACTCTATCCATTGACAGAACAGAAAGTTAACCCATCTATCAAATAATTCGTCTCACTCGAATTATTATTTTATATTTCAATTCCTCCGGTGACGGTAATACTTCAAACTCATCTGCCAACACTTTTGACAAAAGACAATCTTTGAGGATTTCTCGTAGGTGACGAGCCATTGTCTCTTGCTGTTCGTAGGAGCAATGATTTTCTATGTTTAAAAACACGGGATACCTACAAGACATCAGAACTTCGAAATAAACACACCATCATGTCAGTTTTCTTACGGTGAAGCCGTAAAGGCTACAGTTTCGATAGCAGAGATCGCATCCCGAAATGTAATAGGTTTCGTTAATGTTTTCCCATGGTAAACAATCGGTTCCATGTCATCTCCATCATAACAATCCACTAGAATGCAAAACAGAACAAACTCTTCATTCGAACAGACTTCATGCTTTTACATTCTACAGCTCGACAACCGATGCGTAACGCATGAATAAACGTTTCATGCGTGCAATTTCCATAGACTTGATTATCGCGAATATAACTAAAGATATACAATCAGTTACATCGATTCGGGAGATATACTCACGTGTTATGAGATGTCGCAATGAAATAATCCGTTATTGGTCGTGTCATATCTTGATACACACGTTCCGTTTTCTCAATATCGATTATACAGAATTCATCATGAAGTAAAAGTAAACGAAAGCCATCTACACTTAATTCTTTGTAACTGCGTCGTTGATCTGACGGTTCAAACCTGTCTATTAGCTTCGAACAGTCTTCGTAGGAAATGTTTTTCATGTGTTGTTCCCTGACTAGGAATTTCCTCAGTTGCTTCATTGTTAAATAGTTCTTTTTGCCAGCGATGGCAATTTCCGACGAGATTTTTAGCCTCGGACGCCGATGACATCGAGAAAATATACTCCTCGATTTCGATTTCCGAAAACTGATCGACGATGTATCCTGTCGCTGCTCGAGTGGCGTTGTGAATGGCAAATTGTTGATTACAGAATAATCAGAAAGTGTTGCTGCTGTTTGTTTCGGTGTGCTATGATTGAATCTAACAGAAAGTGAATTTTTCAATTGTTCAATCTTCATGTATTTCCTACCGACAAATAATTTTCAATAATTCCGATCGATTCGATACGAATTTATAAAATAACAAGAATTCATCTTTATCCAAATGGGTCAATTGTTCATAATTATTCTTTCGAATGTTCGCTTGCCGGAAATATTTATCAATTTCGTTATCGTTTAATTTAATATTCAATGTAAATAGAAGTCGTCGAATCTCATTTCGATCTAACATGTTCGAATGATCGTGATCCGCGTTAGAGAATAAGTACTGGATCCATTCATCGGTTATTTCATGATACGTACACAGATGAGAACGATAACGGCTTGTTAAATACTCCAAACATTCGATCCACTCCGAACAAATTTGTTCGGTTTGAGCAAGTAGATCAAGAGAATAGCGATTGTTTTGATATAGTATCGATAATGCTCGAATGGACTGTTCAGGCGTAACTACACCTTTATCTAAACATTTCTTCCATACGCTCGTTGTGAAACCCGAACGAACTTCGTCGATATGTTTGATTTGGCCTAAAAGTCAAAGTCTGATGAATTTTGTTCAGACATGTAGGTGAATCATACATGCTAGACGTTTAGATCGTTTTGACGAAGGATAGTAGTAGATTGCATGCTCGGATATACTGAGAAAGTACCAATGTGAATAGGAGTGACCATGGAGTCGAAAGTGAAGAAATGTTTGTCCGTATTTCAACCGATCAAGAATACGGAAACGTTCGACTTGATTTGAATCGAGCGAGTTTTTGTTCATCAATCTAAATACAAAGAGATTCATCAAGGTCTTTTTCTTAAACATTATCAAACCTTTCCCATTGTGCTTCATCCATATTGTCGTTATTTGTGACCAATTATAAAATCTCCTTGTGTATGTGCCCTTTTATGACGGTAAGTATAAGTCAAACGAATATTGAGTGTACACATACGAAAGAAAAAGAAAGAAAACGATATGACCAAATTCAAACTCGCAAAAGCTAGGATTATCATTTAATTATATCGACGTCAATGTAAGTATTTTATTCCCACTTATAATCAACACATGTTATCATTGCGTATATACACAGATTCCAGCAAGCATCGGACTTCAGTTTGTCTACACTGTTGTTCCTTCCATTCATGACTAGAATCATCTTCTTTCAAAAGTAGTGTGGTTGAGAAAATGTTTGCTCTGAACCCTTACTCGCCGTTCACATTCTTGTATTGCATAACTGTTTACAATTTATCTGTGATTCACTCATCGATATTAAATGGCAAACAAATCAATGACGACCCGAATGCAATCATTCGGGATTGATACAAAGGTAAACACGTGGTTTTTTTTTTGTTTTTGTGCGATTATTTTACATATCATCGAATTTTGCAATGTCCTATCTCGAAACCATCGCTGCTGCTACTTCGATACCCCTGGAAACGTTGTCTGTTGCGGCGACCACGGTACCAAAATCAGTTCCTGTCTTGAGTAATATTTTTAAAATTTCGACGGATATTCGCGAGACGACGGAACGAGTAGAAACGAACAAAACACAATGTATGCAATTAAGTGAACGTATCGATACATTGATTGGATTTTTAGCGCAACGCGATCTGTCGGAACGTTTAAATGAAGCACTGCATATCGCACTTCATCGCTTTGAAACATTTTTGCAACGCTGTTTAGAATTTATCAGTACGTTCTTAGAAACATCTTGGCTGAAACGTGTTGTGAACAATAAAGATTATGAGCGGAAATTTCAAGACTTAAATCGGGAATTAACCCAATATTCTAATGATCTTAATTTCGGTATCGGATTAAGTAACATGAAAATCAAGAAGATTCATCAAGACGACGAAGAACAAGAAGTTCAGACAAAGGATATTGTTCAAGACAAAACTAAGAAAAACAATAACGAACAAATCAGCATTGATGATAATTTACAAATAAAAATAAACATGAAAGAACCTTCGATGGCCATACGAAGTCTTCCTATAAGAGTGAACAATATTAATGTTTCTTCTTCGAATGACCGTTCTTTTCTACTTATAGACTACACCGGAGCCTGTTGTGGATGTTCCGCCAATACAGAATTTAATTTTTGAATCTGGCCTGTGGAACTATGGATACAAACAATTCAATCAATTCTTTGGTCCGTTTCGACAGCAAGTCACTTTTAATCGTCAAACAAAAACAGTACACGGTTACGGAAGAGACAATGTCGGGCAGTATATACTAAACGGAACATTTTCAGAAAGAACTGGACAAATCAGAATGACGCAAACATATCAGGTAACGTTTTGCTTTAAACGTAGTTTGTCTTACAACTATATTTAGTTGGGTACGGGAGATCCGAAACTTAATCTTGGACATCAAGATCTTCTGCAATTTAATTTGAATTCATCACGCAACGTATTCGAAGGGGTGGCCTATTCAAATGTTCAAGGAAATTACGTTCCAGGAGCGTTGGTCGAAATGTGGCCTGCCTAAACAAACTTGACATATTATACCGCTTCTTGCTCTTCACTGCCATGAAAACATAAGATAGACAAGAATTAGTTAGACATTCAGATTTATTCTTAATCAACTAATCAGAAGTGTGAGTCATCGAGCAGAATCATATCTCCAAAAGAATGAAACTGAATCGCTTTGACAGACAAAACATACTTCGCTTCTGTATAATATAGTATTCCCGTAATTCGTGATATGAATTTGCTTGATAGTTCTACCAGCATTCAAAATCCATTTTGACAAGTTGTTTAACTATTGAATCATCAAAAGCGTGGAGTATGGTGATTTCATGAGTTGCGATCGCATACTGAACGTGAGCACGAGAACGTATATGTAAACTAGGGGTGGGGACGGTTGTTAATAATTATGTAAAGAAGAACCTCGTCTTTATTTTTTGCGCGCATTTTCAGTTCTGTTAGTTGAAGAAAGATTTCGTACATATGATACATGTAAAGTTGCTAAGAGAAACAGAAGGAACATAACCATGTCTAACACTAGTGACCATACTCAATTCCAAAATAACTTCAGCTTGAATCCTCATAAAGGTCTTTCTCGCGGCACACTTATTATTGTTTATTATACATGCCCAAACTGCTGGTTACATTATATACGGAAACACAAATGACACGACACGGCAAACCGGACATGGGTCTTTGTTTCCATATTATGAAAAGAGAAACCGTGATGGAGTGACCAACTTGAATGCAAGCTATACATCCCAATGCTATAAATACGTTGACTGTTGTCGGTAAAACGGGATCGACAATGCACAAGATCATGTCGTTAAAAATAGTAAAATCACCAAAGCCAATAGCTCGTTGAGGATTGTCGTTGTCTTTTCCATCTTCGATGTCATACATACAGTAGAGATCAAATGGTACCTTTTCCGTTGTCATCCAACGTATAAACAATTTCCAAAAACGTCCATTGATATGAAGACACATCGCGTTACAAAACAAAAAAACCAAGAAGTTTTTCAAATTGCTCTGTGTGATTTTCAAAGACTAAACAAAACAAATGATTTTGTATTTCACCTTCACATAATGTAATGAAAGTATCCATAAAAAAACCTATTTTCAATGGATACGGTGCATGGCGATACGCAATATCGTACAAGAAGAACAATGTAATAGAAGTAGATATACAACCTGACGCTTGCTGAAAAATCAAAAGTGGTCACGAAAGTTCGAAAACTTCCCATTTACACATGATATATATGAATTGCCAAACAAGTAAGTGAATATTAATCACATCGATTTTGTACCAATCGTGATTATTATTGCAGGAACGAGTCAAAAGTGAAACAAATAATACCGTATACAGAATCATACGAATGTGATTACACGATATTTTACCGCATAAACATTATCATAGGTCAGCTGTAAATCAGTACGAATGTTGGAGTCCATGTGATGAAAATATGATACAGGCGTTTAGAAATCAATTGGTCACAACGAATTTGCTGGTAAAGTCATGAGAATGCTCAAGTCGGTCGGATGAAACCTGGCTTTGCTTAAAAGAGAATGAAAATGAAAATATGCATAATTTATTGACAGAAATTGAAACAAGATTTTCAAGTTTTTCGATTAGCGTATGAAAAACGTCGACTTCATCGTAAATTTGGACGAGAGACATAATGAATGATAGACGTAAATGGTTTTCCACGCATTAGTGGCGATTTTTACTCTTTAATTAGCTGGACAGTTGTATGGAAAGCGACGAGTTTTAGAAAAAAGAAAACGCGATCAATTGATTTCGTCACTTTTTTATCGTTTGTGCTGGCTAATAAGACGATCTTCATACATTTCTAGATCAATAGGGAAGTTTTACAGATATTCACATTCAATAAATACTTCAGTTATTCTATCACTATAGTCCAATCTATCAAATGAGTAGACACAATCTACATCATCTTTCGTGTAAATCTGGTCGAAAAATTTTTAAAAGTCACAACAAATGGTTGCTCAGTAACTGATTTAACTATACAAGCTATTTCTCGAAAGATCAGAATTTTCGACTTCAGCTTTACATTAATCCTTTGATTGAGTCTTCAAATTGAAGTTCATTTGTCTATATAACGAAAATATCTCTTCTTATTCAATATTCAATTACAATGACTATTGATCCTCCATCCTGAAAATTCGAAGCGTTTTGATCGTAAACGATTACAATAGACGAACCGAAAAGGAATAGCATTTACACACGTGCGGGGACACGATATTGTGGACCGAGTGATCACTGTAACGTCGATGAAACCCATTAGACAGCAAATTCCTTTGTGGTGAGTTACCTGCTCCTGTTCTTTTTTGACGAAAAAATGAATCTTAAACGGTAGCACGCAATTGTGTTAATTTACTATTCAGTACGATAGCATTTCAATTAAATCGGATCGAATATCATTCACTTATATTTGAATTAGTGAATACATTTGCATATATATAATTGGTGTAATCATTGGAATCATACAGTTTGCTTGGCGAACTATTGTTATACTATCAGATCGTGAGAAGATTATGATTTTTTAATGAAAATGAATCTACCTGTAATATGCATGATTACTTAAATACGAATTACAATTCTAACAACACAGTTCGTATAATTTTATTCACAAAAAGTCTGATGAAGACGCGAGATACGAATTATTCGTCCTCATCGCAATGTGTTTACGGTAAAACTCTTGTTGACGATTCAATGCAACACTCAAGCTAAACACGGGTTACCTTGATTTGTTACATTCCGAAGTTTGCGTAGATGTGCATATTTTTCTCATTTGGAAAGTAAATGATTATATGAATCACCCTTTTTTTGTTCACTTAAATCACTAATGATATTTCAAGAGAAAGAAGTGGTTTTAAAATAGAGCGTTGATAAAACAATCGACTGAAAATGAAAAAAAAATAAAGATATCCTCGGCTCACAATTGAAAATATGGATAAACTAGAAATTCTCATTAATTTCGCCTTGCATTATTACAAATTTGAATTCTTCTCCCGATATATTTGTCACATATAGTTACATATCTAAGTAGTAAGACATAGAAAGTATACGCTTGTACATATGCTATCAGTTTGCAATTTCGATCGGAAGAGCTAATTTACGTTCCTTGCACTTCAAAAAAAGTTATTGTATATTAAATAACAGTGTAGGTATTCATTCAATGTATTGTAAAATCTTTGTGTAAAGAACATGGATGACTGTGTGAAAAACTATTTTATTGAATGAAATGTGAAAAATCAGATATCACTATATCGAAAAAAAGCTTTGGGTTTAGAATTAAGAAAAAAAAAGATACGTTTGGGTATCACTGTTGGAAATAATTTTGTACGAATAGTTGAAGAAGAGTTGCTATTGTCATCTAGAGAACAATCTTGTATTTTGGTGGTGATGAACGAACGACGTTGCGTGTTGTTGTCGTTGTTGTCGTGACGCGATATTTAACTACGGGAGCTGCGTCAACAACGACTTTTAAAGGTTCTTCAACTTCATAGACGGTGTAAACACGTCGTGAACGTGANTCGGATTCCAAAGAATACTGACATCGAGATCCGAACCATGGTGGTGTACAGTTATAGAATAGTTGATTGGCTTGAAGAGATGTGTTGTGATGATCGAGATAGTCTTGATACTGTTCGGCGAGATCGATGGAGGTCGACCAATGGAAAATGTCATGGGCAGTGACATTGATTTGAAATAGTTGGTGAAATGTATAGTTTTGATCGCGAGTATTGATGAAATGTTCTATCGGCATGAGATCAACATCAGTCGTCGATCGGAAACAATATTCTATTTTCGCTGGTAGTACAAACCCCGTTGAATAAGAATAGTATATACAGTCGTACTGAAGATAACTATTTGTGTAAAAGTTAGAATTAGATCCGATTCTTGTCGACAAAAGAAATAAGTAGTAGAGAGCAGTCAACATTGCTATAGTATGAAATGAATGGTATTCTCAACACTTATTCTAATATAATAATAATAAAATCTAACACAAAAAGATTTATATTTACTGAACGTTCACTTAAGATTTAAATATAGCCACCGGTTGGTTTGGTAAATATCTAAAGTAATTGATGGCTTTTTTAATATTTGAAATCTATCGGTTTATTTGATGTTTGCAAGCTACGCCACTATAAGATTATTGGCTGAAGCACGCGTGCCAACGATATAAGTTATTTTCTCCTTGGTTAACTGTATGTCAATATCTTATAGTTTCACTATTGCCGGAGAAGTTCGTCAATAAATACTTGCAGAATATTATTACAGGCAATTAATCATAGTGTTGCTTTTCAGTTTCTTGCTTCTTTTGGTCTTATAAAAGCTGTAGATGAACGCAGAGAACTGTATTATTTTTATACATTATGAAAATTAAATTCTGTTTTTAGATAATAAGCACGGAAATTTATTATCCAATGTCAAAGACGATATCTTCATTGATGAAACCATCACGAGCACGACTCGTGTTCGTTTCTTCGATTTTGAAGTTTAAGAATTTTGTCAATGGGTGATTTTCTTCCAGAAATTCATGTCGTTATATGGATGCATGATTATGTCAGTTTTCTTAGTTTAGCTTATAACGTTATGATAGTTTACAGTCATAACCATTTTCTCAGGCTATGAAACCATCAATCATTTCTCTTAACTCAGTAGAACCTGGTGAAGATATTTTATTCTTTATGATATATAGTATGCAAATGAAAGGAATTTTTTGACATACTGACAATGTGAGCAGCTATGTTGATGTTAGAGAAATTCTTCGTCGATGTATTGCTGCTAGAAAAACTACATGTCGACAAAAGTCTCTGTCAATCGATAATGCAGAAGCCGCTTCGTATAGATGTGTGTATACACTTTAACACTGCACATACTGTTTTATCATAGCTGAATTGAGAATGAGATCGGCATAAACAAAGTCGAGCTCGAACGTGTTTGTCTTTGTGACTAAGATAAATTCGCTGCACATTGATGTTAATATGATTTATATCGTTTTAATAACGGACTTCAGAAGATGTATAATGTCGTTACCGAAAAGTAGAAGCATACACTTATACCAAACGAGATTCTGTGAGCGTAATGCTCCAAGCGAATGAAAGAAAAGTGATGAGTGAGTGAATGAAACTGACGATTTATTGAAAATAAATCATTGGCATAAATACCACATAGAACAAAGACAGAGATGATGGCGTAGAAGTAAACAAGGAAAAAAGTGATGAAACGCGGTGAGCGGAGAGAAGATGATGACGACACATGTCAGCCTTTCACACATTCTTGATTAAGTTTAATTTCGAGATTAATTTGAGTAAAAAAATAAAACTGTTGAAAAATAAGAGTTTAGTTAGGATCCTGGTTACGTCTGCAACGAGGGACATCGCCTGCGCAGAAAAATTCATTGACATAACCGGTTTTGTTTGACGTCACGTTCAGGCGGAACCATTGCGGGCTTTCACCGGGAATATTTGGATTTGGTATCCGAATGACATAACACTGGGAAGGGTAAGTGAAGCCTCTTCGAGCTACTCCAACTGGTGTACATGTGACTTGAGGACAGCTGAAAATAGGACCATTGTGCTGACAGAATATAGTAGTGCCATTCTATATAAATAATATAGAATTATATATAGAAAAATAGTGTGCCACTAAAATGTATTTACTTGAGCATAGACGCTTAATAGCATTGCCAGTGCGCATATAAGAAACAAAATCAGCACATTGTTCACCATGATCTTGTATTTGAATTTTGTACGCTGCTGATGCTTGGACGATGAGTGGCGATCAGCTTCATTTGCAATCCGCTTTTATAGTCGATTTGACTGGCTTGTAGCATCGAATTGTTTTGGAAATTGCCAATAGTCGAAATCGGAAGTTCATGAATAATACTCCATTTAAATGTAAACAAAAAACAGATCTGATTTTTAATTGTGCGTTGGCAACGCTTTGTTAAAAACAATCGTCAGCTAGTATCGGCGAAAGCAGCTGACATTACTCATGCAACTTCCCCACAGTTTTGCTGGAAATATCTTTTTAAACATGTTGTCAAGTGTTCCCTTTTCACTTCTGCGTTCGGCGAATTGATGAATAGATGACGTCAATAGAAATGGCGCGTACGAATTTCATAATGCGACACAAATATTTTCCAGTATGGTGATCCCATTATGTGCCATCGTCATCACTATGAATCGAAATTGGCTGTTGTTTTTTCACGACTACCATCGAGAAGGAAAAAACCAGTTTGTAGCAATTTTTTGAATTACATAAACAAAATACGAAGTGTTACCAGTTCCTTTCAAATTTCTTGGAAATGTATTGAAAAAGATTGCTAACTCTGATTTGATGATTTTCACTTCTAGATAATTAATGGATTCTCTCGTGTTAAAAGGCAATGAATTTGCTTAGAAGCTTTTGTTTTCAACTTTGCATCGTTGGACGCAATCAGTACTTCGATTCTGTCAGCTTATGAAACTTGGTGAATCATCCCTTGGAAGAATAAACAAACCCACCGTTGTTTTTTCTTTTTTGTGTGTGACATTCGCAGAATGGGAAAAAGTTTCATTTCACAGACCGATTTACTCGTCATGGGAAGGTTCATTAGTAATATTCAATAAATCCGTGAAATCAACTTTCGATCTGCGAAGAAATTGCGTGCGCCTATTCCTTCGAATCATCTGTCGTATTGTAATTTTCTTATACGTTATTTTCAACTGATTCTAAACATAAGTCGGTCAATAATATTTCTTCGGCATTCTTAACAAACGCCAACGAGTGAAACATCGAAAAATTTATGTCAATCGATTTGAATATGAACAAACAATGTTCCGTGAATAAAATTTCCGTTCTTTGATTTTAGTTTGATATGCCGATAGCCACGTTGGAGTGCGTTGAACGGGATGCAAGCTTGCCCGAGAAACGTTGAACGGTTCAATCGATCTTTATCTCGTACTTCGAACATAACCAAACACAATTCCGGGCAATAGATATCTAAGTTGATTCGATAATCCCATATGGGGTTAAGTCCATTGTTACGTACGGATGGCGTTCGATGTTTTGTATTATCGCATTGGATACCATAAGTGAAAACTTCAACGTATGGATCAACAATGTCGTGATGTTCGATGGAATCATTTTCTTTCGGCAAGTGTTGGGCACTGATAATGTATATTTGTAAATATTTCATATTTTCATGAAGTTTTTCTTTCGGATTGAAGAATTCGGCATCGGAGAGCAAAAACGATGGCTTGAGGAGGTAGCCACATCCTCCATTGTCGCTGAAAAATCCATCTTGCAGCCACATCGGTCGGTCATTCGCTTGATAATTAAGTGCAACCATTTGAACGCCTAAAGAACGGAGACTAACGTGGATTTTTTCCAATGTTTAGTTTTTTTTAATACCATAAGACCAATAGTTGATGGGATTTATATTGCTCGAGTTTTGTCGTTTGGTGCCTGGATAAACCCGCACTAAATGACGTTTGGATAATTTGATCAGATCGAGATGCTCAGGTGTGTCGACATCGATTAAATGATTGATCTTCGATTCTTTGAATGAAATCGAATGAAAGCATTTCTCTATAAAGAGCAACAACTAATTAAAATATGAAGGGAGTATGAAAACCAACGTGTCGATATCGTATGTTCGATATTCTTCAACGAAACGATTTCAGAATAGATGATTAAACTTGAGAAATCCGGATGATAATCCTAGAAATGGAAATATATTTGATAATAGCAGTATAAGAAAGATAAAATGAAGAAACCACCTTTGAATTTGATTCCATTTCATCATTACTCCCGCCATCTTTTGGATCAGTTGCAACTTGTCCTTTTGAAAATCGACGGCTCTATTCATTGACAGAACAGAAAATCAACCCATCTATCAAATAATTCGTCTCACTCGAATTATTATTTTATATTTCAATTCCTCCGGTGACGGCAATACTTCAAACTCATCTGCCAATACTTTTGACAAAAGACAATCTTTGAGTATCTCTCGTAGGTGACGAGCCATTGTCTCTTGCTGTCCGTAGGAGCAATGATTTTCTATGTTTAAAAACACGGGATACCTACAAGGCATCAGAACTTCGAAATAAACACACCATCATGTCAGCTTTCTTACGGTGAAGCCGTAAAGGCTACAGTTTCAATAGCAGAGATCGCATCCCGAAATGTAATAGGTTTCGTTAATGTTTTCCCATGGTAAACAATCGGTTCCATGTCATCTCCATCATAACAATCCACTAGAATGCAAAACAGAACAAACTCTTCATTCGAACAGACTTCATGCTTTTACATTCTACAGCTCGACAACCGATGCGTAACGCATGAATAAACGTTTCATGCGTGCAATTTCCATAGACTTGATTATCGCGAATATAACTAAAGATATACAATCAGTTACATCGATTCGGGAGATATACTCACGTGTTATGAGATGTCGCAATGAAATAATCCGTTATTGGTCGTGTCATATCTTGATACACACGTTCCGTTTTCTCAATATCGATTATACAGAATTCATCATGAAGTAAAAGTAAACGAAAGCCATCTACACTTAATTCTTTGTAACTGCGTCGTTGATCTGACGGTTCAAACCTGTCTATTAGCTTCGAACAGTCTTCGTAGGAAATGTTTTTCATGTGTTGTTCCCTGACTAGGAATTTCCTCAGTTGCTTCATTGTTAAATAGTTCTTTTTGCCAGCGATGGCAATTTCCGACGAGATTTTTAGCCGCGGACGCCGATGACATCGAGAAAATATACTCCTCGATTTCGATTTTGGAAAACTGATCGATGATGTATCCTGTCGCTGCTCGAGTGGCGTTGTGAATGGCAAATTGTTGATTACAGAATAATCAGAAAGTGTTGCTGCTGTTTGTTTCGGTGTGCTATGATTGAATCTAACAGAAAGTAAACTTTTCAATTGTTCGATCTTCATGTATTTCCTACCGACAAATAATTTTCAATAATTCCGATCGACTCGATACGAATTTATAAAATAACAAGAATTCATCTTTATCCAAATGTGTCAATTGTTCATAATTATTCTTTCGAATGTTTGCTTGCCGAAAATATTTATCAATTTCATTATCGTTTAATTTAATATTCAATGTAAATAGAAGTCGTCGAATCTCATTTCGATCTAACATGTTCGAATGATCGTGATCCGCGTGAGAGAATAAGTACTGGATCCATTCATCGGTTATTTCATGATACGTACACAGATGAGAACGATAACGGTTCGTTAAATATTCCAAACATTCGATCCACTCCGAACAAATTTGTTCGGTTTCAGCAAGTAGATCAAGAGAATATCGATTGTTTTGATATAGTATCGAGAATGCTCGAATGGACTGTTCAGGCGTAACTACACCTTTATCTAAACATTTCTTCCATACACTCGTTGTGAAACCCGAACGAACTTCATCGATATGTTTGATTTGGCCTAAAAGTCAAAGTCTGATGGATTTTGTTCAGACATGTAGGTGAATCATACATGCTAGACGTTTAGATCGTTTTGACGAAGGATAGTAGTAGATTGCATGCTCAGATATACTGAGAAAGTACCAATGTGAATCGGAGTGATCGTGGAGTCGAAAGTGACGAAATGTTTGTCCGTATTTCAGTCGATCAAGAATACGAAAACGTTCGACTTGGTTTGAATCAAACGAGTTTTTGTTCATCAATCTAGATACAAAGAGATTCATCAAGGTCTTTTTTTAAACATCATCAAACCTTTCCCATTGTGCTTCATCCATATTGACGTTATTTGTGACCAATTATAAAATCTCCTTATGTATGTGCCCTTTTATGACGGTAAGTATAAGTCAAACGAATATTGAGTGTACACGTATGAAGGAAAAAGAAAGAAAACGATGTGACCAAATTCAAACTCGCAAAAGCTAGGATTATCATTTAATTATATCGACGTCAATGTATTTTATTCCCACTTATAATCAACACATGCCATCATTGCGTATATACACAGATTCCAGCTAGCATCGGACTTCAGTTTGTCTACCCTGTTGTTCTTCCTATTCATGACTATAATCATCTTCTTCCAAAAGTAGTGTGGTTGCGAAAATGTTTGGTCTGAACCCTTATTCGCCGTTCACATTCTCGTATTGCATAACTGTTTACAATTTATCTGTGATTCACTCATCGATATTCAATAGCAAGCAAATCAATGACGATCCGAATGCAGTCATTCGAGATTGATACAAAGGTAAACACGTGGTTTTTTTGTTTTTGTGCGATTATTTTACATATCATCGAATTTTGCAATGTCCTATCTCGAAACCATCGCTGCTGCTACTTCGATACCGCTGGAAACGTTGTCGGTTGCGGCGACCGCGGTACCAAAATCGATTCCTGTTTTGAGTAATATTTTTAAAATTTCGACGGATATTCGCGAGACGACGGAACGAGTAGCAACGAACAAAACACAATGTATTCAATTAAGTGAACGTATCGATACATTGATTGGGTTTTTAGCGCAACGTGATCTGTCGGAACGTTTAAATGAAGCACTGCATATCGCACTTCATCGCTTTGAAAAATTTTTGCAACGTTGTTTAGAATTTATCAGTACGTTCTTAGAAACAACTTGGCTAAAACGTGTTGTGAATAATAAAGATTATGAGCGGAAATTTCAAGACTTAAATCGGGAATTAACCCAGTATTCCAATGATATCAATTTTGGTATCGGATTGAGTAACATGAAAGTCAAGAAGATTCAGCAAGACGATGAAGAACAAGAAGTTCAGACAAAGGATATTGTTCAAGACAAAACCAAGAAAAACGATAAAAAAGAAATCAGCATTGATGATAATTTACAAATAAAAACAAACATGAAAGAACCTTCGATGGCCATACGAAGTCTTCCTATAAGAGTGAATAATACTAATGTTTCTTCTTCGAATGACCGTTCTTTTCTACTTATAGACTACACCGGAGCCTGTTGCGAATGTTCCGCCAATACAGAATATAATTTTCGCATCTGGCCTGTGGAACTATGGATACAAACAATTCAATCAATTCTTCGGTCCGTTTCGACAACAAGTCACTTTTAATCGTCAAACAAAAACAGTACACGGTTACGGAAGAGACAATGTCGGACAGTATATACTAAACGGAACATTTTCAGAAAGAACTGGACAAATCAGAATGACGCAAACATATCAGGTAACGTTTTGCTTTGAACGTAGTTTGTCTTACAACTATATTTAGTTGGGTACGGGAGATCCGAATCTTAATCTCGGACATCAAGATATTCTGCAATTTAATTTGAATTCATCACGCAACGTATTCGAAGGAGTGGCCTATTCAAATGTTCAAGGAAATTACGTTCCAGGAGCGTTGATCGAAATGTGGCCTGCGTAAACAAACTTGACATATTATACTGCTTCTTGCTCTTCACTGCCATGAAAACATAAGATAGACAAGAATTAGTTAGACATTCAGATTTATTCTAAATCAACCAATCAGAAATGTGAGTCATCGAACAGAATCATATCTGCAAAAGAATGAAATTGAATCGCTTTGACAGACAAAACATACTTCGCTTCTGTATAATATAGTATTCCCGTAATTCGTGATATGAATTTGTTTGATAGTTCTACCAACATTCAAAATCCATTTGACAAGTTGTTTAATCATTGAATCATCAAAAGCGTGGAATATGGTGATCTCATCAGTTGCGATCGCATACTGAACGTGAGCACGAGAATGTATATGTGAACTAAGGTGGAGACGGTTGTTAATAATTATGTAGAGCAGAACCTTGCCTTTATTTTTTGCGCGCATTTTCAGTTCTATTATTTGAAGAAAGATTTCGTATATAAGATACATGTAAAGCTGCTAAGAGAAACATAACCATATCTAACGCTAGTGACCATACTCAATTCCAGAATGACTTTAGCTTGAATCCTCATAAATGTCCTTCTCGTGGCGCAGTTGTTTTTGTTTATTATATATGCCCAAATCACTGGTTACATTATATACGGAAAAACAAATGACATGACACGGCAAACCAGACATGGGCCTTTGTTTCCATATTATGAAAAGAGAAACCGTAATGAAGTGACCAACTTGAATGCAAGCTATACATCCCAATGCTATAAATACGTTGATTGTTGTCGGTAAAACGGGATCGACAACACACAAGACCATGTCGTTAAAAATAGTAAAATCACCAAAGCCAATAGCTCGTTGAGGATTGCCGTTGTCTTTTCCATCTTCGACGTCATACATACAGTAGAGATCAAATGGTACCTTTTCCGTTGTCATCCAACATATAAACAATTTCCGAAAACGTCCGTTGATATGAAGACACATCGCGTTACAAAACAAAAAAACCAAGAAGTTTTTCAAATTGTTCTGTGTGATTTTCAAAGGCTAAACAAAACAAATGATTTTGTATTTCACCTTCACATAATATAATGAAGGTATCCATAAAAAACCTATTTTTAATGGATACGATGCATGGCGATACGCAATATCGTACAAGAAGAACAGTGTAATAGAAGTAGATATACAACCTGACGCTTGCTGAAAAATCAAAAGTGGTCACGAAAGTTCGAAAAATTCCCATTTACACATGACATATATGAATTGCCAAACAAGTAAGTGAATATTAATCACATCGATTTTGTACCAATCGTGATTATTATTGCAGGAACGTGTCAAAAGTCAAACAAATAATGCCGTATACAGAATCATACAAATGTGATTACATGATATTTTATCGCATAAACATTATCATAGGTTAACTGTAAATCAGTACAAATTTTGGAGTCCATGTGATGAAAATAAATCATATTTACTATGTCGTTTTGAACAGAATATCCCACCCTCAAGCGTATAAAAAGAAATATGTGAGAGAGAACAAAAAATTTGTCTAGGAATGATTGTACGTCATATAATTAGCATTTTTAGTAATCGGTCAATACGTTCGAGTTCGAAAACAAATATATTTCATGTGATACAGGCGTTTAGAAATCGATCGATCACAATGAATTTGCTGGTAAAGTCATGAAAATGCTGCAATCGGATCAAACCTGGCTTTGCTTAAAAGAGAATGAAAATGCAAATAGGCATCGTTTATTGACAGAAATTGAAACAATATTTTCAAGATTTTCGATTAGCGTATGAAAGACGTCGACTTCATCGTAAATTTGGACGAGAGACATAATGAATGATAGACGTAAATGGTATTCCACGCATTAGTGGCGATTTTTATTCTTTAATTAGCTGGACAGTTGTATCGAAAGCGACGAGTTTTAGAAAAAGAAAACGCGATCAATTGATTTTGTCACTTTTTTATCGTTTGTGCTGGCTAATAAGACGATCTTCATACATTCCTAGATCAAATTGCAATATGGTACAACGGGTATTCTTTGTAGGGAAGTTTTACAGATATTCACATTCAATAAATACTTCAGTTATTCTATCACTATAGTCCAATTTATCAAATAATCAAATGAGTAGACACAATCTACGTCATCTTTCGTGTAAATCTGGTCGAAAAAATTTTAAAAGTCACAACAAATGGTTGCTCAGTAACTGATTTAACTATACAAGCTATTTCTCAAAAGATCAGAATTTTCGACTTCAGCTTTACATTAATCCTTTGATTGAGTCTTCAAATTGAAGTTCATTTGTCTATATAACGAAAATATCTCTTCTTATTCAATATTCAATTACAATGACCAGTGATCCTCCATCCTGAAAATTCGCAGCGTTTTGATCGTAAACGATTACAATAGACGAACCGAAAAGGAATAACATTTACACACGTGCGGGGACACGATATTGTGGACCGAATGATCACTGTAACGTCGATGAAACCCATTAGACAGCAAATTTCTTTGTGGTGAGTTACCTGCTCCTGTTCTTTTTTGACGAAAAAATGAATCTTAAACGGTAGCACGCAATTGTGTTAATTTACTTGATTATTCAGTACGATAGCATTTCAATTTAATCGGATCGAATATCATTCACTTATATTTGAATTAGTGAACACATTTGCATATATCTGTTTGATAGCAGTGTGCCCTATGAATGTCTATACAATGCCTATTACGAATGAAATAAAAGAAAAGGGTATCTAATACATAATTAAATGTTCGGTTGTAATCTGTGTTTATCACTAATTGTGCGTTTGCGCATCGATACTCGTATCAGTTGTCATAATTGGTGTAATCATTAGAATTATACAGTTTGCTTGGCGAACTATTGTTATACTATCAGATCGTGAGAAGATTATGAAGTTTTTTATGAAAATGAATCTACCTGTAATATGCATGATTATTGAAAAGTGAATACATAGGAAAATGCGAAGAAATCACAAGTCTTTACATTATTTGTCGACAAATTTATTAAGATTTCATTATACTTACGTACGAATTACAATTCTAACAACAAATTTCGTATAATTTTATTCACAAAAAGTCTAACGAAGACGCGAGATACGAATGATTCATCCTCATCGCAATGTGTTTGCGGTAAAACTCTTGCTGACGATTCAATGCAACACTCAAGCTAAACACGGGTTACCTTGATTTGTTACATTCCGAAGTTTGCGTAGATGTGCATATTTTTCTCATTTGGAAAGTGAATGATTATATTAATCACCCTTTTTTTGTTCACTTAAATCAATAATGATATTTCAAGAGAAATAAGTGGTTTTGAAATAGAGCGTTGATAAAACAATCGATTGAAGATGGAAAAGAATAAAGATATCCTCGGCTCACAATTGAAAATATAGATAAACTAGAAATTCTCATTAATTTCGCCTTGCATTATTACAAATTTGAACTCTTCTCCCGATATATTTGTCACATATAGTTACATATCTAAGTAGGAAGACATAGAAAGGATACGCTTGTACATATGCTATCAGTTTGCAATTTCGATCGGAAGAGCTAATTTACGTTCCTTGCACTTCAAAAAAGTGATTGTATATTAAGTAACAGTGTAGATATTCATTCAATGTATTGTAAAATCTTCGTACAAAGAACATAAATGTCTGTGTGAAAAACTATTTTATTGAATGAACTGTGAAAAATCAGATACCTCTATATCAAAAAAAAAGCTTCGGGTTTAGAATTAAGAAAAAAAAGACACGTTTGGGTATCACTGTTGGAAATAATTTTGTACGAATAGTTGAAGAAGAGTTGCTATTGTCATCTAGAGAACAATCTTGTATTTTGGTGGTGATGAACGAACGACTTTGCGTGTTGTTGTCGTTGTTGTCGTGACGCGATATTTAACTACGGGAGCTGCGTCAACAACGACTTTTAAAGGTTCTTCAACTTCATAGACGGTGTAAACACGTCGTGAACGTGAAGGCTGGCGAACATAGGTAACTCGAACATCATCGCTGCATAAATCACTTGGAGCAAACGAACTCGAAGTAAGAAGGACGCTCATGTTGACAATTGAATTGAATTGGCGAAGACAGAAGACAGCTTGTTAAATTGTACAGAAACAACCGAACATACGTGAGTATTTATACAATGGGAGAGGTCACAGAGAGAAAAACAACAATCAATTATGGTTATTTTTTCCACTGTGACAATATCTGATACTGAACTATGGTATAAAGCACGCGTGAGAATGGAATTTCAGGCATGAAATCTGTATACATATGACTTTCGATGCATACAAATGAAGAAATGAATATGAATGTCTATTAACAAATTTGTTCCCTAGAGTTGACAATGTTGGATCGACGTCATACTCGTTTAAACGAAAACAACTGACAATTAGAACATTTGCCTGCCTTAATTTTTTTCTCTCATGAAAAATTTCCATTATTAAAATTTGCAATTCGGTGACCCATAAAACCAGTGTTAACCACCACCCGACAGAGAAAACCGCAGTTTGCTCGTTAAGGTTAGATGCAAGTAACACATGTGGCATATCTCAACCTGTTGTTTATTTATCACATTCACCGAGTTTGCATAAAAGAAAAACAAAAGCATTATATACATTACTAAAGCAAGAGAAATCTATGTGCATTGCGATCATTGTTAAGTGTAGCCCTATACGGAAAGGTGGAAGAATTTGACTTGCCGTTTATAGGATAACTTTGTACGGCAGCGTGTTGATGATTTCACTAGTTGTCGTCGAAGTCGAATCACGATCGTCATCATCCTCGTCATCGTATGTTACGTGTCCTTCAATCTCTACAATGGCGTATACATTTTGTGGTAGTCGATGAACAAAAGTAATGCTGAAATCCTTGCCATATGGATCAACGATATAGGAATTCGAAGGAAGAGTATCACACATGCTGGTCGTTGATTTGGCACAAGATGGACGACGAGTAGTAAACGAATATTGAAAATGATGTAGATATTTATATATCAGAATGAATATGTANTCGTATGTTACGTGTCCTTCAATCTCTACAATGGCGTATACATTTTGTGGTAGTCGATGAACAAAAGTAATGCTGAAATCCTTGCCATATGGATCAACGATATAGGAATTCGAAGGAAGAGTATCACACATGCTGGTCGTTGATTTGGCACAAGATGGACGACGAGTAGTAAACGAATATTGAAAATGATGTAGATATTTATATATCAGAATGAATATGTAGAAACGAAACTCAAAGAGAACGCTTTTTTCCAAGAAAAATCAGACATTTCTCGGTTGGTTCATAGCAATATGCAGCATCGACTCGGAGAAGTTTTCCTCTTGTCATACATGTAACATACAGCTTGTTATGCATTCTGAGAAAAACAGAGTTGGTGTTTTCGTTGCCATTCATTAGTTTGTTTCGTAGTATGGCTGTTTACTACCCGGTTGAAATAGGTCGAGCAAAACGGAACGAGTTAGTACGCTTTTTCTTACGGAAAGATTGATAATTAACAAACGAGATGTGTTTAGATAACAGATGTTGTCAATAAAAAAAAAACTGAGAAAGAGGACAGTACCATTGATGCACTTGTGTTACGAACGGCCCATTTACAGAATGGAAAAAGAATGTACAGTGTGCTAAATTGTTTAAATCTCCTTTCTAACACATTGCTTCTTCTACAACTCGGTAGACTCAATGCGTCTGCTCATGAATAGTTATACGTATTTTCTTGTTCTTCTGTTATTGTTATTATGCGTGTTAATAAGATAAACTTTCGTTGGAAGGTACCGACAAGAATATCTTTCTTATCTGAGACTTCTTTTTTATCATGCCCATATATTCTCCGAAAGTTGGTAGTTTTTCACCTCGTAAGAAACTTGAAAACGCTGACAGGTAAAAATGTCTTCGAATACGCGTCCTGCACAACAAGAAGATATCCAAGTGGCGGTTGTTGGAGATTACCATGATCTTTTTGACACCGAAGACGATTCAACGTCAATGTTTGTGCTGGTAATCCAGTGGCAACAGGTCGTTTAGCTTGGGTTCAAAACACATATCCAGCAAAATATAATTTTGCAGCCGAGAATTGGGAATCTTTGGAAGGTGTGAAATCAAAGACGAAGATGCGAGGAGGTCATCTTCTTCTCTATCGTTTTGTCATCGTAGTGGCTCTAGTTGGCGTCGGTATATGTAACATAGTCAGTACAGGTTCTATTGCTGGATCTGTTCTTATTTGCCTTCTTTACACAGCACTGTCGGGCTACAATACTTTTGTTTATTATCGGAATGGAACAGTTATCCATGATAGAATGATAAAAGTTAAAGATCGATATCTGACAAGTTATAGAAATGAATTTTTTACTATTCCAATTCATGCTAACATACAAGATCAACAATTAAGTGGAATGATTGGCAAGGATTCCTTAGTCGCAATGATCGGACAACAAGAACAACGGCGTGAAAATATCGACTCGATCGACATCATGATTTACAAAAAAGCTTATTTGGAATATACAAACTTTCCCGGCGAAGCTATCGTACATTTATTAGTTTTTTGGGTTATATTTGGTATCACTATTGGAGTTGCCAAATCAAGATAGTCAATTAGCGAACTATTTCCTTTTTGACCTCATTCTTCTTCATCCACAAATAAATATATGAAATGAATGATTTTCACGGTACTTTTTTGACACATCTACCGGCGTATTTGAAAGANAAAAGCTTATTTGGAATATACAAACTTTCCCGGCGAAGCTATCGTACATTTATTAGTTTTTTGGGTTATATTTGGTATCACTATTGGAGTTGCCAAATCAAGATAGTCAATTAGCGAACTATTTCCTTTTTGACCTCATTCTTCTTCATCCACAAATAAATATATGAAATGAATGATTTTCACGGTACTTTTTTGACACATCTACCGGCGTATTTGAAAGAACGTTAAGCATAATAACATTGTCCTTCGTTTCTTGTGTTCAAAACTATCATAACGTGGAGTTGCATACAAGACGAATTTATAGTTTATCAAGAACGATTTCATTATCAAACTGACATTAAAAAAGTATATAATGATGAAGTTCAAATATTGGACAAAACTTTCCGATCATTTCTTCCATCTTCGAGCTGATACGTTTTCTTTTTTGCTGTTCTCTTTCTCCTAGTAAACGAAAAATATATCTACTCAATAGCTCGTATGCGTATATTCTTTAATTGTCCTATCCTTGATGAATATAAGTGATCAATACGAATAGGGCGTATGAAGAAAGAGAACAATCGTAACAAAGAAAGCGCCACGCCCAAGATATCAATGGTATAAAAGAAAGTATGAATATTACAGTTGATTGTAAGAGTACAATAATCATGCCCTCTGTTGTTCATCAAGAACCATCTATTTTGTAAGTAGAAAAATGAAATTTTGTATATTATTTCATAGATTTCTGATTAGAGGTGCATCGCGAGTCGAACAAAATCCGAAAGGCTAGTGATAATACAGGAAAATATCGTACCCTATCTCTCACTGTTATAGCAGAACCAATTGAAAATGAACAAGCTGAATCGACACAAGAAAATTTTCCGAAAGGTCTAAGAGGTGGTGGCGCTTTATTCGATATGTGAGTTATAAAATCCGTATTTCCTTTTCAATCACGTGTATTTTCGCTTATTTATTTCAGTTTGGCCTGTTTATGCTTTTGTTTTGCCATTGAAGAATGCTGCTGATATAAATTTATGATTTTTGTTTTGTATTTTTAATAGCAAATAAAAATAAACAAAGATGAATCAATCGAGAATTGTAGTTAAATGTGAACAATGATAAATAATTCCAGAATAAAGGTTGATGATTTTCTATACACAAATAATTTGTTACCTTTTGTGTATGATGATGTTTTACGAGCATGGATGAAAAATTTTTCAATAGTTTCTCAGTGCAAACTACTTATAAAGATAGATTCAAGCAATTGTTTTACTTTCAATTGAACACAATTTACTTCGGTCGATAGAGGTGATATTGCAGCCACAAAGCCTTCAACGTCTATGGGAACAGTGAAAGATAAATACAAGAGTTACATGGTGAGAAAATACAGTTTACCCTATTGTTCCCCAATGCGTCCATGAAATACTGTTCACCTTGGGTTGTAGTGCAATTTTGTCGTAAGTTGAGCTCGATAAGAGTCTATACATCGCACGTCGATCGAATACAAAGTTACACAATACGACAAGAGGCATTACTGTATTGCTCTGGTGGTCGATCAATTCGTCGCCGTTCAATTCGTCGCGCTCAATTCGTCGCGTTCTTTTCGTCGCCGCTCAATTCGTCGCCTATTCAATTCGTCGCATTCAGTTCGTCGCGACTTAATGAAAGTAAGAGAGAGAGAATCAGACACAAAAACATCTGTAATCCAATCATACAGCTCCTTAAAGATTGTTACTGGAATCTGTAACAGGACTAAAATGCTGTAATGGAATTTGGTTCACAGCTTTTGAGCCGAGTTTTCGAAACCTTACAATCGATAAAGTAACATATCGCTTGCGTATTTGTCGAATCGAAGGTCGTCATTTCGCAGAGAACTTTTTTGAAGAAGGATAGGATCGTATTTGATATTTTCGAATATGGATAAAAGTTATCAATAGTTTCTGTAGTGATTAGGAAGAGTACGGTACAAAAGTTGAGGTGGCAAGACGAAAGGAAAGTGTTGGCTCTGATGTAGGTGAAGTATTCGACAACTGTTTTCGTATGAGATACATGAAATTCACTGTGTCAGCAAACTGAGTGCAGAGAAGATTCTCGATACTCGAAAAAATGGGCTCTGGAAAACCTCTTCCGCAAAACTTTAGTGACAACACCAAGGGAATCAATACACGGATATCTGTTCTCAAAGTTCTTTCGAAGCCTCCAAAGGTTTCTTTTAAAACCTATGGTTTTTGTGGGTCAGTCTCAAAGACCATACAAAAACCTAAGACTCGGAACCCTAAGTCCTCTCGTGATTTTTCTGGAGGTTTGGGGAACACTGAGCCCCTCTTCGAATAAAAGTCTGGCATCACCGCTACTTTCAGTAAATAATTATAGTTTTGATATACGTTAGATTTGATAAGACTTGATTGAGCCTCTCAAGTTGTTCAATAGACTCTAGCAAGTCTTTACAGAGTTGCGTAATTGGATTACAGATGTTTTTGTGTCTGATTCTCTCTCTTTTACTTTCATTAAGTCGCGACGAACTGAATGCGACGAATTGAATAGGCGACGAATTGAGCGGCGACGAAAAGAACGCGACGAATTGAGCGCGACGAATTGAAGGGCAACGAATTGCTCTAGTGCCATTGCTCTGTAGTGCAGGTGCCAGAGATAGTAATCCTTGATCTCCAATACTATTACGTCCCAGATCTAGGTGAGTGAGTGTCTGAAAAAAAAACATAGTAGGATCTAGATGTACAATAAACAAAAAACACGAAAGACTACCCTATTGTTCGATAACGTATCAGCTATATATTGTACACCGTCGTTGCCGATTTCATTTCCCCAGATTTCGAGTTCAATAAGCGTCTGTGTGCAGAAGCGTACATGAATACGTGAAAGAGATTATGAGAACTTAACAGATACCGTGTTGGTTTTCAATGCACCAGCCAGGAATCGTGCTCCTTCATCTTTGATTTCATTCGACTCAAGTTCAAGTCCAGTAAGGGTCTACATTCAAAAGTACACCCAAATTTGTGAAATAGAGAATTGAAGAAACTATTACAGTATTTTCCTTCAACATATTAGCTATATATTGTGCTCCTTCATATCCGATTTTATTGCATCCGAGTTGTAATATTGTCAGTGTCTGTACGCAAAGAATTACGATTAATCACATGTGATAGATCATAAATGGAAAACATCACTCGATTGCTTTCTCATGTACCGGCTAGATACTGCGCTCCTTTACACCCAATATAATTGTATACGAGTCCAAGTATAGCGAGCGACTGTAGAGAGAATTATAGATGACTACAAAAGATGGCTACAAAGAGAATAAAGATTATTGTATTGTTCTTCAACGCATTGGCGAGACATTGTATTCCTTCATCTCCAATTTTATTCTCATTGAGGTCCAATTCATGGAGAGTCGGCATGGAACATTTTCCATGAAAACATATATCAAGCAATAAACAAAATAGATCTACTTTGTTATCCTTTAGTCCATCAGCTAGATACCGTGCTCCTCTATATTCAATTGCATTGCTTTGAAGGTCAAGTCTATTGATTGTCTATTAAAAACAATAGTGGATGCGTATTCATAATACGCGTGACAACCGAGCAAAGACTACTGTGTTGCTTAAAACATCACCCAAAGTTTTTGCTTCTTCAACTTCGATTGATTTATGTTTAATTTGGATTTCTGTCAGTGTCTGTAAGTAAAAGTTGTTAGAAGATGTAGTTTGGTTGTGATTTCCCTTCGTACAACTACAGGCGTCTCCACCTTCAGCCGAAACTATTGTTTACCTGATATCGATCATATGAGTCGACAATTCTGTTGAATCTTCGACAGATATTTCGCATTGAGAAGACTATCGTATATTCATTTTGTTGATCGAGGATTCGATAAAAAAGTTCCACTGGTAATGTATGAAACGAAGTGATGCTCGATTTCGACATTGGTTAACAATACACAAGATGTGCTGCTTTGTCTACTATGCTTTTGTCTTGATAAATAGAGTTTATCTTCTAACATAGATGAGAATTGTCTCTGGTGATGGCGTCATTTATATAAAGAACAGTTTACAAAAAAATAAGATTTCACGGACAAAGTTTGCTTTTTTATAGCATATGGAGTATAGTCGATAAAAGAATGATGCCGTCATCTCATAGAGTAAAAGTACGAAAGCGTTATCTTGACAAATTGTCGATATTTTCTCCTTCAGTTTTAGTCCGTTCTGATTTTTCTTCATCCCACTGAAGATAAATCAACACCATGATGTTTTTAGAAGAACAGAAAAAGGCTATGTTATACTATACCTTCTTTGGATTGCAAATATTGACGGTAATGAAGAAATTTTTTTTTCTCTTTAACAGAATTAACGCGGTACGATATGGATCAACTTTGTGAATAAATTACGCGATGAGTAAAATGTTGCTTTAACTCATAAACCCATTCTTTCATACTCTTGTCAGTCACACATACGGTATGAATCGAATTTTGGAGCTCATCTGGTATTGGTGTCTAGTAATATTACCATTCACAGCTATTCTCACGTTTATTTTGACGTTAGTAGTCTGCAGTCAAGCTCAAAGAAAAAGTGATCTGTACCAGACGACGTTACCAAACATTTCTATACTTGCAAAAGGTCCTGGTTACCGTTATTTTGTTGCTGGTTTTGTTCTTCTGGTTCCACAGCTTCTACTGATTACTCTCGGTCGATTACTATTCCTTCTAGATTCTCAAACTATTGTTCATCGTGTGATCCTTTATATTATTCATTCATGCGCACTGATTATATCCGTATTTCTTCTAATAATGGCAATCGTCAGTGTAGATCATAACGGTCCTCTTCATGTCACGGGCGCCATTGGAATGTTTTCATCATTTTTTACATATTTTATATTACATACTATCGTAGTTTTCTATCTATTTATACGGCGAGCAAAGGCACCACGTCATTCAAATATTCTGTTGCCCTTATGGTTTCTCATGTGTTGTGTATTAGCCATTGTCTGTTTCAGTATATGGGCTGCGACATTTCAAAGTATTCCGCAGTATATCGCTGCTGGAACGCCTTTTCTATATGTTCTCGGATTTATTCCTCAATTTTGGAGTCAGGCGAGAATGAAAAGACGAAGTTCTGTCGCATCTTTCGAAGAACATAATATAGATAGGATCAATTTGTAGATGTCGCTTTTCTTGTTATGTCTGTTAACTTCAATAAATATCATGTAACAGAAAAAAAACATGAGTAGATTGTTTTCTCTTTATTTCCACAGAACTTGATATTCGTAAGAACCGGACCCGATACGAATCGTCATCAAACCAGTCTGAGAATCTTCGTCGACATTGTTTTGTTTGTTAGTAGAGGACCAAATCACCTGATTACTTTCGATAATTGCTGCGCACTTGGCATCGGGGAACAACGGTTCAAAAATAACTTTCGCTTGTGAATTACCTGGGATCGTTATTCGAAAGGAAATCGCATTAGGAGAAGTATCACGAGTATAAGAAACGTGAACTACGCCGTACAATGTGCTTAGTCGACAATCGATTTTACTCAGTAGATGTTTCTTTTCCTCTGAAATCATTCGTGGATGGATGACAAACACATCGGCTTGTAGATCGATGCCGGCTAAATGCGAATAGAACCAAGAACCAACACTCGCAAACATATGATGATTACGTGAGTTCATGCCTGGATCTCCGAATGGTGCATTCCATATTTCCCAGAGAGTGGTCGCATTTTCATACGGATTGTTAAACATATAGCCATACGATGGATAGGTGATTGTTGTAATCAACTGCACGGCAAGATCATGATGACCATTATCTGATAGCAGTGGATATAGCTGAGCGGTAGAAACAATACCTGTCGTGACATGATTTCCTTTCGCTTGAATATCTTGAACTAAATGTTGAAGAACGTGATCGCGAACGTTCATTGGAACTACGTTAGGCAAAGCCAATGCAAGGATTTGTGCTGCTTGCATGCCATCGGTATAATAGCCGTCGGAAGATTTGAAAAAGACTCGATGGAACTCTTCTGCTAAATGTCGATAGAGAGTTGTGTATGTTTCAGTATCATCACTATATCCAAGAATCTGAGACATATTGATCAACAAAGAGACATCATGAAGAAATGCAAATGAAGCAACGAGATGACCTTTTGTTTTCGATTGTGGTGGTGGTGGAACCCAATCACCGTAATGAAAGATTAGTTCCGCTAAACCGGTCAGTCGATAGCCGTCACGAACTGACTCAACATAAGCTCGAATTGAGTCATAATGGTTTCGGAGAATTTGAATATCATTGTAATGACGATACAACTGCCAAGTGATGGTGGGTAGAGCTGTGCCCCAATTAGGATCAGCGGGATAGAAACCGAACGATAATGGAACAGTGTCCGGAACGAAACCAAGCAGTTGAACATCCTTGATTAAGGTGAGAAAATTTAAATAGAATTTGCTCAAATCGAAATTATACAGTGCTTCATTAACTGACAGAGCAGCATCACCCATCCAACCTTTGCGTTCATCACGTTGTGGACTAGTTTAGAGGAAAAAGCAGTTTTTCTTGTAATAAAATGGTCTAAATCTTACCAGTCGGTTGGTAAAGACATCAAATTACCCAATTGGCCCCATACAATATTGTGTTGAATTTGATTGATGACAGAATTACTCGAAGAGAAATGTCCTTTGACCGTTGTTTCACTGTGAACAATTGGGCATTCGACATCATCAATTAAGAGTGGGGTAGGTGAGCCAAAAACTGCGACGTAACGGAAACCGTGAACCGTAAATCTGAATAAATCTGATGATTGCTGACAAGCATGGATAAGAAATCTTACCGCGGTTCGTAAATTTCACCATTAGGATCACCGCGAAGAATGTATGTGTCACTTGCAGTTGCACCACGCAGATTATCCGTATAAATTCCACCCGTGGCTTTCCTAGAACACTTATTAGAAAACGAGATACCCGACAAAGTTTGTATTTACCCAGTGGAAACAACTGCTTGCGATAGAATTTCGGCATGGCGAATGTGAATACCAACACCACGTGGACCATGGAATTTGAATCGACACCAACCGACCATATTCTGTCCCATATCAAATATATGAACATTTAAAGTAGGTATTATCACACTGATTGGATGTAAGATTCCTTTGTCTTTCAGTGAGGCACCAAGAATCTCACCGATGTCTTTCTTCGATAGATAACTTCTGTCCTCATCAACATCGTATTCTACTTCAAAATGCAGAGCATCAGGTCCTGCTCGAATGGGTGGCATATCTTGAAGCGTCAATTGTCCGTTGACGGTGGTATCAACTGGTGATGGAAGAATTTCCGGTGTAATCCAAAGAGACAGAGAATCAGTGAATCCAACACGAGTCCAATTCAATCGATCGTAACGTCCGTCAACAAATTCACCATTGTAAACACTATCATGAATAATTGAGCCTTGTCGACCTTTCCACGTCTGATCACTGTAAACATTCATTTGATCGGAGTTGTTGAAGATAATTTTCAAAATAAACATCAGACGTGGTGGACCTACGAGAGACATACAGTCTAGAGATCTATATTACTCTTCAGTTCTTTACCGTAAGTCGGCTCAGGTACTGACGGTAACAAATATTGTTCTTGACTGTACCAGCCATTACCCAGTTTCACACCGACCGCATTCATGCCAAGTTTGATTTTGGATGTTACATCGTATGAAGCGAAAAGTGTTCGCTTCTGATAAGTAGTCCATCCCGGATCTAATTTTCGGCTAGGATCAACGTTATCACCGTTCAAGTACAATTCATAATAGCCAATACCCGAAATGAAGACAGTGGCCGACTGAATTGGACTTGTATTAGAGACATTGAATTCTTTCCGTAACTCGTTCATGTATATCTGGGTAGAGCCAATCCAACTGACTTCATCATTGTGGTCTAACAAATACTGTTGGAAGTTATACACCGATGTTCGAAATGGAATCCACAATGTCCATGAACTTGCGGTTTCCAACGCACTTGTCCAAACACGCAAACGAACTTGATAATGTGTCAGTTCTTCGAGCTTCTGTTTAAATGGATAAGGAACATGAATTGATTGGCTCGAATTGATTCGATCACTATCCCAAACGAGTTTATTCTCCGATCGAAGTTGCAGTTGATAGCCCATCTGCCGAACATCTCGTTGATTGGTTAGAGGTAGTTTCCAGCAGAAATATGGGTAATCTGTGCCAATTACCAAATCTTTTGTTGTCTCAGCTTTATAATATTCGATTCGAACATCGTAAGGTGCTAGTGATGATTGACCAACGACGAAAACAACACCACAAACAATTATACCATATAATGACCACATTTGAATTGCGAACGAGTATTTAAAATCTCTTTCTACTTTTATCATAAATAGAATTCTTATATGGGAGTTCTTTCGTTTATCTTATGTAAGCGCTGAATCTCGGTGATGAAGCAAGATAACGATGAAGAGTGCATCGTGAGTGTTCGCTGCACTGTAAGTTTAGGTAAAGATGATGAACGAATGGGAGAACAGCCCTTACGACTCCATTCAACATGTTGACAACCGCAAAGTATGCTAACGACCATGTCAATCCGTGAAAAGAAAGTCACATTAGTACAATTTTGACCTTTGAGACCTTCAGCATTCACGATTTCTGTATGAATCATCTGTACTTTATGCTTTGTTTCTATTTTATTAAGTTCGAAAAACCTTAATAAGTGACAATATACATTTGTCGACTAACGATCATCAAATCAAAAAAGATTTCAAGCGAGCAAAAATCTTTGGATTACATTGAAGTCATATGTTTACCACGTATAATTTCCATATGTTGGACTGTTGATAACTTGAATAGTTTGTTGTGAGGCAGTAATATACGCTTGAACATCGGCAGGAAGTAGTAAGCGTTGCTTAGCAAGTTCATTGGCTGCTGCAGCCACAGCCTTTTCATAGTTACTTCGAGTACCATAACGTTCAGTCAACGATAAGCGACTATCTCCTTTANAAAAGCTTATTTGGAATATACAAACTTTCCCGGCGAAGCTATCGTACATTTATTAGTTTTTTGGGTTATATTTGGTATCACTATTGGAGTTGCCAAATCAAGATAGTCAATTAGCGAACTACTTCTTTTTTGACACATCTACCGGCATATTTGAAAGAACGTTAAGCATAATAATATTGTCCTTCATTTCTTCCATCTTCGAATTGATACGTTTTCTTTTTTGCTGTTCTCTTTCTCCTTGTGTAAACGAAAAATATATCTACTCAATAGCTCGTATGCGTATATTCTTTGATTGTCTATCCTTGATGAGTATAAGTGATCAATACGAATAGGGCGTATGAAGAAAGAGAACAATCGTCACAAAGAAAGCGCCACGCCCAAGATATCACTGGTATAAAAGAAAGTATGAATATCATAGTTGATAGTTGATTGTAAAAGTACAATAATCATGTCCGCTGTTGTTCATCAAGAACCATCTATTTTGTAAGTAGAGAAACGAAATTTTGTATATTATTTCATAGATTTCTGATTAGAGATGCATCGCGAGTCGAACAAAATCTGAAAGGCTAGTGACAATACAGGAAAATATCATATTCTACCTCTCATTGTTATAGCAGAACCAGTAGAAAATGAACAAGCTGAATCGGTACAAGAAAATTTTCCGAAAGGTCTGAGAGGTGGTGGCGCTTTATTCGATATGTGAGTTATAAAATCACTATTTCTTTTTCAATCACGAGTATTTTCGCTTATTTATTTCAGTTTGGCCTGTTTATGCTTTTGTTTCGCCATTGAAGAATGCTGTTGATATATTTATGGTTTTTGTTTTGTGTTTTCAATAACAAATAAGAATAAAAAACAAAGATGAGCCAATCGAGAATTGTAGTTAAATGTGAATAATGATAAATAATTCCAGAATAAAGGTTGATGATTTTGTAGACACAGATAATTTGTTACCTGTTGTTTATGATGATCTTTTACGAGCATGGATGAAAAATTTTTCAATAGTTTTCTCAGTGTAAACTAGTTATAAAGATAGATTCAAGCAACTATTTTACTTTCAATTGAGCACAATTTACTTCGGTCGATAAAGGTGATATTGCAGCCACAAAGCCTTCAGCGTCTATAGGAACAGTGGAAGATAAATACAAGAGTTACATGGTGAGAAAATAGAGTTTACCCTATTGTTCCCCAATGTGTCCATGAAATACTGTTCACCTTGGGTTGTAGTACAATTTTGTCGTAAGTTGAGTTCGATAAGAGTCTATACATCGCACGTCGATCAAATACAAAGTTACACAATACGACAAGAGGCATTACTGTATTGCTCTGTAGTGCAGGTGCCAGAGATAGTAATCCTTGTTCTCCAATACTATTACGTCCCAGATCTAGGTGAGTGAGTGTCTGAAAAAAAAACATAGTAGGATCTATAGATGTGCAATAAACAAAAAACATGAAAGACTACCCTATTGTTCGATAACGTATCAGCTATATATTGTACACCGTCATTGCCGATTTCATTTCCCCAGATTTCGAGTTCAATAAGCGTCTATATACAGAATTGTATAGAAGTATATCCGCAGTGTTGGAAGTAATACGACGATCAATATTACTGTATTCTTCGATAATAAATCAGCCAAATACTGAGCCCCTCGAACTTTAATTCGATTGGCACCAAGATTAAACTTCATGATTGTCTGTGCGAAAAGTTACAAATGAATATAGGCAATACTTATACAAGAAAAGAAAATAACCATGCTGTTTTTCAATACATCCGCTAAATGTTGTGTTCCTATGTCTGTAATTATATTTCCACGCAGATTAAGCGCTGTAAGCGTCTGTGTGCAGAAGCGTACATGAATACGTGAAAGAGAATATGAGAACTTAACAGATACCGTATTGGTTTTCAATGCATCAGCCAGGAATCGTGCTCCTTCATCTTTGATTTCATTCGACTCAAGTTCAAGTCCAGTAAGTGTCTACATTCAAAAGTATACCCAAACTTGTGAAATAGAGGATTGAAGAAACTATTACAGTATTTTCCTTCAACATATTAGCTATATATTGTGCTCCTTCGTATCCGATTTTATTGCATCCGAGTTGTAATATTGTCAGTGACTGTACGCAAAGAATGACAATTAATCACAGGTGATAGATCATAAATGGAAAACATTACTTGATTGCCTTCTAATGCACCGGCTAGATACTGCGCTCCTTTACACCCAATATAATTATATACGAGTCCCAGTATAGTGAGCGACTGTAGATAGAGTTATAGATGACTACAAAATATGGATACAAAGAGAATAAAGATTACTGTATTGTTCTTCAACGCATTGGCGAGACATTGTATTCCTTCGTCTCCAATTTTATTCTCATTGAGGTTCAATTCACGGAGAGTCTGTATGGAACATTTTCCATGAAAACATATATCAAGTAATAAACAAAATAGATCTACTTTGTTATCCTTTAGCCCATCAGCTAGATACTGTACTCCTTGATCTTCAATTCGTGTGTATGCAAGGTTCAGCGTCGTAAGTGTCTATGTATACAAAGTTTGAGGTTAATATTCATGCGTTAGGCAAAACCAAGTTTTGGATAAAATAAACAGCCTATAACCGGTTATACTTATCCACAAATGATAGCAGAACGAGGATTACCGTGTTGTTTTTCAGTCCATCAGCTAGATATCGTGCTCCTCTACATCCAATTGCATTGCTTTGAAGGTTAAGTCTATTGATTGTCTATTAAAAACAATAGTGGATGCATTCACAATACGCGTGACAACCGAGTAAAGACTACTGTATTGCTTAAAACATCACCCAAAGTTTTTGCTTCTTCAACTCCGATTGAGTTATGTTTAATTTGTATTTCTGTGAGTGTCTGTAAGTAAAAATTGTTATAGAATGTAGTTTGGTTGTGATTTCCCTTCGTACAACTACAGCCGTCCCCACCTTCAGCTGAAACTATTGTTTACCTGATATCGATCATACGAGTCGATAATTCTGTTGAATCGTCGACAGATATTTCGCATTGAGAAGACTATCGTATATTCACTTTGATGATCGAGGATTCGATAAAAAAGTTCCACTGGTAATGTATGAAACGAAGTAGTGCTCGATTTCGACATTATGGTTAACAATACACAAGATGTACTGCTTTGTCTATTATGCGTTTGTCTTGATAAATAAAGTTTATCTTCTAACATAGGTGAGAATTTTTTCTGGTAATGACGTCATTTGTTCGAAGAACTATTTACAAAAAAGTAAGATTTTGCGGACAAAGTTTGCTTTTTTTTATAGTATATGGAGTTTATCCGATAAAAGAACGATACCGTCACCTCATAGAGTAAAAATACGAAAGCGTTATCTTGACAAATTGTCGATATTTTCTCCTTCAGTTTTAGTCCGTTCTGATTTTTCTTCATCCCACTGAAGATAAATCAACATCATGATGTTTTCAGAAGAACAGAAAAAGGCTATGTTATACTATACCTTCTTTGGATTGCAAATATTGACGGTAGTGAAGAGAAATTTTTTTTTTCTCTTTTTAACAGAATTAACGCTGTATGATAAGAATCAACTTCGTGGATAAATTACGCGATGAGCAAAATATTGCTTTAACACATAAACTCATTTTCTCATACTCTTGTCAGTCACACATACGGTATGAATCGAATTTTGAAACTCATCTGGTATTGGTGTTTAGTAATATTACCATTCACAGCTATTCTCACGTTTATTTTGACGTTAGTAGTCTGCAGTCAAGCACAAAGAAAGATTGGTTCGTACCATACGACGTTACCAAACATTTCTATACTTGCAAAAGGTCCTGGTTACCGTTATTTTGTTGCTGGCTTTGTTCTTCTGGTTCCACAACTTCTACTGATTACTCTCGGTCGACTACTGTTCCTTCTACATTCTCAAACTATTGTTCATCATGTGATCCTTTATATTATTCATTCATGCGCACTGGTTATATCCGTATTTCTTCTAATAATGGCAATCGTCAGTGTAGATCATAACGGTCCTCTTCATGTCACCGGCGCCATTGGAATGTTTTCATCATTTTTTACATATTTTATATCACATACTATCGTAGTTTTCTATCTATTTATACGGCGGGCAAAGGCACCACGTCATTCAAATATTCTGTTGCCCTTATGGTTTCTCATGTGTTGTGTATTAGCTATCGTCTGTTTCAGTATATGGGCTGCGACATCTCAAAGTATTCCGCAGTATATCGCTGCTGGAACGCCTTTTCTATATATTCTTGGATTTATTCCTCAATTTTGGAGTCAGGCGAGAATGAAAAGACGAAGTTCTGTCGCATCTTTCGAAGAACATAACATAGATAGGATCAATTTGTAGATGTCGCTTTTCTTATTATGTCTGTTAATTTCCATAAATATCGAGTAACAGAAAAAAACATGAATAGATTGTTTTTTTTTTTATTTCCACAGAACTTGATATTCGTAAGAACCGGACCCGATACGAATCGTCATCAGACCAGTCTGAGAATCTTCGTCGACATTGTTTCGTTTGTTGATAGAGGACCAAATCACCTGATCACTTTCGATAATTGCTGCGCACTTGGCACCGGGGAACAACGGTTCAAAAATAACTTTCGCTTGTGAATTACCTGGGATCGTTATTCGAAAGGAAATCGCATTAGGAGAAGTATCACGAGTATAAGAAACGTGAACTACGCCGTACAATGTGCTTAGTCGACAATCGATTTTACTCAGTAGATGTTTCTTTTCCTCCGAAATCATTCGTGGATGAATGACAATCACATCGGTTTGTAGATCGATGCCGGCTNAAGCCGGTCAGTCGATAACCGTCGCGAACCGATTCAACATAAGCTCGAATTGAGTCATAGTGGTTTCGGAGAATTTGAATGTCATTGTAATGACGATACAACTGCCAAGTGATGGTGGGTAGAGCTGTACCCCAATTAGGATCAGCGGGATAGAAACCGAATGATAATGGAACAGTGTCCGGAACGAAACCAAGCAGTTGAACATCCTTGATTAAGGTGAGAAAATTTAAATAGAATTTGCTCAAATCGAAATTATACAGCGCTTCATTAACTGACAGAGCAGCATCACCCATCTAACCCTTGCGTTCATCACGCTGTGGACTAGTTTAGAGGAAAAAGCAGTGTTTCGTGTATTAAAAGAGTCTAAATCTTACCAGTCGGTCGGTAAAGACATCAAATTACCCAATTGGCCCCATACAATATTGTGTTGAATTTGATTGATGACAGAATTACTCGAAGAGAAATGTCCTTTGACCGTTGTTTCACTGTGAACAATTGGACATTCGACATCATCTATTAAGAGTGGGGTAGGTGAGCCAAAAACTGCGACATAACGGAAACCGTGAACTGTAAATCTGAATAAATCTGATGATTGCTGAGAATCATGGATAAAAAATATTACCGCGGTTCGTAAATTTCACCATTAGGATCACCGCGAAGAATGTACGTATCACTTGCAGTTGCACCACGCAGATTATCCGTATAAATTCCACCCGTGGCTTTCCTAGAACACTTATTAAAAAAGCGAGATACCTGGCGAAGTTTGTATTTACCCAGTGGAAACAACTGCTTGCGAAAGAATTTCGGCATGGCGAATGTGAATGCCAACACCACGTGGACCATGGAATTTGAATCGACACCAACCAACCATATTCTGTCCCATATCAAATATATGAACATTTAAAGTAGGTATTATTACACTGATCGGATGCAAGATTCCTTCGTCTTTCAGCGAGGCACCGAGAATCTTACCGATGTCTTCCTTCGACAGATAACTTCCGTCATCATCAACATCGTATTCTACTTCAAAATGCAGAGCATCAGGTCCTGCTCGAATGGGTGGCATATCTTGAAGCGTCAATTGTCCGTTGACGGTGGTATCGACGGGTGATGGAAGAATTTCCGGTGTAATCCAAAGAGACAGAGAATCAGTGAATCCAACATGTGTCCAATTCAATCGATCGTAACGTCCATCAACAAATTCACCATTGTAAACACTATCATGAATAATTGAGCCTTGTCGACCTTTCCACGTCTGATCACTGTAAACATTCATTTGATCGGAATTGTTGAAAATAATTTTCAAAATAAACATCAGACGTGGTGGGCCTACAAGAGACAGACAATCTGGAGATCTATATTACTCTTCAGTGCTTTACCGTAAGTCGGCTCAGGTACTGACGGTAACAAATATTGTTCTTGACTGTACCAGCCGTTACCCAGTTTCACACCGACCGCATTCATGCCAAGTTTGATTTTGGGTGTTACATCGTAAGAAGCGAAAAGTGTTCGCTTCTGATAAGTAGTCCACCCCGGATCTAATTTTCGACTAGGATCAACGTTATCACCGTTCAAGTACAATTCATAATAGCCAATACCCGAAATGAAGACAGTGGCTGACTGAATCGGACTTGTATTAGAGACATTGAATTCTTTCCGTAACTCATTCATGTATATCTGGGTAGAGCCAATCCAACTGACTTCATCATTGCGGTCTAACAAATACTGTTGGAAGTTATACATCGATGTTCGAAATGGAATCCACAATGTCCATGAGCTTGCGGTTTCTATCGCACTTGTCCAAACACGCAAACGAACTTGATAATGTGTCAGTTCTTCGAGCTTCTGTTCGAATGGGTACGGAACATGAATTGATCGACTCGAATTGATTCGATCACTATCCCAAACGAGTTTATTCTGCGATCGAATTTGCAGTTGATAGCCGATCTGCCGAACATCACGTTGATTGGTTAGAGGTAGTTTCCAGCAGAAATGTGGGTAATCTGTGCCAATTACCAAATCTTTTGTTATCTCAGCTTTATAATATTCGATTCGAACATCGTAGGGTGCTAATGATGGTTGACCCACGACAAAAACAACACCACAAACAATTATACCATATAATGACCACATTTGAATTGCGAACAAGTATTTAAAATATCTTTCTACCTTTATCATAAAGAGAATTCTTAAATAGTAGTTCTTTCGTTTATCTTATGTAAGCGCTGAATCTCGATGATGAAGCAAGATAACGATGAAGAGTGTATCGTGAATGTTCGCTGCACTGTAAGTTTAGGTAAAGATGATGAACGAATAGGAGAACAGCCCTCACGACCCCATTCAACATGTTGATGCCCGTAAAGTATGCTAACTATCATGTCGATCTGTGAAAACAAATTAACATTAGTACAATTTTAATTTTTGATACTTTCAATATTGATAATTTCTGTATGAACTAGCTCTACTTTATGTTTTGTTTCTATTTTATTAAGTTCGAAAAATCTTAATAAGTGACAATATACCTTTGTCGACTAACGATCGTCAAATCAAAAACGGTTTCAAGCGAGCAAAAATTTTTGGATTACATTGAAGTCATATGTTTACCACGTATAATTTCCATATGTTGGACTGTTGATAACTTGAATAGTTTGTTGTGAGGCAGTAATATACGCTTGAACATCGGCAGGAAGTAGTAAGCGTTGCTTAGCAAGTTCATTGGCTGCTGCAGCCACAGCCTTTTCATAGTTACTTCGAGTACCATAACGCTCAGTCAACGATAAGCGACTATCTCCTTTANTTTGGATTACATTGAAGTCATATGTTTACCACGTATAATTTCCATATGTTGGACTGTTGATAACTTGAATAGTTTGTTGTGAGGCAGTAATATACGCTTGAACATCGGCAGGAAGTAGTAAGCGTTGCTTAGCAAGTTCATTGGCTGCTGCAGCCACAGCCTTTTCATAGTTACTTCGAGTACCATAACGCTCAGTCAACGATAAGCGACTATCTCCTTTAGCCATTCGTGTAGCTTTGTCGGGCGCAAATGGTATCGTTGAACCAGTTGATTCACATCCATCATTGCCACCAAACGCTGCACTTCGTAAATTCCACCCGGTATATGTTGCAACTGGTACAGATACAGGTGGAAGGCGTATACCAGCCAATTCATTGCCATCTGCATCAAGCTTTGAAACGAAAGAAGAATAATAAACACCTACAGACTTAGGTGGAGCAATCGTGATGATCCCTCTACTAAATTTAGGTCCAAAGTCGAAGCGATTACGCACTGTCACTAGGCCTGTATACAGAACATTTGGAATTGTTGGCCAATTTAACGCCGTTTGTGATATAATACCAATGCCGAGATGAGAATTTTCCGTTGTACTAGACAACACTGCGGTTTTATCGCTATGATTAGGAACTCTACTAGCAGGTGGATTGGTACCATCAATCCATTGATCGAGCGCGACATAAAGTGCTCGAAGTACAGGGTTTGCATCTACTGTGTTACCGAATTGTTGACAGATGCCACGAGAGTTAGCAGCTGCTGCCCCTCCATGCTGAGTGCCGGATATTAAGTAATTGTGAACATTCGATGGCGTAGGGATATCGTAACCTTCAATACTAGAATGTAACAATGAACCAGCTTTGACCCAGTATTCGTTTGATGAAATAATATTCATGATCTTTGGACATGTATTTGTCTTTGTGCATCGCATATTACGACCATCAGTTTTATGCATACCAGAGTCGGTTAGAGTTGTATAAGAAAATGGGAAGGGCGCCTCGGGATAAAGATGATTCTGTCGATTGCGTTCTGTACGTGCTGACTGGGCAAAACGATAGTTCAGACCTATTCCGTTGCCAGCTCCGATCCAATTAAACACTCCATCGAACACATGTTTCTTTTCTAAATCCTCGTTAAAGCCCAACCAGATGAAGTCATTCATGTACCGTGCTGGCTGAGAAAGACTCCAGGATAGTACTCGAGTAACGTCACCAGCCAATGGGTTATCGCCTCTTGAACTGCGCAAGAAAGACACAAAATCTCGGGTTGCAGCGAAACCAATACCGGCTACATAGGGATCTTTGGCTGTATACACTAGTTCATAGATCGAACTTTGTTTAAATGTTGTATTGAGAGGTAAAAGTGAAATTGTGTTGTCGCTAGTCCACATCCAGTCAGTAGGTGAAATAGTTATCGGTGCATCAGTTAAATGATCTTTTACTGTCAACTTTGCTTTAGTTGTATCAGTACTAACAGTGCGATATGCAGTCATGTAAGATGTGGTAACTGAATTGTCAAGGACAATATATTCGTAACCAGGACCAGTAATTGAAGTATCATCGGCATTCGTGACAATAGGTAAATAGATTCGCAAAAGATCTGGGCTACCGGTTGGAGACACACTTGGATCCCAACCACACCAAGCCATAGTGTAGCCTTGGTTCATTAGAAAAGCTTGGCCAGCGTCACTGGCGGTAGTTGGATTGTTACCACCGGATGATTGAGCAAATGAACCGAACAGTTTACCACCACGATTATTGACTTCAAAGAACAGCTTATGGTTGCCATTGGTTAGGTTGACTGGTTTGAGTATATAAAAATCTGTTGAGTATTCAACCATTCCGTTNGGATCCCAACCACACCAAGCCATAGTGTAGCCTTGGTTCATTAGAAAAGCTTGGCCAGCGTCACTGGCGGTAGTTGGATTGTTACCACCGGATGATTGAGCAAATGAACCGAACAGTTTACTACCACGATTATTGACTTCAAAGAACAGTTTATGGTTGCCATTGGTTAGGTTGACTGGTTTAAGTATATAAAAATCAGTTGAGTATTCAACCATGCCGTTCTTGTTACGGGGAGCGAGTTTTAAATCCGTAATTATGCTATTATGTATGTCGTACGGATCCAGTTGTCCATAAGCGATACCTCGAACTTTCTCGTACATGCCCACAGTACCAAATGTTGTTCCACCAAACGTTGGATTTTCACTAGGTGCAATGGCATTCGTTGTTGGGTTGATAACAATTTTGGTGATACCAGTGTGTACGGGTTCAGAAGTTGTAGTAAGCGTTGTAACTCTTGTTATATCAGTCTCTACTGTGAAAAAATATCCTCCATGATTACTTATTCGATGAAATTATACTGTACATTACTTGTATGCTGTGAGTGCGGTTTTCGTGATCTATAATAATGATTTCGAGACGAATCGTATATATCTTCATCTTCTGATTCAATCGTTGAATATATACCAACATGATCCTTCCGTTTACCAGTAAGAAATGAGCCATATCGTGTGTAGACTCCATCGTCAAAAGCACCTGTGAAATCATCAACTTGTGGCACATCGGGACCCGTCACTACAACATGGAATAGAACGTTAAAGAAATCCAAATTAAGAAAAATAAAAAAGAAACTAACATGGTGTTGGTTTAAAATAAAATGTCACATCGATGGCACGAAGTGGTTTTCCCCCACTTCTAGCTAAACTAGCATAACCAGCTGCAATGAGTTCAGCAACTGAGTAAATTTCATCGTAATCATTGATTAATGATGGCAAAACACAAACTGAAAATATATTTTACTACTAATTGTTCAAATTGATACGAACACTCACCATTCCCCTTTGAAGAATAGATGATTGTTTGCCGACTGCGTCGCTCAAAGTAGATATTAGTCCATGGCATGAGATTTATAAATCGACCGCTCAATGCTATATGAGAGAAGTTATCAATTTACTGAGAAATTTACAAGTGCAGTTAAATTTACGAAAATCACGATGTCGATAACAAACAGCTGGAAAATGAAATCGTCTGAACGGTTGTAGACTACTATCCGAAGTGGGTTTACGAATATATATATTCATATAACCGATATTTTTCGGCAATTCGGGTTTCTATTTAGTCAGACGAAGATTGTGCTTAGGAAAAGACAAATAAACATTAGGGTACTTACGTATCGGGTATATGATTTCAATTCGAGCACTGTCTCCCCTACCTTATTCTTGCTGTAGCTATGATATGCAACTATGATACCACTAATGATACATAACATCAACAAAACAGTAATCCAGATGTTGCGCACTTTTGCTGAGTGCCACGTCTGATGCTGTTGTTTTGATCTGTATAGATCCAAAAAATGAATATCTCTGTTTGATAATGATGTAAAAGACTAACTGAGATTTCACGATACCAAAATGTTCTCTTGGTTCTAAAAGAATCGGTTCTTGTTCGTATTGCATAGTTATATCCGTCGGTGCATTCTGATAATGTGAAAAATGAAAGAATTGTATGTGTAGAAACTGAAACTATGGACGATGCTAGCGAATACCTTTTGTTAATATACGTGAGTAAGNGGATCCCAACCACACCAAGCCATAGTGTAGCCTTGGTTCATTAGAAAAGCTTGGCCAGCGTCACTGGCGGTAGTTGGATTGTTACCACCGGATGATTGAGCAAATGAACCGAACAGTTTACCACCACGATTATTGACTTCAAAGAACAGCTTATGGTTGCCATTGGTTAGGTTGACTGGTTTGAGTATATAAAAATCTGTTGAGTATTCAACCATTCCGTTCTTGTTACGAGGAGCGAGTTTTAAATCCGTAATTATGCTGTTATGTATGTCGTACGGATCCAGTTGTCCATAAGCGATACCTCGAAGTTTCTCGTACATGCCCACAGTACCAAATGTTGTTCCACCAAACGTTGGATTTTCACTAGGTGCAATGGCATTCGTTGTTGGGTTGATAACGATTTTGGTGATACCAGTGCGTACAGGTTCAGAAGTTGTAGTAAGCGTTGTCGTCGTTGTAACTCTTGTTATACCAGTCTCTATTGTGAAAAAATATCCTCTGTGATTACTTGTTCGACGAAATTATACTGTACATTACTTGTATACTGTGAGTACGGTTTTCGTGATCTATAATAATAATTTCGAGACGGATCGTATATATCTTCATCTTCTGATTCAGTTGTTGAATATATACCAACATGATCCTTCCGTTTACCAGAAGGAAATGAGCCATATCGCGTGTAGACTCTATCGTTAAAAACACCTGTGAAATCATCAACTTGTGGCACATCGGGATCCGTCACTACAACGTGGGATAGAACGTTAAAGAAATCAACATTAACAAAAATAAAAAAGAAACTAACATGGCATTGATTTAAAATAAAATGTCACATCGATGGCACGAAGTGGTTTTCCCCCACTTCTAGCTAAACTAGCATAACCAGCTGCAATGAGTTCAGCGACTGAGTAAATTTCATCGTAATCATTGATTAATGATGGCAAAACACAAACTGAAAACATATTTTACTACTAATTGTTCAAATCGATACGAACACTCACCATTGCCCTTTGAAGAATAGATGACTGTTTGCCGACTGCGTCGCTCAAAGTAGATATTAGTCCATGGCATGGGATTTATAAATCGACCGCTCAATGCTATATGAGAGAAGTTATCAATTTACTGAGACATTTACAAGTGCAGTTAAATTTACGAAAATCACGATGTCGATAACAAACAGCTGGAAAATGAAATCGTCTGAACGGTTGTAGACTACCATCCGAAGTGGGTTTACGAATATATATATCCATATAACCGATATTTTTCGGCAATTCGGGTTTCTATTTAGTCAGACGAAGATTGTGCTTAGGAAAAGACAAATAAACATTAGGGTACTTACGTATCGCGCGCGGGTATATGATTTCAATTCGAGCACTGTCTTCCCTACCTTATTCTTGCTGTAGCTATGATATGCAACCATGATACCACTAATGATACATAACATCAACAAAACGGTAATCCAGATGCTGCGCACTTTGGTTGAGTACCACGTCTGATGCTGTTGTTTTGATCTGTATAGATAAAAAAAATGAATATCTCTGTTTGATAATGATGTAAAAGACTAACTGAGATTTCACGATACCAAAATGTTCTCTTGGTTCTAAAAGAATCGGTTCTTGTTCGTATTGCATAGTTATATCCGTCGGTGCATTCTGATAATGTGAAAAATGAAAGAATTGTATGTGTAGAAGCTGAAACTATGGACGATGCTAGCGAATACCTTTTGTTAATACACGTGAGTAAGTATCATAAATAACTCCAATTGATGTTGTTTTTGCTTTATTGAAAAAAAGAAGGCCATGTTTTCATCTTATGGCCAACAAGATTGTATAGTATGTAGATGCTGCAATGTCAAAGATATAAGTTCGGGCTTTTAATCCACCGATTGTTAACATCATAAAACGATCTTTTAGAGCAAACAGTAGATTTGATTTACTGCTGATCGTTAAATTGTCAGAAATCAAACGTTAAGCATTGCACACATCTACATAAAAGAGATGACTACTCCCACGTGTTCTATGGCGAATAAATAAATCACAGAAAAAGTCAATAGTTTTCCAGAGTAAATTGTCCGACGGACCTTAAGACGACAACCTTTTGCCATGATTTGTCATTCATGACATCGTCACCAACTTCTTATGATGACGAAATCAACTGACTGGAGACTTGGTCATTACTTCTGTTTACTTGCACAAGCACTGTTTCGCTAAGCAAGTATGCCTTTCGACAAAACCTTAATTCATCTTATCAGTCAAAGGTAAAAGCTATTCTCAGCATTGTGAATAGTTTTTTCTTTCTATATTTTGAGAAAGATCCAACAAACGTAGATACCATGTTTAAAATCAAACACCTTCATGTGTTTATTGAAAAACTTATCATCAGGGTTTTTCGTCGTTAAACTAGAGAAACACATCCCTTATCTATTGCAACGATGGTGAGAGTATAAAAACGCGAAAGAATAATACGGAATCATTGCATTTATTACTTGTTTATTAGTAAAACAAGGTAAGGATGAGACAAGTCTTTAGTTTTTCTACCACTGACGCCTTCATCAGGTTCTTGCATATCCAACGGCTTCGCTGACAGTTCAACGCCACCCGATCCGAAAACAATTAAGAAATGTCGATGGCACACAGCTGGCATCATTCGATTTCATGTCAATCCGGAAACAAATCAAATCTATGAAGCACGACCCAGTCTACATGAACTCGAAATCACCTTAGAATGTCTGCTCGACGAATCCCACAAACAGCAATTAGCTACACGGACCGAACAAATCTATGGATTGGAATTTACATCCGAAAACTTTGTCATCTGTCCGTTTCAAACATTTCTTGCACAACTAACAGTACCCATGGACGGCGTTCCGAAAACGTACTATGGTGTTTTGGTTGATAATAAAGAATTACATCCAATGCGTATTATTTTCGAAATTAAGGATGTGAACGAAATCAATGAAATTTGTTCGAAACTTGATCACCCACGTGAACACGATATTGTTTTACGCTACGACTACAGTTTAAGTGGAACGTCAACAGCCCGTGCTTCGCTGTCGATCAGTGCGGATGATTTAACTAGGATCGATTTCGAAAAACAAGTTTTTCGAAAGAGTGAAGCCGAGAGTATGCTCGCAAGTCGATCAGTGATGGACAAGATCACGGCTAACATTAGTAGTCTATTGAGAGTGGTTGAAGATATTGGCGTCGGCGGTTCATCATTCGGACAAGATTTAATTCAGCAAGAAATCGCTAGAGCCATGTCGTCTAGTGGTTTCCAAAAGTTCAGCATGAATGATGTAATGCAAATGAAAAATAACGATGTGGAAGTTAGCGATGATCTTAAAGCGAATATAATCAATTCAACATCATCAAGCGATTCAGATAGTTCATCGGCAAGTCAACATACTATTGATCAATCGTCATCAGCCAATTCATCGGATATGTTACACGAGAAGAGCAATTCGAATCGTAATTCTGGTGGTCAATCAACTAGCTCATCGAGTAGTTTTGGATTGAATGCAACCATTTGTGGGTTTGGTGGTGGATTCAACACGAGTAAATCGAACTCACAATCCACTAATTTCGACAGTTCCAATAGTTCTGCCAATAAAGATCATGAAATACTATCTACCGAGCAATCCAATTTGAATGACAACTCCAGCAGCAATTCACGTTCGACTTCGAATACTAGAAGTGTAGAAGGTCAAATCACACAAGTGAAAAACATCGATGCGGCAATTATTCGTCGATCCGAGATATCGAAAGGTTTTACCATATCATTACAACGATATCATCATCAATTGGCGACAACAAGTATCAAAGGTCGATTGACAACAAAGGCCGACACGGAAATGCTCGAAGAAATTCGAGCACGCGAACAGGCTGAACAAGAAAAACAAATGCGGAAAGAGCAAGAAGAAAGGAACGAGCAATTCTTCAAGGATTAGGTAATGAACATTTTTGTCAAACAAATTACTGCTATAAGTTTTCTTTTTCAGAATTAACATCGCAACAAATCGATGATTTATTGCATGAATTCGATAGTCTGGATGAAGATGAATTGAAAGAAATGCATGAAAACTTCATCGAGCTTTGGTAAGATCGCGAGTTAACGATAGTGTAGTTCACTGGTTTCTTTTCAGTCCTGACGGAAAAATGTCGCGAGACGTTTTTACGACATGCTTCCGAAAGTTATATCCAAAGTGAGTTCTTTTGATTATACAGATGTTTGTTTTGATTCAGTTGTTCTGCAGTGGAAAGGTGAACAGTTATTGTCGTTACGCATATGCTATATTCGATTCGGATAATACTGGCGCAATGAATTTTTCCGAGTACGTCAAAGCGATGCACGCACATGACTCAGACGATATCGACGAAAGTCTTAGTTTGGTATGCCGATTTTCCGTTGCGCAAATTCTCGAAAACTTTATTTTCTTAACAGACATTTAATGTGTTCGATTATGATAAATCAGGAAAAATTGATCAAAAAGAAATTATTCATATGCTCACAGCAACAGGTGACCTTCTTGGTCGGCCGATAGAAACGGCAAATGCCAAAGCGCTCGCGAAGAAAATCCTGGATACTTGTGATAAACAACGCAAAGGGAGCATTACACGAGATGAATTCATCAACGGGTAAACACGAAAGAAGCTTTGCAAATCTATCGTTTCCCAACGTACATACTTCTTCTAGCTGCAAGTATATCAAGGAGTACTATCAGCTATTGATACCGAACTTCGAAAATGGTGAATATACATGTGTATTGACGAGAGACAAGTGATAAGAGAAAATTTTAAATTTTAGTATCCACAGCGCACGATCCAAATTATGAAGGAGATCTAGAATACGGTAAAAAGTGTGGACATGGCACTTACACATGGCCTGACGGTCGTCGATACGAAGGAGAGTGGAAAGATGATAAACAAAATGGAGAAGGTGTTTGTACCTGGCCCGATGGTAATGAATATGATGGGGACTGGAAAGATGATAAACGACATGGAGAAGGTGTTCATACCTGGCCCGATGGTCGCGAGTACGATGGAGACTGGGTAGACGATGTTAGAAGCGGAGAAGGCACCGAAACTTTGCCCAATGGTGATAGATTCGAAGGCGAATGGAAAAACGATAAGAAGAACGGTAAAGGTTTTTATACATGGTCGGATGGTCGCCGATATGAAGGACAATGGTACGATGATAAACAAGGTAGCGATGGTGTTTATACATGGCCTGATAAACGACAATACGAAGGTGAGATGAAAGATGATGAAAAAGATGGAAACGGTATCGAAATTTTACCCGATGGTACTCGCTATGAAGGTTCGTGGAGAAACAACAAGAAGAACGGAAATGGTGTCCTTACTATGACTGATGGCTACAAATACGAAGGACATTGGGAAAATAATACTAAGCATGGCGAAGGTACTGAGACAAAGGAGAATGGTGATCGATACGAAGGAGAATGGAAAGAAAATCGAAGAAATGGAAAAGGTGTCGAAAATCTAGCCAATGGAGATCGTTTCGATGGAAAATGGCAAAACGGTGAAAAACATGGGCAAGGTGTTCAAACATTTGCTAACGGTGCTAAATTCGAAGGACAATGGAAGAACGGCGAACGACAAGCGGAAGGCCGTTTAACTTTAGTCAACGGTACCTACTATCAAGGACATATTGGCAATGATCATATTAAACAAGCAAGAAATAATCAAACTCCAGGCATGCAATGCAACCAAACTCGATACACCTATACATATACTTATCAATGAACATTTTTTATAAGACTTATTCGCGTCTTTTGTAATTCGAATGATACTGTTCGATTAGTGTTGCTTTTAGTTGACTGTTTAGAAATAAATATCGATATCGTTTTCATTGAGCTACACACCTTACAAATATTAATGGGTAAATATTTTATGGCAGAATATCTTTTACGACGCGATTATTTCAGTAAATTTAGTAATCATCACAATACTTGATTGTTAGACTAATAAATTCCCCATTATGTCATTCGATACTAAAGTCACAAGAGCCAGTACTTGTTCTACACTATAAAAATGCATAATGATTTGTGCATACACAAATGTCGTCTTTAATGGCACTGCATTTGATGAAGAAATGAACTTTTATACGTTTTACTTAACAGTGTTAACGTCCTAGTGTCATACATGTATAGCTTCAAACTTGAATTCAACTATTCAATATCAACATAAGGGTGCGAGGTGCGTACGAAATAGTTGAATATTTGAATTCAACTTTCAAGTTTGACAGTGCTACTGTGGTCAAAGTGCAATGTTATCCAACACGTGACAGTTGTCGGTGGATTTACAAGCACTTGTTACACATTTGTTAAACCAGAAATAGTATCATCTAGACTATAATTATTTGATCATCTTCACTACCGCTCGCTATCGCACGTGGATGAACTCTTCGCCTGTTTCTGATTAATCGAGAAAGAAATTATAGACCTTGTCAACTGTTGAATTTCGATACTCTAATTGGCATTACCTTTGAGGAATAGCACATTTTCCCGACTTCATTACTCGTAGTATTGATTGTGCTTATTAAGTCTGAATGGATATTATCATTTTTGAGTCAGCTATCTTCAATCATAAGACCCAAATAGTAGGCCACCTCTTCTGTTTCCTGTTCTTATGGCGCGTAAAGTATGCGCATGACTGATTAATGATAATTATCTGAGCACTAATGTGTATGTGTGCTTGTCTTCCCGAAAAACATGTTATTCTTAATCAGTATGCTATTCTCATACAACATGAACACTTTTGCGAGTTTATTTGACTTATTTTGAGATATCAATGTCTAAACTACCATGAAGATGTTGAAAAGATCTTCTGCGTCTTTCAGATTTCTCTGTAATGTCGATATGTATGCAAGACAAACCTTTGAGACATGGTATTTTTAGATCTCAAATCTAACGATACAACCAAATCATTGCGAAAGATGCCCCATAGCAGTACTTTAAAGAAAAGCTTCTTTTCTCTATAGGAAGTGCATTCGTTACGCTCGTGTCATGTGTCTGAGTGAGGGCGTCAAGAGAGTGAATTTTTTCTGCAAAACTTAGAAAAGATTTTCTTTTCAAACAACTTTGAACTCGCTCAGCATGTCTCGCTTTGTTTCTTTCTCATAGTTTTCATCTACAAGACACTGAACAAGCACCGATATGAACTACAGTTTGCCGACGACGACTATTGATCCAGCTGTCGAAAGATTAAACACTGCTCGTATTGGAATACAGCGTTTTGGTCAGCCGATTCTTTTTACACTGGGCATGATAGGTTGTATTCTGAACATTGCCATCTTTCTCCGTTCTTCAATGCGCACAAATTCATGTGCTATTTATTTTCATGCAAGCTCATGGGCAAATCTGTCTTGTTTAACATGGGGCTTATTCGTTAGTATGATGGGTTATTTTCTCAACTATAATCCATTGACATACATTTCTGTATACTGTAAAGTTCGTTATTACATACTGACTGCTTCTCAATTGGCAAGTCGTGCTTGTGTGGTTCTCGCATGTCTTGATCGGTTCTTACTTTGTTCACAATCAGTTGGACAACGATCATTTTGTCGACCGAACGTGGCATTCAAAGTTATGTTAGTAACTGTTGCAAGCTGTGCTGTTCTATCGATTTATGTCCTTGTCGTTTATGATTCATTTCCGCAAGCACGCCAATGTACGACTTCAACAGCGGCGGGAAAAGTTATCGATACGACAGTTTTATTTTGCTTCAATTTTGGAACACCCGCTCTCCTCATGAGCACATTCAGTGGACTGATCATCTGGCGATTAAAGAGAAATTCAACACGAGTGGGTCGACAAAGAGTAGGTGTTTCATGTATACCGCGACATTGCTTTCTTTGATGTATGAATTAGGTCCATGTACGTCATCGAGATCTTCAACTTGCCGCTATGCTCATCGGACAAGTGATTCTATACATTGTGACAGCACTTCCATTTGTAAGCACATTCGTTTACCTGACAATAACGCAGTATGATCCACAATCCAGCAAATCGGCATATCGAATTGCAGCGGAAAATTTAACTCTAACAGCAACGGGTAGTTTCGGTACATTTATATTCAATGCGGTAAGGAGTTGTGCTTTTGAAGGAATTTCTATTCCATTGCGTACTATTTTAGTTAACATTTTATGTTTATACACTGACAGCGCCAAGTTTTCGTCGTGAATTATTCAGACTAATCGTTCCGATATGCTGGATGAATCAATTTGTGGCAAGAGAACAAAGTCAGATGACTCGAACAAACCGAATTCACCCATCAATTCGAGACGCTTTGTCGATGAAATTTCCCGAACAAACCTAAACGAATTTCTGTCAAAAGTATATCTATGTAATGTCTCGTTTTTCATCTATAATAAAATAATCGAGCATAATTGTCACTGCAATCTAAAGTTTGTCAAAGGTATGATTAATATAAATTGCTCTTAACTACGCGCAATTATAGGAAACATTTTTCTATCAGTGCACTTCTTTCCACATATCAAATGAGTGTTTCGAACTCGAGTTTCGATCAAGAAAAATATTTTCTTCCTTCAACAATTCAGCTCATCGTATCGGTAACTGACAGAATAAGTTACAGTGTTTATGCAATTGCTGTTGTATTCAGTGTGCTGCAAACATTTCGGAGAAATCAAACTCTCGATCGTTTTCTGAGCTACGTGGTTCACGGATATTCCGATGGTAAATTCGACTCGAATCAAGTTTATTTTCGCAAACAAGTGATCACTTGCTATCGATACGATCAACGTTTTTCGTATATTCCGCATCCGAATCGATTGATGCTATTCACAGTTGCTGTTCATGTACAGGTGCTTATGCTTATCGCAATCCGAACGCTATTTCTTCGGCAAAGCATCGCTATCAGCGATTGTGTGTCATTCGACTTTCCACTTGATGTACTTCAATGTGATAATAATCAATCTCCATGTTCATCGAATGGAACCGAAAGTGTCGTCAAATGTACGTACTATTCATTCCAAACAACGAATATCATCACGACAGTTACATCAGTAAGCACTTGGCATTACGCACTTCGTTATTGTGTAGTTAAATTGATTCGTTTTGCGCGTTGGAGCACATTTCGTGACGATGATCAACCAAGAAACCTCTGTTGTTGGCGAGCCACACCTTGTCGTTTACGTTGTATCATGTACGTCGATTATGCCGTGCTATGGATCTATTTACTTGTCACGTGTATACTTGGTCTGGGGTGGAATAAAAGTCTTTATCAGTTACCATTTGACACATTTGGATCAGTTTGGGTACCGATAATTATAGCTGCAGATCGGATATATACACTTAGTATGGCATTGATTCCTGAGTTGTTACAAAACTGGTTGGATGCCACAAGAAATGGCGAAGTGTTGCAAGTTTTGAAGGCGAACGATTTGCTTCTGACGAATCTTGAGCCTCTCATTCAATTGACTTGGAAGGAAAGGTTGCCTCCGTCGGTAGCTACAGATAAACTAGCACACGATAGTGCTACTGAACAAGAATCTTACATGTAATTATTTTTTTACATAACTCAACTTCAGTTGACATCAACAAAGTTGTTTACCTATAGAGATCGTTTTTGTAAAGCGCGAAAAGGAAAACTTCAGTCGCTTTGAATCAGATATACTCAATTTGAATGTATTACTATGTAAAGAAACGATCAAAATAAAAAGAATCAGTACGCATGTTTATAGAAAATTGGCCGACAAATGTCTCCATTAAATGGATATTTCAAGCAATAACAGAAGATTTTATATTTAAAATGAGCATAATTATAGCAGTGAGTGCGCAGATGCTTGTCCGACTGTTACCTGAAAGCACACATCAATCTCTGATGAATTATTATAAAGAAAAGAAAACCATTACTTAGAAGCCTTTCACTCCCCGATAGTTGGTTTGTTGTCGTTGTCGTTGTCGTTGACACTGCAGTTGTAACTGTTGTGGATGATGTCATAATTGCTGTTGATATTCCCACGTCTGCAAAGCAAAATGTTCAGCAAATAGCTTCGCTTCTATTTATGTTAACGTAAAATACATACTGATCACAGTAACGCAATTTCTGTCGTCACTATCATTCGAAATACTACAGTTAGCCTAAACGACACTATTCAAGTGACGATCATGTTGCTAGTCTGGACATACGTAGTACGAACAAGTGAAATTGCCACGATCATCTCCAGCGTTGGCCACATACCAACATTTCAATCGCCCATCGTCTTGCAGAACACCCATATCAACACGCACATAATTCCTGGCATCTTTCTCTGGACATTCACATCCCGATACTTAAAAAGGATACATACACTGTTCTATATGCGAACATCTAGTAACGAACCAATACCCTCGTTTATATTGATAGCAGATATCAGGATAATTGCAATGGTGAAATATAAATAACTAGAAAACATTTGGAAATGAAGTTTCGTGGAAATGTGATAGTGTAGAATGTGCACAGAGAGTGTTGTTCTGAGTCATCTGTCTTTCAATTAGTGATATGTATGTGTACAGAGCGAGCAAATTTTTCTTTCAATTAATTAACTCTAATGGAAAAATCAACGAGAACAGTATATACAGAAGAATTGACAAAAGTTTCAACAGAATGCATCGAGTTACTTATACTTATGTACTTGCATCATAATTGAAAAGAACGTCCAACATCAACGTTTACGAAATAAGAGAGAACGAAAGAACTGACATACTCATATCTTCACTCTTTTTACTTTCTCTACAGGAAAATTTCGCAATTACCATTTATTTTGAAATTACAACGCTTATATATATACCGTTATATATAATTTTATTCTTCCTTTTTATCACAGTTCAATATGGACACACTGTATAATGATTTGATGAATCTATGTTCTCAAGACGAAATCTTCTATTTCAAAGACACTCGTTTACACGGTATAGACTACCGTATATTCAATCATCGCCTTTGCTCCTATGGACGATTCCAGACGCATCCGGCAGCTCGAAATTGTTGTGGAGTTATGTTCAACATTACAAACACAAAATGTGCACAACTCGTTTCATTACCCTTAGAAAAAATTTTCGATTACGAAGAAGGTTTTGGTCAGAAGCAATTTCATGAACGTGGTCGACTCGGTGTTAAAATGGATAAAATGGACGGATCACTGATGACAACATTCTTACATGGTAGAGAATCGAAAGACCAAATACTTCGACTGAAATCTAAACAATCATTAACATCGAATCAAGTTCAAGAAGCTATGCGTTTACTTAAAGGTAAGTTGGAACAAGAAGACTACTTTAGAAATCATGTATCTGGATGATCTATTAATATTTTCTATTCAGGTGAATTCAAAACTGAACTAGAACGTTTAGTTTGTCTTAATTACACAGTCAATATGGAATACACAACGCCATCCAATCATGTGTTTGTTGCTTACGCAGAACCTCAGCTGACTGTTCTATCTATTCGATGTCATGAAAACGGTGAAACTCTATTTGGTAATCGACTAAGAGATTTTCTACTCGAACGTCATTTTCTGACAATTGTGAATCGTCTCGTTCCTTTTCAAACCATTCCATCCAATGTCACACAAAAACAATTGCTTGAAGATACTTACCAAGAAACGTTGTGCGAAGGTTATGTTGTGGAGATCATACATCCTGGAAGATCTTCGTACCTCGTCAAGATCAAAACACAAAAGTATTTTATGATTTATGGAGATCGTGGAACCGAAAATTCTCCGAGAGCATTATTCGAAGCGCTCATTTATGGAGATAAAGAACATTTAATAGATCTCTTCAAAGACGACATCACAACATTGGAAAGAATCGCAGACATGGAGCAACATATACGACCGAAATATCATCACATTATTCAGTTAGTTGAAGAGTTTTACTTATTGAACAAACATTCGTCGAAAAAAGATTTCGTACGCTCAGTCACCAATAGTGAACATATGAAGATTTATTTACCACTTTTGGTGAGATTATATAGTGGCGACGATAATGATTATAAAGGATTCGCGATGAAACATGCAAAAGATCTCTTCGGAGTAGGTGGTAAAATGTATCAAGACATGATAACGATGCATCAAGACAAAAATGGCGAGTATAAGTAAGAATAGTATTTTACGTGAGCATATCTTCACAATCAGATTAATCAATCGTTATAGGTCAAAGTGACAAAGAAATATATACGCTGGCGAAAATGTTTAAACACAAAACATGTTGTTACTGTTTTATTGTAAAAAGCCAGAATAACGTGAAGGAAAAGGTAAAGTACAAGTCAAGTGGACCTAAAAATATTATATGTCTATATGATTGATCAATCAATGATGCCAGAATTAATGTCATGGATGTCTAGACATAAGTATGAGATAAAATGTATCTGCACAGGGTAATTCCAGAAGCCCATAGATGAATATTTGATTGTATTTTACCTAAATGTACAAATAGAGAAATTTAACAGCTTTATAGAATCGAATTTTAAAGTCAGCATCTGAAGAGAATTAATGGATCATTTACCTAGAATTACACCACTAGAAGTACCATTAAGTGCCGTTCCGTTGTATCCCGATACTGATAACGTTGTCGCATTCGATATGACCGTAGACGTTGCGCTTTGTGTTGTTGTAGTTGTTGTCGTTGTTGTTCTCGCTGCTACTGCCGTCGTTGCTGTAGTACCTGCTGTAACATTTGTAGTAGCCGTTACAGCAGCTGTAGTACCTGCTGTAACATTTGTAGTAGCCATTACGGCAGTTGTAGTACCTGCTGTAACATTTGTAGTAGCCGTTACAGCAGCTGTAGTACCTGCTGTAACATTTGTAGTAGCCGTTACAGCAGCTGTAGTACCTGCTGTAGCATTTGTAGTAGCCGTTACGACAGTTGTAGTACCTGCTGTAACATTTGTAGTAGCCGTTACATCAGCTGTAGTACCTGCTGTAACATTTGTAGTAGCCGTTACGACAGTTGTAGTGTCTGCTGTAGCATTTGTAGTAGCCGTTACGACAGTTGTAGTACCTGCTGTAACATTTGTAGTAGCCGTCACGACAGTTGTAGTGTCTGCTGTAGCATTTGTAGTAGCCGTTACGACAGTTGTAGTACCTGCTGTAACATTTGTAGTAGCCGTTACAGCAGCTGTAGTACCTGCTGTGATAGGTGTGGTTGTTTCTTGTGCTTAAATTAAAAAAATTAAAGCGAGATTTCCTTTTGAGCTCACATCGATTAGTTATGAGTGCTCATGAACAAACCTGGACTGTTGCCAATGCTTATAAAAACCATGAAGAGACTTATACTGATAAAGTACATATCACTAAAAAACAACGCGTGCACTCACACAAGATAAATATAATGAAAAATGCACAGCTACAAAACATCATCGTTTTGATTCATTATCGATTCAATCATGTGAATGACGTCAAATAAGTATGTCTAATAGGCGAATAACTACGACAAAGAAAACAAAATCTATGTGAAAAAGCATTTGCAAAGATTGAGACGTATCGATGTTTATCTCACTTTCGTCACATGTTCGATATATAACGAAGGATGGTATGTAAAATCAAGGCCCATCGGGAGAAAAAACGACGATTTTCTATATTAGAGCGTAGATGATTACAGATACAACAAAGAAAAATCCTTCATTGGCATTTAAAATTATCTTTTCAAAATAAGAACTTTCTTCGTATGTGCATACATCCTTTCTGTGATTGTGTCCGAAACTTCTTATTTGAATCATCGAACATATAATAAAGTTCATAACTGACTTATAATATCGTCTCATGATAGTATACTGACAACAATAATATTTGAAAAGGACTTTGCTTTTGCATGGTGGTAAGTACTTTTCAACTTTTCGATGCTCACTCTCACTTCGACGAAAAAGGACGACAAGAGCGGTGAAAGAACAGCCATCTATATGTACATAGTCAAATGTGTCATAAAGCTGGTGTGCTTACTTTACATAACGAGAGAAAGATAAGAAAACATTTAAATCATCATATTTCATATCACAATCAGCTTAACACATATGTATTCGAATCTTCTGATGAGGATGATCATAAAATCTCAAATATACAAACATCCGATTAGATTTTGAGAAAATTTGAGTGAAACCAAAAGATGTTTTGCATATGAAGGAGGCACATAATTTCGTACTATAAGCACAGATGCAAAGTACGAACATTTGAAATACCGAGTCATAAACAAAAATATTTCTTCCTTCGAACCGCAGGTGTATGTGCAAAGTACGTCGAATATTGCTTTCGTCTGAAGAAGCACGAGTACGAATACTTTTGTCCTCACATGCTCTTTCATCGTTGTCAGCACATAATGATTTGACGGAAGAGTTTTGTGTACTATTGATCAACAAGAAAAGTTTAATAATCAAATAGGGATACAAAATATATCGACTAATGATTATCTATTGTTATATTTTGTCATTGAGATCAATATCTATCAGGAATGAATAACAGAAATGAGTAATAGGACGAGAACAGTAATTGCGTAGGATTACGAACACAACTTATCTAGTTTACAATGTTTCTTTTTTCTTAATCTATCTTTGATAATTTCAAACTAATCTCCTCACATATGTTTCAGTAACATAATCACATCACAATGGAAGTAAAATGTAAAAAAATCAATGCCAACGAAGTATCGAAAAACAACCTAAAATGAGTTTCAATCGGGCTTAATGTAGTGAATCTACAAAAAATATCGTTTTTTAAACGCTTTTAACGTCTATTATGTAATTGAGCATCAGTGCTGACTAAGTTCATTTGGGAGCTATATTTAAAAAACAAGGATCGATTTATTTTTTTCTCAGAATATCACAGATCTTGTGTGTAAGGACTAACTGTTGGATAAATAGTTCGCTTCTACTCTAAAGAATGCTCATTCAAACCCTCGAGTGTTATCTCGTTGACATTATTCTCCCTATAAGACAATGCCATGAACAATAATCTGACATAAGAAAAATAACTCTTGCGGTTTTGATTTACTACGTTCTTTAGATAAACTAATATGTGCAACTATATTATAGTTTGTAAAATAATAACATTGCATTCGTTTTACAATAGTAAAATGTATATCAGTCGCCGGTAATGGTAAAAGTTAATATTATCAATTGATAAATCATACACTGAAGTAGACGAGAAAGGTACATATATATATATATATATATATATATGCAGTAACGGTAATTCTTCAGCAATGGTAGGTTTAGTAATAGACAAAACACACAAGTGAGGAATATAATCAGCTTTCTCTCAAAGCGTTGTTTGTTTGGTGCGCGCTATCACATTTTTTCGTTGCAAATATTGATAGAAAAACAGCATGTTCTCGCTATCTACAAGAAGAATAATTTTGGAAAGAAAAGAACATCGTTGGAAATTGATGAGCTTATTCCGTTTATTCTTCCGGTTCAGATTTCCTTCTTTCGGAAAAGGAGTCGATTTATGTGCAGGTAGTATAAACACTCCTATCCTTCGTGAATACTTCATTGCATGTTCGTCTATAATAAGAACTGCTATTATCGTAATAAACACAATATAGATCGAAGTATTCACAAGAATAATCTTGACCAATTGATTACCTATTTTGAACGAAAACAGAATACACACTGTATATAACCGTACGTATCAATGAATAAATTGTCTTCCGAATCAGTTTCAAACAACATTGATCTATGATCTTCTCAATGATTTTATCAAGATAGAACTTGCAAGTGTATAGATGATTGACATGGTAATGGCATCCTGAATTGCAAAATCTTTGACAATATTGAGTTAGTAGTATTTGTGCCGGAGGAAAATCATGCTTTAGATACTTCATTTGCATGACTTTTCTCATTCATTGAGAACAAGTGCTCATATGTAATCGTCTTCATAAGTATTTAAAGTAAAAATCATGAACTCGCGTTGATTCTAAAATTGTCGTATTTACAAAAGAAAAACAATACACGCCATTGAAGTCAGTCGTGACCTAAGAGAGTGTTTATTCGCATCAATCATTCTCAATTCATTAGAAGAAAGAGGGTCGATCGATTAAAAATTACTCACAGTCAATTGGATCTGATTACGGGATATAGCGATAGGAACCACTTCGACGCCACGTTCGAACTTTCGATCGATACAAGATATATCTTGGTTGTAACGACTGTCAATTCAGGTGTAATTGGTTCGTTCTCGATCACTCTATTTGGTTCAAGTATAGTACAACTTGAACGTATTCGTGAGTATTATATATCGCTATGGAGAGGACGTTCAATTTGTAGACAGCATTACCTGATAATTTGATTCACATTTGACTTAATTCGGTAGATCACTTCGATTCAATTTTGAGAACAAATAAAAAAAAGAGTTCTTTTTTGTACTAATTCATGATAGCCAAACATTTCGAGTATATTTTAAACATTAAACTAGTTGAATATGTTATCCACAGAAGTAAGTTAACGATACTTTTTATACTTGAATATAGATATTGAACGATTCATCGAATCAAAATATACATCTGCACTATCAAAAGATCATGACCAATATTATGCTCTTTCTTGTGATTTTATCCCTGAATACTATTATGAAGCAATACAAATCAACGTGAATAAAATTTGCGCCACACTACTACTGAACTCCTAGCCAATATTCGATATATATTGGTTATAACAACGTGTTCATCATCTAAAACAGTAGACTTCTCTATCCAAGTGCTCGGCAGAAACAATGTTAGTCTTCGACGTACACGCGAGTAGTATTGCAACACGCAGCTCATAAAATTTATCTTCTGAATAGTATCTCAAATGAAAACTTGATTTTTGTTTGAATAGATTCTTCTTTGGGTTTTCATTCTAATTATTCATCGAAACTAACCACAAAAAGTCGAATGTATGATAAAAATTGTATTCGTTCATATTGCTACTATGAAAGTCTACGATTAACCGTTCAAATCGATGGATATTATGGTATTTCAACTGGTAAAAGTTCTGATATAAACATAAATCTCTACAAGAATCACTTCGATCCGTTAAATCCACGACAAAATTTAGTTGAAATTGGTAGATATGGTTGTTCTAACGGTGATCGTGATGGAAGATATACAGCCTATCTTGAGTCTCAACTTCACGACCCATGCGGATGACATCGTTCTCAATCGATGTATATGGTCTAAGTAATATTACGCTTCAGCACTTCGGTAACATTTCGTAGGTGTTTGATATTGTTGATTGTCGTCTAATCTTTTAGTTGATAATTCGATTTCCTGTTATGTTGGTGGTGCATGTAATATTCAAGTTAAAAGTATTGGTCTCACTCTCGACGATATTTTACGATTGGAAGTCAATCGAAACATGTCGATAGGTGATCAGCCACTTCTGGTCAAAATGAGTACTACGTTTGCAACAATCATGNATACCTTTTGTTAATATACGTGAGTAAGTATCATAAATAACTCCAATTGATGTTGTTTTTGCTTTATTGAAAAAAAGAAGGTCATGTTTTCATCTTATGGCCAACAAGATTGTATAGTATGTAGATGCTGCAATGTCAAAGATATAAGTTCGGGCTTTTAATCCACCGATTGTTAACATCATAAAATGATCTTTTAGAGCAAATACTAGACTTGATTTACTGCTGGTAGTTAAATTGTCAGAAATCAAACTTCAAGCATCGGACACATATATGGCAAAGAGATGACTACTCCCAGGTGTTTTATGGCGAATAAATAAATCATAGAGAAAAAGTCAATAGTTTTCTAGAGTAAATCGTTCGACAAACCTTAATACAACAACTTTTTTGCCATGATTTGTCATTCATGACATCCTCACCAACTTCTTATGATGACGAAATCAGTTGACTGGAGACTTGATCTTTACCTATGTTTACTTGCACAAGCACAGTTTAGATAAGCAAGTGTCTCTTTCGACAAAGCGTTGATCCATCTTATCAGTCAAAGGTAAAAACTATTCTCAGCATTATGAATAGTTTTTTCTTTATCTATTCTGAGAAAGATCCCACAAATGTAGATACCAGGTTTAAAACCAAACACCCTTATGTGTTTACTGAAAAGCTAATCATCAGGGTTTTTCGTCGCTAAACAAGAGAAACATGTCCTTTATCTATTTCAACGACAGTGAGAGTGTATAAAAGCGCGAGAGAATAATACGGAATCATTGCATTTATTACTTGTTTATTAATAAAACAAGGTAAGGATGAGACGAGTGTTTAGTTTTTCTACCAATGGTGCCTTCTTCAATGAATGTTTTAGACATGGCGAATTCAAGCACCCAAGATTTAGTCGTCGATGGGGCCGAACTGAGCCACCCAATAACCATTAAACGCGGTAAAACATCTCGCATTCATCAGGTCGTTGCATATCCAACGCAATTAACCCGAAAAACGACCAACGGTTTCGCTGATAGTTCAACTCCACCCGATCCGAAAACAATTAAGAAATGTCGATGGCACACAGCTGGCATCATTCGATTTCATATCAATCCGGAAACAAATCAAATCTATGAAGCACGACCCAGTCTACATGAACTCGAAATCACCTTAGAATGTCTGCTCGACGAATCCCACAAACAGCAATTAGCTACACGGGCCGAACAAATCTATGGATTGGAATTTACATCCGAAAACTTTGTCATCTGTCCGTTTCAAACATTTCTTGCACAACTAACAGTACCCATGGACGGCGTTCCGAAAACGTACTATGGTGTTTT